TTGATTATTATATATTAAATTATTAATATATTGTTATACATAATTATCGCAATGTTACAAACGCACTATTATGCAACTTTAGCATTTATGAATTGTGATATATAAATAAATAGATATATTAATTTAACTTTAAAGATATTTAATTTATGTATGAAATTAATTTTTATATAATTCCTGCCTCTTATTTTACTCGATAATTTATCTCGGTTGATATTATGTAATTATAATGCAAATATTGTATAATTTTAGTCTATATAACTTATTCAGATATATTAACATGAATGACTAGGATATTTTAGAAAATAAAAAAGAAAATAAAAAGATATACATATATTATATAATAAGTATTTCTTAATGAAGTGTATTATTTAAATTCTTGTCAAATTATATACACAAATAAAAATTATATTTAATTTTATTTTTTTCATACTTTTTTATGTTGGAGGTTGAAAAATTTATTAACGATTATAAAAGCACAACTTGAGTTAGATTTTTTCTAAGTTACAGCGTTGAAATTATACTACTTATTTTCTACTGGTTCCACTGCTCAATTCAATTGCTCTATTTATCCTGGAGCGAAGTCTCCCTCGATCTTGACAAGCTCAGTTGCACGTATCCTTACAACCCCTTTTCAACGCTGAATATTTCACATTTTATCGTCCGAGATATGAAGAGAGTATACGTGAAAGCTCTCTCGTTTTTCGTACTAGAATTCGCATAATAAATAGGAGAAATGAATAGAATTCTTATTAGACGCTATATAGTGTACGATTACGAGTGCGTTATTATTGTGTGGCATAATTTGATATGCCATTTTCCCAATGCTTAACATTTGTCGTTGAAGAGGAAAGGGGGTGTTACATGCCGCCACGTGCGCGTACCGCTTCTCTTATTAAAGCTCACCCTTTTTACTCCGTGTACACATACATATACAGCGTTTGTAAATGCTCCTGCGGAGTTTATATAGACCGCACGTGCCTCGTAAGCCTTTCGCCGTTTACTCGTATAACGGATGTTTCGTCACAAAATCTCGCAATGTTGTCATCGAGGATTTAACCATCCATCGAAATGCTTCCGCAGCTATTAATCGAAAAGAGGTGAATATTATGTCTCAGTCTAGATTTCAATTTTAAAGAATACGCAATAAAAATGAAAGGCTTTGGCGCAAGATGTTAGAGTATAAAAAATAAAAGTAATAATAAAAAATTTATATAATATTTAGATTATGTAATATTAGATTTAGATAATATTTTGATTTTCTTTTTAATAATAAAAGACTCTAAGTAGAGACATAATATATTAATAATCAGTTAGATATAAAAAAAATACATACGTATATTTCGATCTTTTCAAGATCCTTATCAATGTTCAAGAAGTCGTTAGAAAATAAACAAAATTAAATGTTAAATAATAAACAGAACGCGATTAAACAAGAACAAGTGCGATGGGAAAATCGCGTTCTGTTTATTATTTGAAATTTAATTTTGTTTTCCAACGACTTCTTGAACATTGAAAAGGATCTTGAAAAGATCGAAACGTACGTATTTTTTTGTATCTAACTGATTATTAATATATTATGTCTCTTACATAGTTTTTTATTATTACTTTTATTTTTTACGTTCTAACATCTTGCGCCACGGTCTTTTAGTCTTTCATTTTTTATTGCGTATTGTATCATCCGGACCATATATTACTCAATTTTAAAGTCTCTTGCGCTTCTAAAATTGATTTAAAAACCTATAGAATTCAAAACCTATAGAATACAAAAACCTATAGAATACAAAACCTATAGAATACAAAACCTATAGAATACAAAATCATACGTATTCAATCTACGTATTCAATCGTAGTCGGGAAAAATAAAGAATAAGTATAAAATCTAGGAATTATATATTATCGAATCTGTTTGAAGAAGTGTATTTTCTTGCACAGCAGACTCTTTAGATGCAAACACGAACGTTAAAATAGAATATAGTACTCGTCATATCAGGAAACATTGGCTCTTGGATACTTGGTATGCCAAACCGCCTACCCGAGAATATTCTCCCTACAATTCTTCGACGACGTAACGAAAACAGACGGGTTCTGTTTCGTGCCAGAGACCGATTTCACGTGTGTCGGATGGCGAGTGTCGCGTATGGATCCCTCATACTCTTGAGAGGAATTATAAATAGGCGCCATGCGCAAATATCGCGGTCGTTGCTACCGGGACATGCTGCGAAAGCAAGTCTAATCTACAAAAATCTAATTTGCATTCGGCAACGCCTTAATTTTTGTAATTACGGTTGTACGTACAGATCAGATCGTAACTGTCTGCATTTTTCACTTTCATTTATTCTGTAAGAATAACGATGAAAGACATAATCTGAAAAGCATAAAATAAATAAAAAATAGAGCATATAACATCATGTATATTATTATTATTATTATTATTAATCAAGCTTTAAATGTTTGATTTGTGTTAAATTAAAATTCCTGCCTTATTATTACATTTATTCTTGTGGCACAAAACACAGTATAGTATTCTTCTCTTTTGGAAAATTGTAAATATTTTTCAATTTATCCATAAAAATTTTTTATTTTTCTTTATATAAAAACATGTCAAATATATAATTTTGATAACAGAATTATGTCTCTTATAATATAAAACTAAAAATATGTGAAATTAAAGGAACGAAATATAAAAATATAAATAAACAGTAATATAAAAACCTGAGAGATTTAAAACAGTATTATAAATAGAATTCAAGAGAATATCTTTTCTCGAGACCCTGATAATATTTTTAATAATCATAAGAAAAAATTCAGAATACAAAAAGTTTTATAGCATTTGAATCGCTTATTTACTAAGATACACACATTTAAGATTAAGAGAAATTATAAAAGTATAGTATTTAATCAATTTTATTCACCGAGAAAAATAAATAAATTTCAAATCAATTAAAAAAATTTTGAATGTAAAAATGACGGAATATTCCGTATAGGTAACTTGTTGCTTGGCACGAACACGATGTCAACTCTATCAATCAAATTTATATTCGTATACTGTATTATTTATTGATTTTAAAAATGATTGATATAATATATAATTTTTTTCAAGGAGATGTTGGAGGGATTCTTATATATCTATATTATATAATGCTCTTTATTGTCGATAAATTATATTTTTTTGTAAAATAACAAAGATAGATATATTTGAATAAAATATAGCAGGACTAACACGAAAAATAATATTAACTATAAAATATGTGTAATATCAACTTAAACTTGATAATTGAAACGATATTTTATATGATTTCAGTCTGTGGGTTATTATTATTACTATTATTATTATTATTCCATTGAAATTAATGGATTATTCACTTGCACTTTCCAATGTTACATCTTGATTCAGTATTATTTCTTTCGTCATTTTTATTTTAATATTATTTTGACTATGTATTTCTGAGATTGAGAAAATTAGATTACGAAATCAGTATATCAGGAAGAGATGTAGTTGTCATCATTTGTGGGTCACGATGCCGCTCCTAGCGGCACTACGACGTCAGCATGTTATTGTTATGCGACGAACATTTTCTCTTGTCCAGCCAATTGACAATACCGTTTGCTTCCGTCCTACACTCTACAAGTCGACGAATCTACCCGTTTATTCAATTAGACAAATAATAAGCACTAGATTAAAGACAAAAAATAATGCATAAAATATAAGTTATCTGAATATATTTGGAGTAAAATATAAAATTTTATACAAATAATAAAATAGATAAAATTAAAAATTCCATTCTCTATATTCATTGCAATTTTGATCATTTCGCGATTGTCATGGTTAAAAGTGGAACGAAAGGAAATGCATATGGGAACCGGAATAAAAAAAACGTAAGAGATAAATATGTACATCTGTTGTGTAGGCGGAAATTCTCGTGGGCTGTTATTCGAACGCGCGATGCGAAGAAAACAAGCAGTTAACAAGCGAGTGGCCAATCTCACGCGGTGATAAAATTCGCGAAATATTTATAGATCACAGCTGTGCGATCGCGATGAGTTCGATTCGTCGAACAATGCGCCATTTTTTCCAATTTAACAATATGAAAATATTTTATTTGCAAATATTTTGCATACATTTTCACGCTACTTTAGATTAATTGATTATTTTTTATATATTTATATTCGCACTCAGGTTTTAATTACATTTATTCCTTCTTGTTGATAATTTTTCTTGCGAATTACTTCATATTCAACAGCTTTCTTTGTATTATTTTATATTTACATAATCGGAATTCCATGTGTGCAACTTAATGAAAATTTTAAACCCTCCTCGGAGATCTGTACGGATTTTCGGTACCCCAGAGTCATTAAATAGAGCCCATAGGAACTATGGTATGGGGTATTATGCGACACACAGCTGTGAAAATGGACTTTTCGTCAAAGTGTATGCTCGTTTGCTTTATGTTCCATCGTCGGATGTCTTATTCCCTGCAGTTTCGAGGGACGAAACCCTCGAGTTACCCGACCCTTCTCGCGTTCCGCATCCGACCTTGTCCACTACCATGTGCTTAAGTATATTTGCTCGGAATCTATGTACATGGACATATCTTGTATCCTCTATTTTAGGCATTGTTTCAACCGACAAATTTTGGCACGTGTTATCAGATTTTTCGATATAAATTTCTATTGTTACATCATATTTTTCAAAGCTTACATCACACAATCAAAAAAACTTAATTAATATAATATACATTTCCATCGATAAAAATCCCATGAAATTATTTCTAAAAAGATATCGTCCGTTTTGAGTCAACAATTGGGGAAAGGATACAAATACTTTTATTTCGTAAAATATATATATATATATATATATATATATATATATATATTTATATCGTGCTTGGAAAATATTAAATAAAATATTTATCGTAAAAATAATATTCCAGGAATAATATTCGCCCAGTCCCTCTTCTTTTTCTCTTAAGTTTTCACTTATTTTTTTCGTTTTTTCGCAGATATCGCCATGGACTGGTCGGACCATGCACTTTGGTGGCCAGAACGGAATCATTGGCTGACGAGAACGCGTAGCACGTTGGATCAGTACGGCGTAGCAGCGGATGCATTGCTCCATTTCACACCCATGCATAAAACCCTAAGGGTGCAATTGCCGGACATGCGCTGCCTCGATTGTCGAGTTGATTTTTCGGTCAAAACCTTCAACGCGGTCATTAATTTGTGCAAAGAACTTGGTGAGTCGCGAACCTATTAACACCATTTAAGGAGAGTAATAGAAACAAGTGTGACGTCAATCTCCTATCGTGTATCTCTGTTAACGTCAATTACGAGAAGTAAATATTTTTTTAAATTGATGCAAAGATCTGCTAAGCAGAAGTATATGACGGAAAAAATTTCTCTTCTACATATATGGGTTTTTGAAAGTGAAATACTTTATATATTTCACATAAAAATAGTATATTTTATGCACTTCAAAATAGTATTATACAATTTAGTTTACAATTCTCAATAATTTATAATTTAACTTGTGAGAATTATTCTTTTAAATAATAGAATGACTTTGCATTATATTTCATGTTTTTTTTTATAACAAGATAATTTATTGAAAAATTTTTCAAAATTTTATAAAATTTTTTATTTTTATTTTATTACAGTACATTTATTTTATTGATAATAGTACATTATATGTACATTTGTAATATAAGTAATAATGAGTGATATAGATATGCATAATTGTAGTAATATTTTGCATACAAGTAAATGCATTATATTTTTTCTCTAAAATGTATAAAACTGTATCAGCAGGAATATTATACATGATAACATGAGAAATGAATAATAGAAATGATAAATTTACAGTCACGCGAAGGTTACGTCAGAAGCCAATTGCGGCTGTCAATTCACTACCGCAACAATCTCCAAGCTAGCTTTTTAATCAAGGAAGTGGGTTAACGCGATAATTCGGTCGAGAAGATAAAGCTGGCTTTTGATTAGAAAAAAATACCAGAAGAGATACATGCTTCTCTTGTTTATAATGACCTACAAGATTCTCAGAATTATTCACATTATAATGTTATCAGAAAATAATTAGCTTTTAACTTGACGAAATTAATGAATCTATTGTTTTTACATTATTTAACATTGATTTAATATTTTATTGTTGGAAAGATTTAAAACAGGTGACAGAAAAAGAGTGAATAGATTTCTTTTCGGCAATTTAAAAGTTGGAATCGCATGCAAAGTAATAAAAGAAATAAAAAGAAAAAATAAATAAAATTTAAAATTTATACAACTGTTGACTGGATGAAAATCGCCCAAGTATTCATCTATCGAGTTCTATCATTTTTACGCTTTTATCGATTATATTTAATGGGCGTCAACGATACGAGATCAGTGTATATCATATTCATAAATAGATGAATACGCTAATACACAAAGTACGCTGTTGCACGCGATCCTTATCCATCGGTTACTCGATTCCCTTGTGAGAATATACAATACATGTGTACTGGAAAAGGAATGCCATAATATGAATGCGTCACGTTAATTTGCCTGTCGTTTAAAGACAAAAAAATATGCACTTTTTTAATCTGTCTAGATTAAATGCGAGATTAACATGCAAATTATCGCAAATTTTGCCGCAGGCATTAGACACCCGGAGGAGCTTTCGTTCTGCAAACCGCTCGAACCAAATCACCTGAAATACAATCTGAAGGATTTGCCAGCCAAGAAGAAAATCGAGAATCAGAAGAACGGTCATTGGAACGTGCCGGCCGACACGAATACCTTCATTCCGGTTAGCCAGAGTCCCAGGGGATCTACGGGAAGCTTAGATCAATCAAGTCCATTCATGTGCGCGCCAGTCACACCCAACAATAGAAATCACAGTACACCGATCAGCTCTCCTGTCTCGGTAAGTTTACTCGTAGACATTTATATGAGACTATTAGAGTAGAAAGGGAAATTTATAATTATTGTTGTGTAAGCGAGAGATATGATAACTAGACGAAAAAAGTTCTATATTTTAGATAAATATTTATATGCACAAATATATTTTGTATATCTTTTGAATACCTGAATTTCGTTTGAAAGTATTATTCGCAATTAAAATAAATTCAATTATATTTTTTTATCATTGCGAATTATTTTATTTCGCATCAATTTTTCATTTTTTATCGAGAGGCGAAGAGAAGAAAACTCACAGCACACTATCTATCTGCGTACAGACTTTAGTCCATAATTATTTAACGCTTTGTCGCGTCGCTATTATTTTTGCAACATTGTAATAATGTGGACTTTACACTTACAAATTCCTAGCATACCGGCACATGGAAGAGGAACAATAATTCTTCCGGTTTAGGTAGCACTGGCTCCTTCAACGCCAATAACAGTACTATGAGTCTCGAGGCATTAAACGGCGGATTGTCAGAGTCCTTGGCGCAGAGTCCGACATCGATTTCGCCAGAAACGCGAACAAAATTGATAAGGCCAAAGAGTCTGATCGAAAGGGCAAGGATGAACGTTGCTTGGCTGGATTCTTCTCTATCGATTATGGAGCAAGGTATCCGCGAATTCGACACGCTCAGGCTAAAGTTTAAATTCTACTCTTTCTACGACCTAAATCCGAAGACTGACGCGGTCCGCATCAACATGATTTACGAACAAGCCAAATGGCAATTACTCGCGGAAGAGATTGATTGCACCGAGGAAGAAATGCTGATGTTTGCAGCACTTCAGGTATTTACAAATAAATTATTATATCGTTAATAAAAAAAATTAACACAACTCGAAGATGAATATTTAATTATTTGAATAAAATTTTAACATTTCTTATTTGTTATTTTAACTATTATATAATTGTGTTAGTCATTGCTTTTTATGTTCATGTATTTCACTTTTATGTTCAAAGCTGCGTGCGTGTGTATTTTTATTCTCGACATATTTATTCTCACCGACAGAAGAACGCGATGCATAATGCATGCAAATAGCTGCGTCTTTAAGTCTGCTACTGCTTTGTCATCGTAACCATAATGTTGTCACGCGACAATATGACCAAGATGCAAGCATCTCTCGCCTCGACCCACAAAATATATCTTGTATACCTTATACACCTACATGCTTGCGGCAAACATTGAGAGGAAGGAGAAAAATGCTTCAATCATATCACCTGCACTTTTCTCTCTAATGGCTGCAGGTACAAGTGAATCTTCAGGCGAGTGTGCCGCAGCCCACATACGATAGCAATGGAGCGACCTCGCCCATCGAAGATGATATCGATGCGGCCCTAACGGATCTGCAAGTGACTCTGGAAGGTAGTAATATCAACAAGGGACCCAGTGACATCACGCAAGTGCCCGAACTCTGCGACGAGCTACGTTTCTTCAAGCCAAAGCGTTTTACGTTAAAAGCCTTCAAACGTTATTGGTTCACGTGCCGTGATCTTCAGTTAAGACTCTACAAGAGTAGGGAGGAAGCGAACGGTTCAGAGTCACCGGTTTACGTGATTAATTTGCGCGGCTGCGAGGTCACGCCGGATGTACATTTGTCGCAAGGACGCTATGGTATTAGACTAGAAGTGCCCAGCGCTGAAGGCATGACCGAGATGTGGATTAGATGCGATAACGTGAGTTAATTAACCCATATAACATTTTATCAAGCTGCAACATTATTGATTTAACCATTTCTAAACTTATTATATATTAATGCTAAATGTTACATTTCTACATATGTGACATGTATGATGAATAAAATAACAATTTTTATGAATAGAACAGCTCGAGCTTTATGATCAAAATCTAAATATTATAATTTTTTATTCGAATTGTACACGAGTATGTACTCGATTCTTATATTTTTTCTTATTCTAGGAGCAACAATACGCAAAGTGGATGGCCGCGTGCAGATTAGCGGCTAAGGGACGTACCCTCGCCGACGCATCTTACGAAAGCGAAGTCAACAGTATCATAGCTTTTCTGCAACTACAGAGGCCTGCACCTGCACCGGCTATCAATCCAAACTCTTTAGATATCATACCAGAAGATTACGTCGCATCCCGTTTTGCAAAGAAATTTAAAGGAAAGGTAATAAATATATTTGCGTATTTAAATCTATGAGCAAGAGATCATTAAACTGCATCATTACTTTTTTTCGCAGTTGGTTCAGAGAATCTTGGAAGCGCATGCAAATGTTAAAGACCTATCTCTTATTGAAGCAAAGCTAAATTACATTAAAGCTTGGCAATCTCTTCCGGAATATGGTATTTCGCTCTTTATCGTGCGATTTACTGGCAAGAGTAAAGACGAATTATTGGGTATTGCCAATAACAGACTAATGCGAATGGAACTTCATAGTGGCGATCATTTAAAAACTTGGAGATATAATACTATGAAGGTATGATACACTTTGATACATTCATATATATATATAAGTAATTTATGTATGCATGTTATATTGTATTCCATATATTTTTATATTATATATACATATATTGTTTGTTCCTTCATATGGTAATATCTCTCGTTAAATGCACTTTCTTAAGTTAACTTTATATTTTTATTCAAAAATATCAAAGCATCTAAATCTGTCAAGTTATAAACGACTAAAAAGAAAGCTTTTTAAAAATTAAATTTTTTAGAAACAGTGAAGTTTTCCTGAGAAAAAATGCATAATTATTTATATTTCCATAGGCGTGGAATGTTAATTGGGAAGTAAAACACATGATGGTACAATTCGAGGAAGAGAATATAATTTTCGAATGCCAATCAGCAGATTGCAAAGTCGTTCACGAATTTATAGGAGGCTACATCTTCTTGTCAATGCGCTCGAAGGAAGCGAATCAGACGTTAAATGAAGAGATGTTCCACAAGTTGACCGGTGGATGGGTTTAATCTAGAAATGTATATGAAGTAAAAAATTGTAATAAGTTCTAACATATTCTAAAAAACACGATGATACATTTTGCCGGGTTAGCTACATCCTTAACTAGTAGTAATAGTAGGAGAACGGGTGAGATTTTTAGATCTAGATGACATTTGGGACTAAACAATCTCAAATGTCGTCTCGATCTAAAAATTTTTCTGTGACTCCCATTGATTAAGAGAAAGGAGGATGAGAAAAAGGGAAAGAAGGGGAGGGGCGATGATATCGCAGAAAATTTTCATATATCGGGACTTGAACGAGATCCTTTATATGTCAGGTAATCTTTTGTCGTCCTTCACGCTAACATTTGTAAAAATATTTAAATCTGATTGTAGTTATATATCACATTTTAATACTATATGCTATAAATAGAACATTGTACATCTTTCTACAAACAAAAGTTTTAACGATTATAGTTATTTTTAACAGGAGGCTACTCAAGGTTTATTCACTACTCCTTGATCGAAGCATCTTAATTTTATAAAATATCAGTATACTTTTCTATTCAATTTATCGTGCTCTATCCACTGAGCATTGATCTAATCTTTAACAAACACTGTATATTGACAACCGTGAAAATCACCTTAGTTAAAAAAAAAGATAGAATTCGTTTCTACATGTATTTATATCTATAATTTTATAAATAAGTGTCTAGAAAATTCTATTTTAACAAGACGAATTATACTTTATACAAAACTGTTTCTACTCATAAAAAATTTATCTTATGATTAAATTTATGTGAACTAATAAACGAATATATCGAACATGCATAATCGAGAAAACTTGTAAAACATCATAATGTATTAAGATAATACTCCTTACAGCAAATGTATCGATTTTTATTTAATCAAAAAATTGCTTTCAGGTAGTAGATTTCTTTATATTCGCATAACACTTCAATGAGTGATTATAATTCTTTATCTTTCTTTCATAATTTGTGTGTTTATGTCTTCTTTAGTGTCACAAGGTGCTATATCGAACGCGAGTTCGACTTTACAACGCAAGAGAGATCATGTGTGTATAAATTATTTGTTATTTTAATGTAAATTAGATATAGAAAAATATATCTCACATCGTTATATACATTGCATCTATAAAAGATATTGAATTATATATTATATATATGTAACAAAAAAAGATTATAGTTTTGTATATTAATAGACAGTAACTGTATAATAAACTTATTATTATTAATACATTTGGCAGATTATTCAGTTTTTATTCTCCATCGTGCTGTAAAATATACAATAAACGGCTCAATATTCATTTTACTGCAATTTGTAGATATTTAAACAATAAATAAATTATCGAATAATATTTAATTTTACGTCATTGTTAATGAATTAATTAAATTGTTCTTATAATTATTTGGATAAGAATTTATGTAAAACTTATAAAATTCTAGATTTTGCTTTTATTAAGTAATACAATACATTATCAACATTTGTGTAAGTTTGCATTGATCATAGGAGCAATGAGAAATTGAAAAAATACTAGTATAAAGACTAGTGTAAGTATCTTCAAAAATTTGAATTTGAAAAATTATTAATTTATATCTCCTGTTAATCTCATGTTTTTTTTAATTGTGTATTTCTTAGTATTGACAAATCCTTGTCTTATCCAACAGTAATGGACATTTGTGGATCTTTTCCTGATATATTTATCATCTTTGAGGACGGTTGATTCTGATTTTCCGAATCTTTCTTTAAAGAGTGTGCCCTCGTTGTGACAGGTACATTCCCGGTTCTTGCACCTGATCCACTCAGGTTACCACCTCCACACATCTAATTATATAGGCAACAAATCATTATTTTAAAATGATTCTTACATAGAATCTAAAATATGTATAATTATATCTAGAATTCATAGTAAATAAAAACAATAATTATACGCATTTGATAATAAATTAGCGATTTTTTAAGGGTACTTTCACTTGAAATTTATCTTTTAAAATTTCGGTATATCAATGAAATAAGGTCTTTTATCGATTAAAAATATCAACTTAATTTTTCTTATATTAAATACAATAAAGTGAAAAATTGTGCGAAAATTTCCCCTGCACTTATTTTTGCACATTGTATCTCGTAATTTATTAAATAGAATAAATTTTGTAACATGTTCAAGATGAGTTCCTACATTCGTCAATTATAAAATATTGTACAAGATACATCAATTCTGTTAGAAATTTAAAACACAAATCGAATAAGTTTACAGAAAAAGAAAAACAGAGTTTTGTATATTTCAGCAATCTGCATCTCATCGAATAGGGTAAAGAAACTAATTTATTTCGATATATAGCGCAGGAAAAAAATTCACATTTTCTCGCTTCTGATGTCATAATCTAACATGATTATAGAGAGTCTGAAGTATAATAAAGACAATGAGAGATTGTTATAACCGGAGTATGACTCGGTGGCGCTGAATGGACAAGCCTTCCGGCCAGTGAACTCGTTCTCTCCTTTCTCGCTCTCATCCACTCGTGACTTAGCACTCTCTCGAGAGTCAGCCTAAGAGTGATATCTGGCTCGAGGATCTGCCGGACAATGTTCTTGGCTAGCATGGATACGGTGTCGCGAACGCGCGATCTAAATATCCAGTTGCGTGACATTTGATCTTTGAGAAGTTTCCGTAGGTTCGCATCATCGAACGGCATCCTGGCATTGAGCATGATGAAGAGGATGATACCGAGCGACCACACGTCCGCCAATTTAGGATTATACGGGGTGCCGGCGACGATCTCCGGCGCGGCGTACGCAGCCGAGCCACAGTAAGTGTGGCTGAGGACCCGCCTGCCTTCGTGGTCCACGCAAAACCTGGCAAAACCGAAGTCTGCCAGTTTCACATTGAACTTGCGCGAGAGTAATATGTTCTCGCACTTGAGATCACGATGAGCGATGTTCTTGCTGTGTAGATAATGCAAGCCGGACGACATTTGACGAAACCATAGCCGCGACTGCTGTTCCGGCACTACGCCGTTGTTCGTCACGAAATCCAGCAGATCGCCGTTATCGGCGTAGCGCATGAAGATGAAGACGCGCGGGCCACGCTGCAGGATACTGTGCACCTGCGCCCGACCAGATTCAGTACGCGATTCAATATAGGCTGCTGATGTATTAAGCAAAATTGGGCGAAACATGATCAAAATATGGATAAAACATTCTTCATTGCCGAGTATTAAGATTTTTCTTAAACACGATTACACATTTCTTATCAACGATTACAATCGTTTTAACAAAGACGCCAAAAAGAATTCTTTATGAGATCAAATTTATTGTAACAAAACTTTAAAAACTTTAATTATGTTGCATAGAAATTAAAAATGGACTTTAATCATTCGAAAATATTTAGACATTGCTATGTCACTGAAAAATAATCCAATTATGAAAAATGACACTGCTTACTCGAAAGTTATTCGCTGAATAAACAATTCTCGCTTTTTTCCTAAGTCAATTTTGAAAAGAGAAAAAGAAAATGGAATGTATGTAAATGTTTCCGCCGCAAATTGTTCTTTCTTCGTCAATCGGAAAAAATCGGCTAAATTTTCCTGTTGTGTCTTACTTGAATAATATGCGGATTTTCTATTTTTGTTAAAATCTCGAGCTCGCGGGGAAAAAACTTGTCCAAAAAGTCGTGCGGCGCTTTCTCCTTGTCAAAGATCTTACAGGCCAGACGCATCTTCTTGGAATTCGTGCCATCGATGTATTCTGCCAAGTGGACAGTCGCGTAACAACCCTAAAAACATTTTTAATTCTATCTTAATGTCGCGTAAAAAATTAATTTGTAGTCATAGCGTAGACTAATTTTGACAATTGACGTAAGGCATGTGTGCGTGTGTGTCGAGCGATATAAAATTCAATACTGTTTCTCAAATAGTATAAAGATGAAAATTTTATTTAAATAAAAAATGGCTCTAAAAAAGAAGGAGAACTTGGAAATAATATTGCTGCGAAAGTGTACGGGAGAGAGAGAGAGAGAGAGAGAGAGAGAGCATAAAATTAAATTACAAACAGACTAATGTAGGGAAGAATAAACCTGTCCGATTTTTTTGCCGATGAGATAGCCCCGCTGCTCGAGAGCGTTCACCTCCGAGTTTCGGGTGCCGAGTCGCGTGGCCATGCCAAGTGATTCTTCATCGATCCTTCATCACTGATTTCTCCTCGTTCTCTCGAAATAATTGATTTGAGAGAGCGTCTTCCTGCGTCTTGTATAGATATATATCCACGGTAAAACAAATTCTTCACTAAAATTCACCGAGAAAATTTCTCGACGCTCTAGTCTCGTTTCTTCATGTACTGTTCTTCGGCTATTGACAGTAACAAGTTTCGTTGACGCAATTTCTGTCCTGAAGCGGCACCGAGCACTTCGTATCTTGCTGCTACATCGATGCGTCCAAAGCGGATCTGTTCGAGCATTTGAGAAAAGGAGAAAGAAAGAGAGACGATTGCGAGCACTAGAATTTTGGACAAGCCTGGGACCAGCTTGCGCTTGGTGTGCGAAGGGAAGAAGATAAAGATTCGTGTTTCATTCGAGCGCAGCCATTATACTTGTAACAATGAAAACAATCGACGTGCATAAACACGAGATTGATTTTTTGCAATTTTGGATAGCTTCTCTCGCTGCGCGAATCAACTTTTGGATAATATTATTAATGATTATCCTTGATATCTTCTCGCTCTCTAGCTCACAAAATGGAAATGTATGTTCATCAACTCTTTATCATTATTAATAATTATATTATTAATAATAAATAGTAATCACCTTATTACCTTTATAACACATACAAGTAAATTAAAGTTAATAATTTTGTTGAATTATACTATTTGTTCCTTTATATAATATCTACAATATACACTTTTAAAAATTATAAAAGATTTTAAGGCTGAAAAATTTGATACATTTATCCTTAGTTTTAATTTCTAGTTGTCTATTAATCAATTGTAATTATATTTGTAATTATATTTATATTCTATATAAAAGAATGAGATAAATAAGAAATAAATAAAAGAAAATGGCCAGTTGAAAAAACAACGCTGGATAACAAAATGTTAAAATATATACATGTATATTACTGTAATTGAAAAAGAAATTTTGCACTGCAAAAATATTTTAATTCTATAAATTCAATGAAAAATATTTATATGACATAATTTTGAATTATAACAAATTCCATATTTTACTCACATATATCAGAGTCCATTCCAATAAAGTTTATTGTATAAATTATGGATTATAATTGAGTTTTATTTTTATTTATATATATTAGTAACTTCGTCCAAAAAGTGTATAAAACTTTGCTTTGTTTTTGCAACTATGATGAATACACTTTAGCTCATCCAGTGATTTTGTCAATTTTGGCTGTTCAAATGGTATACAAAGACTTTTAGCGCCCATTGATAAAGCTCCAGGTTCATCACCGCTATCCTCTCTGTAATTATTCGTAATTTTTTTGAACCAAATGTTTAAATTAAAAAAGAAAAGATTTGTTAATATATTAATTTTCTATACATATACATTCTATATTATATATACATATACAGGGTATCCAGAAAATCACTCGCAGTACTTCGGGAAATGATTCGGAACTCAAAAAATCGTAATTTACAGTCTGCTTAGCATTCCTCTTTTTTAATTTTTTTTAAATTTAAATTCAAAAAAATTTAAGAAAAGAAGGATGCTAAGTAGACTATAAAATACGATTTTTTAAACATAAAAATGACTATAACTCGGAAACGACTTATTTCCGGACTTATACTTATAGAACTTTTTTCCTTCTTTTTGAATTCGGAATCACTTTCCGAAATACTGCGGGCGATTTTCCAGACACTCTGTGTGTATGTGTGTGTGTGTGTGTGGATATATGTACACACACTTTTTTTTATTAAACAATACAGACACTTTTTTTATACTCAACAATTTTGGTCTCTTATATATCTATTTTAAATTAACAAAAAAAATTTACGATATATGAATCAATAATCGGTGTACTAGCGTTTAAAATAATTTTAGAAAAAAATAATGTTACCTCGCGCTATCTGTTTTAATGTTATCCTCACACGTCGGCTCGCCGCAGAAAGGTGACAATAATAAATTCTTGTTATTGAGCTCGGTACCAAAGTCGCTCCAATTTTCGACTTGTTTGATATGCGCATCGAGATTCTTTTTTGCTCTATAAAATAGTAAAATAATCGTAATCCATTAAACTATTATGGCAAGTGCATTATTATTTAAATTTTTAGCGATATTTACCTGCACAACAATTGCACTTGTATATCTTTTAATAAGCAATCTAATGATGCAGCTACCGTATCTCTGTTAACAGTTGTTCTCTGCAAGTTATCCCTTCTTACGAATGTTACTTGATTCTTCTTCATATCTTTCGGACCTAATTCGATTCTCACTGGTACGCCTTTCAACTCCCAGTGGTTGAACTTCCATCCGGGTGTTCGATTATTTCTAAAATCACCTTTTACTCTAAATTTGCTGACTTTACTCAATTCATCGACCAACTTAACACATTCGCTTTGAAGTAATTCTTTCTCTATCGTGGACATATTCGCAGTTATGCCACATGGAATAACGATGCCTTGTATAGATGCTATACATGGTGGTAATACTAAACCTTTATCGTCTCCGTGTACCTATAAATAAATATATATTCGCGTTATGTACACGCGGAATTACATGTACGAAAAGTAAATGTGTACCTTACACATATATATATATATATATATATATATATATATATATATATATAAAATAATAATAATCTTACAAACCATTATCATAACTCCGATCGTTCGTGTAGTTAAACCCCATGAATTCTGATAAACAAATGTTTTTTCGTCTCCTTCTGCAATACCTTCTACTTGAATGTTAAACATCTTGGAAAAGTTTTGTCCCAAATGGTGACTCGTTGCTCCTTGTATCGCGCGACCGCTGGTCGAAATAAACGCCTCGACAGTAGTCGTATAATCACCTCCTGGAAATTTTTCCTTTTCAGTTTTGCGGCCTTTGATAACGGGGACAGCCAATAAATCTTCGTAAACTTTGGCATAAATGTCTAAGATGATCAACACTTCCTCATCCGCTTCCGCCTTGGTAGCAAACGCGCTATGGCCCTCTTGCCACAAAAATTCTCTAGTGCGTAGAAAAGGTTTGGGATCTTTAAATTCCCATCTCTATAAATGTAAAAGTCAAACAATTAAAATGCGAAATCATTTAAAATTTAAATATTGTATCAACGATAATAATGGTCATACCACAACGTTATTCCATTGATTAAGTCTGAGTGGTAATTCAGTGTCTGATCTTAGCCATTTGGCATAAGCTGGATACATGACAGTTTCCGAAGTCGGTCGTATAGCTACAGGCTCTGCCAGATCTGATTCGCCACATTTTGTCACCCATGCGACTTCCGGCGCAAAATCCGTTATATGTGTCTTCTCCTTCTCTAATACGCCACGAGTAACAAAGATCGGAAAGTAGCATTCTTGGACACCGAGCGCCGTTATCTCCTTATCGATGTACTCTTTTATTATTTTCCAAATTGCAAAACTCCATGGGCGAAGAATGTAACATCCGGATACATCGTAATATTCGATCATTCCGCTCTTTGTGATAACTTGCGAATACCAGTCAAAGAAGTTCTCTTCCTTTTTCGCTTCCAATCCTAATCTCGTGCCCGTTTTACCTACATCTATATCTTTATTGGTAGCGCTTTTCGCAATTTCTTTCTGTAACATTTTTCCAGGCATAGGAACGTCCTCCTTTTTCTTTTTCGATGTTACTTCCAAATCTGAGGCAGGTTTCCACTCTTCACCAGTTGCAGTTTTATAATCATTTTTTAAGCTCAAGAGGATTTTCACTTCTTGATCGATGATACTTTTATCGGCTTTCGAGCTCTTTAAATTTCGCACTTTGTCACCTTGCTTTTTTATTTCTTCACTTATCATCTTATACTCTTCTTTTAAACTTCCAAATTCAGTTTTCTTGTCTTTAACAGTTTTTTCACTCACAGGTTTCCACTCTTCACCAGTTGCAGTTTTATAATCATTTTTTAAGCTCAAAAGAATTTTTACTTCTTGATCGATGATACTTTTATCGGCTTTCAAGCTCTTTAAATTTCGCACTTTGTCACCTTGTTTTTTTATTTCTTCACTTATCATTTTATACTCTTCTTTTAAACTTCCAAATTCAATTTTCTTGTCTTTAACAGTTTTTTCACTCACAGGTTTCCACTCTTCACCAGTTGCAGTCTTATAATCATTTTTTAAGCTCAAGAGAATTTTTACTTCTTGATCGATGATACTTTTATCGGCTTTCGAGCTCTTTAAATTTCGCACTTTGTCACCTTGTTTTTTTATTTCTTCACTTATCATTTTATACTCTTCTTTTAAACTTCCAAATTCAATTTTCTTGTCTTTAACAGTTTTTTCACTCACAGGTTTCCACTCTTCACCAGTTGCAGTCTTATAATCATTTTTTAAGCTCAAGAGAATTTTTACTTCTTGATCGATGATACTTTTATCGGCTTTCGAGCTCTTTAAATTTCGCACTTTGTCACCTTGTTTTTTTATTTCTTCACTTATCTTATACTCTTCTTTTACACTTTCAAATTCAGTTTTCTTGTCTTTAACCGTTTTTTCACACGCTATCTTCTTCTGCTGTGTTATATCTCTCTAAAACAATTTTTAATTTTAATTTTACTTGTGTCTCGTGCTTCATTTTCTGCAGCTAAATTACTTTGAAAAGATATATTTATTTAAATAAATAAATTTATAACACTAAGATATTCTGTAATCTAGGAGCACCATCGCATTAGAAATTATCTCTAATATATAAACGTACTAATGAAATAAAAAATATTCTTCCAAATAAAATTATAAATGATGTAATTGCAAAAGAAATAGTAAAAAGTTAAATGTTTTTTTTTGTGTTACATATTCTAAATAATAAGATATTAGCTGAGAAAAAAAGTGAACTTTAATCATACCTGTTGTGATGCAGAAGGTGCAATAGGAAGTGTAACAGAAGGCGTTGTCATGTGTCCATCGGGTATATGGAATAATATAACAGGTTGCTGGCGCAATGAATAAGAACTTATAGGTGCATATGGAACATCACAAATAAAGAAACCCTTTCTCTGAAGCTGGATTATCTCTCCCTTCTTCACATTTTTCATTTCTACTTCACCCCACATTTTAACCTCTTTCTAGAAATAAATATTTCATGATACAATTGGCAATATATAGCATGTGATTTGTAACATAATTATAGCACAATTTATGTAGATAAATTTCTTTGAGTTATTACCCTTGTATCCTTGGCAACAAAGTTTTTAAAATCGTCATCTTTGCCCAAGACTGGTACATTCATAATATGATTGAAATAGACGGCATAACACTCTACTGGATTTGATTGTATTGTATCTTCTTGAGTGACTCCATCTTTGTCCAATGGTGCAGCTATCCATGTGAGCTTTAATGTGTTTTTATAATTTTTGTCCGTTAAATTTAACCGCGCCTTTACATTTTTAATATTATCAGACTCGTCTCTGTGTATTTCTTCTATCATCAAATTACCCCAATTGATAAAGGTCGCATTTTGTCCGACAATTAATGCTTTAGCATCATCTCTTTCTATCAATATTTTAGGACTTATTCGCACTTTTTTGATACCTTTAGAAGGATCTTTAGGATGATTTTGCACATCCAACCATCCTTCTTTAGCATCTACTATGTTAACTGTTACCAATGTATCATAATCCAATGCTGTATATCTGAAATTAGAAATGTATGCTGAAAAAGTTAATCTCCGAATATATTACATTATATCATGTCAGATTTTTATAACAGCATTTAAAATACCTTACTGCGACTGGATCGATGACTTTCTTGTTGAAAGCCCATATCTTGTCCCATTCCATAAAGACTACAGATTTAGAACTACCTTGTGCAATGATGAATTGTTTCAAACCCTCGATTGTCATTCCTCGTCTCAGAATACCTCTGACAGTCGGCATACGCGGATCATCCCATCCGTCAACTAAACCTTCGTTTACAAACCACGTTAACTTCCGTTTGGACAATACTGTATAAGTCATATTTAAACGTGAATATTCCCATATATATGGACGACGCAATCCTAAGGCATCGATTATCCAATAAAATTGAGCATCTCTGTCGTGATATTCCGTTGTACGCAGAGTGTGAGTAACATTCTCAATAACGTCAACAATTGGACAGGCAAAATCATAAGTAGGATATACCCTATAGCAAAAATAATAATTTTGAGAAATAATTTATAATAAATCTTTTTTTTGCTAACAAAATATCAAGAAATAAAGACATACTTGTACTTATTTCCGGTACGTGGATGAGGTTCTAATTTGCAACGATAAATTGTTGGATCGCGCAAACATCCATTTGTCGACTCGTAATCTATTTTTGCTCTCACGCAACATTGTAGACCAGATTGTGTACCCCGTTTCATTTCGTGCCACAACTTAAGATTTGTATCAACACCTGCAAAAAAAAAAGGACAGAACAATCATTTGAGAGATTGTCAAGGAAATTAATTAATAGCATATGCTATAAAAAAACTCTTCTCCTCAAAATGATTACTTACTGTTATCTCTATTTTTAGATTTTTTTCTTTGATCACGTTCCTGCTTCATAACATCTGCCAAGGTATTATCCACAAATGCCATTCCTTTTTCAATTAGCATAGTACAATATTTTTCTAATATCTCAAAGTAATCTGAAGTATGTGTAAACCTATGGGGTTTAATTTGCAATAATTTTAAATCTTGCAATATGGCTTCTTCAAATTCTACAGTTTCCTTCGCTGGATTTGTGTCATCAAATCGCATGATGAGTTTTCCTTCAAAAGTCTCAGCATAATACTGATTTAAGAGAGCTGCTTTGGCATGACCAATATGAAGATAACCGCTTGCTTCAGGTGGAAATCTTACCACTACCTATACAATATAAGTATGCAAGTCATTACAAAATATTAGAAGATTAAATTAATTAATTTATATAATTGTTGTATTATGATTTTACTTTGTTCATCTCAGCTCCAGGTAAATCAATAAATTTACCCTCCTGTTTCTTTGTTTTTGTTTGTTTAGCAACAGGTTTTTCCTTTTGAGGAATTACATCCTTTACTTGAGAAAATATAGAATTTTCTATGACTGACAATGAGTTTTTAACAAAATGAAGCGATTCCATATGCTTATACCATCTAGTAATATTATCATAATTTTTTTCATAATGTTTTATATACTGTTGGTTTAGCAAAGAGCAAAATATGTAAATATCAGCCAATGTTAAACTTTTGTGCACTAGCCATGTGCGTGTTAATAATATACGATTAAGATGATCCAAATTATCCTTGATCTTTGATATATCAGTTGATTTTTCAATGGCAAATGATATCCAATTATCAACTTGTGTTTTTTCACAAGGAGAGGTACCACCTGATATATAATATAGAATAATAAGTTACATGAATATATAATATATATATATATATATATATATATTTTTGTTTTTCAATTAAAGTACATCTTAGTTCAATATATTATAAATTTTTTATTAAAAAGAAATAGCATTAACAATTAACAATTAGATCTTTACATATTCCAACGTACTTCGACAAAAAAATGATTGCAAATTCTTACCATAAAGTGTAGTATTTATTGTTCTTGCAAAGTATCGATTAATCTCATGACTACTTTCTGCCAATAATTTGTCATTATCGTATAAATAAGCACTTCCTTTCATTTCATTTTTCCACGATATAGTTATATCTTTCTTATTTTCTTTAATTATCTCAATTACTATCAGCAATTCTATATGAGAAATAAATAAAAGAATTGAAATAATTGATGCATATCAGAATTTTCACATCTTTAATATCATAATGCTGTCATTAATACAGAAGTAACAAGTATTCATGTATACTATCTATATTAACTTATCTAATAAGAAATATATTTCAAATAACAATATGTATTAATTTATATGAAACAATTCATATTATTGTATTATAAATTATTTTTCGAGTAAAATATCTATATCTAAATATTGATTAATTATATATTGTGAAATATGTACCCAAATATCCAAATATAATTTATAACAGGTTAATGTCACATAGTTGTAATACTATACATAACTGATTTTATAGTATAATTTATCTCACATTTATTTTCCAAATTTTAGAAGATTTCCTAAGTTTATATAAAGATATTAAAAGCGAATGTATGCCTATAACAAATAATATCATATACTGTGCTTATGAAACAATAGAGAACATCAAAAAATTATATTTTTTTATAAATTTATAAATTATAATATTATATTATATATATATCTTAATATTAATATTAATAAATATTATTATATTTAATATTATATTTAAATTAGATAATATTATGGTTGAAAAAGTTGTTTTCCATCAAATATGGAACAATTTGTTCAAGTGACGTGTGATAATGTTTCGAATAGAAATACAGATATAATGATGAAAATCATAAATTATAAAATGTATAATATTGAAGTAAAGTAAATGATGAAAAAACTTTGAAATTTGAGAAAAAAAGAAAATATGTAATTCACGCCGATACATTAACCTGCCTCTCTTGCTCTCTCACTGCCTTTCTCTTTTTCTCCATTTTAAAATTAGAATTGTTAAAAATTAAATGTAAAAGTGCATTATACCTATCTCAGGAGAGGAGGAATTAATAACGACCGAAAGCACCATTATTATTGCTCTTCTAAATTTTCACTTTAATAAGAATAATTAATCCAGCACGTGAATCTATGAAAATTGAGAAATATTCACGTTTTCATACATTCCATGTGGCCCCACATATCATAGATGTATAAAATACATAGCGGAGCATTACCGGCGAAATAGTAGGGCGCGTTCGGCAAAACAACTATTGAGTTTGTCGTCTCGTCAACGCTTGACGTTGATTCGTTGGTTCTAAAAGTAAGAGCCAATGGGAGCGTCCCGTTTGATCACGTTGCGATTGACCACAGCCAATTATATCGACCTGTGCCTAAGGTAACTAGCAACTATTAACCAATCAGAGAGTCCTATTTTGAATTGGCCAATTGACGACGTGGTCAATCGGGTGCCATCCAGAGCCAATCACGTTTAATTGTTATCGAACGGTTTGTTCCCTTGAACGCGTCCAATGATAAGAGGATGGTCGAATGACATAATACTTGACGGGTAAAGATGCGGCCTCATTAACGCTAAAAAGTAGCGTCAACCATTGGTTGAACAATGAAGCAACTATACTTACCTCCTTGTTCAACCAATGATTGACGCTACTTTTTAGCGTTAATGAGGCCGCATCTTAATACTTCGAACAGCTGATAACGCTGATAATATTCCGAGCCGCTTCTCTCTCTCTCTCTCTTTCTCTCTCTCTCTCTCTCCTCTCTCTCTCTTATGCGCAAAGTTGATTTAGCATATATTATAAAAAGTATAAAACATTTTCTTTAATCGATTCCATTTTTGGGCAAAAAAAATGTTAGCCAATCGGTAAAAACTCGACTCCGAATTAACTCGAGAATTTTTAGCAGCGGGGCGCTGCCGGTCATAAGGGCCCGGAAATGAAAAGTAGATGGACGCGGCGGATAACCGGTTGACATCGGTCAGAGGATTTACGTCAAGATAGGTCGGTTACCTGGAGATAACTGTAAAATGTCATCGGCGAATGTGTGTCAGGTATGGACTTGACGTACTACGACATGACACCGCTGGCTGGTTGGCTCGCGACCGTTTTGTCAATTATGCCTCCGCCGTCATCGCGGTCCTGAAAAGAAGAAAAACAGCCGCATCGCACGTCTGAGCCCGAGCTCATCGTCAGAGGCGCACGAACAGGTATGTAGAGAGTCAATTCTCTCTCTCTCTCTTTCTCTCTTTTTCTCTCGGAATGTGAGAAGTCCTCGGTGTGCGTGCGTTTTTCATCGCTATACGGCCTTTTCCGTCGTTTTCCCCTCTATTCCCTCTGTCTCGATTTCTTTAGCCTTGTTTCGCAACAATTTTGCGAGACACAATGTATCGAATATATAGGTATTATAAATCGATTGCGAAATTTTCTTTTTGCCGGATAAGTCGCGTCATCGATGATGCTCTTTAAATGGTCTATAAAATCAGATTATTCCGCTTGCGTCAAGTTGTCTCGGATTGCTCGGACACATCTGTCGTTCGGTCGTTTTTTTTTTTAGAAAACGATGAATAATTTTCTAGCGAAACAATGACCGATATAAATCGGAAATAAGAGACTGTCTTTTACGTGAAAATTTCTTTTCGACATTACAGCAATCTAATAAGTGACTCAATTATGTTTGCTCACAAGTATAATAAACTAGAGATTTATTTGTTTTTTACATTGATAAGATATTGTTGCATGTTTATCTTATAATTTACACACTTTTTATTATATGTGTATATTTCAATTTTTTTTACATCTTGATTCAATCTTTATTAAAAATTGTACTTTATTTTTTGAAAGTTTTATCAATTATTTTTCTTCCTTTTCTACAGTTGAAAATAAAAGAATATAATAAAATATTTCATATGTATTATATTATGATAAGATAAACTTGAAAATATGTTAATCTTTAAAACAATTTGATGAATATAATTATATTAGTTGTTTTATAAATTTATATATGTTTTTTTGCAGAATAGAATCTCAAAGCATCATGGAGGGAACAGAAGTTACATTTTTATTCCAGTTTGGTCTGACACGTGACACAGTCACAGTAGACAGTAGCACACTTACTCTTAAGGCTTTGAAAGATCTCGCCTGTGATTTTATAAACACCAAGTGTCCAGAGCATGGCTTAAATCATCTATTTGAAAGATTAATTTTATTTAAGCACGATTACAATTCTACAAATGTTTTACAGCTTATTACAAATGCTACAGAAGTAGTTGATGAAACACTAATTGAAATCGTGTTGACTGGTAAATACAATTCTCCAAATTGCAGTGATTTTTAAATTTTGATTATTTATACATGCATAGGTGCACATAATTATATATAATTTATACAATCATAACATTATTTTTAACATTTTAGCACAAGTGCCAAGTGAATACATTCCTATTCGACCTCATGCTTTAGCGGTACATTCCTATAAAGTTCCAACATTTTGCGATTTTTGTGGTGAAATGTTATTTGGGCTTGTTCGACAAGGTCTCAAATGTGAAGGTAAATTTATGATAATATTGTATAATATATATATAATATGTATAATATATTATGTAATTTATGATAACGTTATATATATATATATATATATATATATATATATTTATGTATATGCATATAAGTATTATGTATCAATATCATATCTGTGATTTAATAATTTACATAAATTTGTAGGTTGTGGTATGAATTATCACAAGAGATGTGTCATTAAAGTACCAAATAATTGTTCCCAAGATATAAGTCAAAGACGCCGTAGTTCGGCTATGCTAAATGTCCCAAGATCACCAAGTCAGGGTTCCACTAGCAGCCTGACAAGTATTACCGATGATAATCACAGTTCAAATAGTACATCTAATACAAGCCAAAATAATAGTACATTGGTATGAGCAAAAGTATATAATTTTTCACTATAATTTTTTATTTAATGTACATTTTTTGAAAAAACAAATAAATACAATCGATATTTTTCTTATTCTTTTTTATTTATGAAATACTTTGTGTATGTGTACGTATGTATGGATGTATGTATATGCGTGTATGTGTGTGTAAATAAAGACATACTATCTTGTAGGCAATACCGAGTATAATGACACCAAAACAGTCTGCTTCACCGTCATTGGGAGGACGGCCTGTTTGGGTTGAGCGAGAGCTCGCAACGCGAATAAAAATTCCGCATACATTTGTAGTACATACATATACACGTCCGACTGTGTGTGGGCACTGTAAGAAATTGTTAAAGGGAATATTTAAACAAGGCCTGCAATGTAAAGATTGTCAATATAATACGCACAAAAAGTGTATGGATAAGATACCTAAAGACTGTACAGGAGAAAACTTGCGAGACAATATAGGTATAATGTTTTTTGTGATTATGGAGACATCTTGTAATTTTTATATACAGTATAATAGATTGAGAATGCTTGCAAATAGGTGAATATCCAGATAGTGGTGTTAGCAGCGAATTAGAAACCAAATGTGATATTAGGAATGAAGAAGGTGATGCTGACAGTGATACAGAATCGTCGCCTCCGCCGCAAGACGTAGCGTTTACAAATGACGAGAATAAGATACCAGATGATTATACAGTAAGTTATCTTCTCTGTGCTTATCATTATCTTTTTATTAAAAATTCTTTCTTTTTTTATTAAAATTTATTGGAATAAAATTTTTGAAAGCTATTTTTAAAGCGCAAACAATAAAATTGTATACTTATAGGATCATGCACAAAGTAACGACGATGCTGCTTATGATGAAAATCAAAAATCACGACCATCAAGGTATATTTCTATTATATATGTATTTCTGTATTCATAAACAATTTTAAATCTTATTTTGATATTTTAAATATATATACATTTTCTTAAATGCACAGCACACACATTTGAAACGCTTTATTTATATTTTATATTATATCTTCATAATATTGCTTATAATATTGCCCTTTTTCTCTTTCTTTTAAATTTAAAAAAAAAGTTGTAGTTCTACGCCGAGTAACAACATTCCATTAATGCGGATAGTACAAAGTGTAAAACACACTAAAAGACGAGGATCTAAAGTATTAAAAGAAGGTTGGATGGTGCATTTCACAAATCGCGATCCAGTTGTAAGTATTCATAAAAATGTTGTAACAATTATCTTTGTATCTTTTTAAATTTATTGTTTAATTTAATACTCATTCAATAAAAATATTGTAAACTATATAATATATAAATTATGTAATATATTTTTTCTATATATATCTTTAGATATATTATTTGTGTGTGTTTGTATTTTTAAACATATTAAGAATCTCGTTAATTATTAATATAAATCTTTACAGAGAAAGAAACATTATTGGCGACTTGATACAAAATCTATAACGTTATTCCAGAACGAGAATAGTTCTAAATATTATAAGGAAATACCATTGTCTGAAATTTCAGCGATTGAAACTGCTAAAACACCTCGTTCATGTATGTATGTTCTTGTAAAACAAGTTAAAAGTGTGTTGTCTAAATTTTAAATATATTTTTCTGGCTCTTTTAGTTTTACTTTTTTATATTTTATATTATATTATATTATATTATTTCCTTTCTTTTTTTTTTCTTTCTTTAAGATTTTATATGTCAAACCCAATGAGCTTTTCTTAGTTAATCTTTTTACACATACTGCCTATTTTGTATTATAGATATAATACATTGCTTTGAACTAAAAACTGCCAATATCGATTATTATGTTGGGGAGGATCCATCATACGGAGAGAATTGCGGCCAAGTCTCTCCTCCCGAAAGCGGTATAGGGGCTCATATAGCTAGATCATGGGAAACTACTATTAGACAAGCACTTATGCCTGTAACTGTATCAACTAGTATGTATATTTGGTTTGCCATCATAATATTCTGTGCAAAGTAATAGAGCAAGATCTTTCAGTACGCCTCTTTCTTTTGTTACTTTATACATTTTATATTTTTTATATTATTTACTTTGTTATTTATAAATGAAGATATTATATATTGTATTATTTTTCGAAAAATGCGATAGAAAGACGCCTTATATTTATAGATCAAGAGGAATCTACCGAACCCGAGGAAAGCATTACCGATATGTCGCAATTGTATCAAATTTTCCCGGATGAAGTTTTAGGATCTGGACAATTCGGCATAGTTTACGGGGGTGTTCATCGCAAGAGTGGTCGTGCGGTCGCGATAAAAGTTATTGATAAATTACGTTTTCCTACCAAGCAAGAGGCTCAACTAAAAAACGAAGTAGCTATTTTGCAAAATTTGTCACACAGTGGAGTAGTGAATCTGGAGCGTATGTTCGAAACGCCAGAACGAATATTCGTGGTGATGGAAAAACTGAAGGGCGACATGCTGGAAATGATTTTGAGTTCCGAACGCGGACGACTTAGCGAAAGAATAACCAAATTCCTGATAACGCAAATCCTAGTCGCATTAAAACATCTTCATAGCAAGAATATTGTGCATTGCGATTTGAAGCCGGAAAACGTATTATTAAGCAGCGACACAGACTTCACTCAAGTAAAACTATGCGATTTTGGATTTGCAAGAATAATTGGTGAGAAGAGCTTTCGAAGAAGCGTCGTTGGTACACCGGCGTATCTGGCGCCGGAAGTCTTACGAAATAAAGGCTATAACCGTTCCTTGGACATGTGGAGCGTTGGCGTAATTATTTACGTGTCATTGAGCGGCACATTCCCGTTTAACGAAGAAGAGGATATTAACGAACAGATTCAAAATGCCGCCTTTATGTATCCGCCAACTCCGTGGAAGGAAATTTCAAATGACGGTAATTAACTCCTTTACTATGATTTTGCGACTATTTGTTTCCGATGAGTAATATAATGTTAGACAGTATCAAGAAAAAAATATATTTTATCTAAATATAAAAATATCATAAATTATATATAATACTTATGATTTCTATCTTTCAGCTATTGACTTGATTAATAATCTTTTACAAGTTAAGCAGAGAAAAAGATACACAGTTGATAAAAGTTTGCAACATGTATGGTTACAAGTAAGTATACGTTTTTTTTATTTATTTTCTACTCAGTTAATTTTAATTATATTAAAAATTTATTTCTTATCCATATAAAAGGATTACCAAACATGGTGCGACTTGAGGAAATTGGAGCAAAAAGTTGGCTATCGCTACTTGACTCATGAAAGTGATGACGCACGTTGGATGGCGTATAGTAATCAAGAAACATGACAGAACTGTTCGCCTGTTTTGAACATTGAAACATTACCGACTTCCTTGTCGCTGCACAAAGGTTGGGTTCGATGTGCTCGAGCAACTTTACGGCGGTTTATTCGTGCCTGATTTCGCAAAAGTATGTGAAAACTAGTACAAGCTTTTTCGGTCCGAATATTATGTTCTCTGTACTTACATAAGAGAAAGATATCGATATTTTAAGTTTATACATTTCAAAATATTAGAATCTATCGTTTCCTTCAATATACTTAACATTTAAATGACATTTACAAAAACTTTCATAACGTTAATATTTTTACATTTTTAATTCTTTTAATTCTTTTAATTTTTAATAATTTTGATTCACGATATATGTATCGATATAACAAAGAATACTCTACGTAGACAGCAACATTATTCATGAAATATTTTAATTGACTGATCAATAAGTATGCAATATTTTTTTTAAATGTGTGTTTTAAATTTTGTTTGAATTGAGATTATGTTTCTGTTCAAGCTATGTTGCAATGTACACATTTTTATTATTTGAAATGAATAATGTTCTTTTATTATAAATATATTTTCAGATTATTTTTATTAGATTAAAAAAAAATGTTATGATCTATCTTATTGTTACTCTTATAAATAATATTGATTTATTTATAAAAAGATTCAGATTTTTTAGATGATAAAATTTATTCATCTACTATTTTACATAAAAAAATTGATTTTGAAACAAAGAAGTTGACTATATATTTTATAATATATATTTTATTGATTTAATTTGCTTTTTGACATATATAATTGATAATTTGGAATTTATTTTCATGTATTAATATATAACTTGTAATTTGCAATCTTAAGTAAGTACAAAAAATTGAAGGAAAAGACAAGATGTAAATTCTATTTGCTTTTATAACATGTTAATAATAAGTATAATGATAACCCATGCATAGAATATTTTTTCTTACATAAGTTTCGACATATTTATTTTAATTTTGTCTATATTATTTACACACACATATATGTATATATATATATATATATATATATATATATTTAAATATTATTGTAATGTATATTAGAATTTTGTAATTTATATTCTCTAAATTTATATTATGTTTATTTACAAATTGTCAAATTATTTATAAAACGTGTAAATTATACATGTTGAATTATTATTAACTTAAAATTATTAATTATACATTTTTAAAAAAAGGCTATCTGTACCTTATGTATCTCAATTAATATTTTTAAATATTCTATGTATGGGTAGATATAATCTCTAAAATACCGAAATACACGACGTGCCTAATATATACATTTATATATGCTAAGTACGTCGTGTGTGTATATATATATATATATATATATATATATATATATATAAAATATTGCATATTATTTGATCTTACTTAGATTATTCATGTTGCAAAATGTATAATTTATATGAATATTTTTATATATCTTTTTACATCTTTACTTTTTATATATTATATTATAATTTTATATATATAATAATTTTGTTATGCATATTTTAAAAAAGATTTTAAATTTACTTATTTATAAAAAAGGAAGAAAGATTTTATCGAAATTTTATGAGAATTGACCTTACATACACATACACATATATATGTATATATATATTTGTATGCATATAAAAGAATACATATAAAACAATGATATAGCATTATACAGATGTAACATCCTAATTTTTAGCAGTAATCTTACAATTAATGTTTATTTAATCGCTTGTAATGTATTTTTTACAGTTTAAAAACAAATATATATGATTATTTATTTCTGATATAGTTCAGTATACGCTTCTGTATTGCACTAACATATTATACTGACGTAATCAAATTTTTCGCTTTATAGTAATTATATAATATTAAAATTATTAAATAAAATAATATGAATATATATCGTATTTTAATACGAGTCATGTATACATATTTTTAACTTTTGTTAAATAATTTTGTTTAAAGCTGTGAGAAATGAGGAAGATTGATCTGAATTAACAGACAAATTAGTATTATATGTAAAATTTATTAAAATTAAGATAGTGATTTGATTATATTAAAAATTTGATATTGAATAAATTTAAAAGACAAAATTATATAATTTTAAAACAATTTATAATTATCAAAGTAGTTATTATTGATTATATCTCATTACTCTTACATAAAAAATCATCTCATTACTCTTTCATTTAAAGAAAATTTTTCAGTATTTAAAGAAAATATACACACGCCAATAATTTTTCTTAAAATAGAATTAATGAAAAATTTTAAAAAAATGTGCATGCGATAATGTTTCTGCACATTCCTATTAATTAATTTATTAATTTACTAATATACTAAATAATGTATTTGAAATATGTTAAATCTGTTAAAAATAAGATACAATTAACATCTTCCTTGGAAAAATAATAGCCTGTAAAATATGTGCACGCACGCAATACTTACACATACAATTCAATTTTGAATAGCTCTGAATACACATTAAATCGTAAATTGACATTAAATTTTTAAAAATATGGCCTACATTTCCAACAATTTTACAATTAATAGTTTAGAAAATTATTTTATCTTATATGCGACGCAAGAGTGCGTTTTTTACATTCCTTAAGGATAGTAAATATCGAAAGATATCCAATAGATTATAATACAAAATGACTATAAAAAAGTGGTCAATACTTTTAACGTAAGAGATATAAATAGACGTTAAAACAAGCACATTAATTGTTATATTTTATAACAACTTTTAAAAGTTTATTGTAACCTTATTCATATAAAAAATATATCGTAGATCAATGTTTATGCACATATTAATTATATATATATATATATATATATATATATATATATTTAATAATTTATTTACGCTATATACAAATGTAATATATTTATAAGTCGTATATACGATATCAACATTCTGCTCATGGAAAATGCATTTACAATACTCTTACGCATTTAAATTTCCTTTTTACAAAGAAAAGGAGAAAAAACTTAAATAGAAACAAAAATGCTATTATCGAATCGCTTATATACTCTTATATCATAATCTTGCTTTTTCGTGTTTGTAGTTTAAAGGCAGGATATATAATTCATATATATATATAAATCAATAGATTTATACAATACTTGAAAAATTCATGTAATTGTACACATATATATAAATATATATAAATTCAACTTTTACATTTCATTCGACACACATTCTAAGCAACGTTGATAATTTAAATTAAAATATTATTAAAATATTCTATATGGTAGCGCAATTAAGCGATATGTGTACATTATATTTATATAGATATAAAAAATATTATTTATGTAGATATAAAAAAACATGTCACAAAATACAAATATCTGAATAATTATATGGGAATTATCGGCTATTATGTACTTAAAATGTCAGGTGGATATTCCAATTTATGTACTATTGATTCTCTTTTTCTTGTAGCAGTAATGAAGAATAAATAACAATCAGTGACAGTACGATTAGATCTATATACACATTTCTCTTCATAGCTTTACATTGCGCAAAGCAATTAGGATTATAAAGGCGATAGGCGAAAACATTATACAATGAGTCGTGATTAGCGTAAATAGCGTTCATTTTCGCAATTCGCAAATTTTATAAGAACAATTTTTCCATAGATAAGCTATGTATAACTATTTCTAATTGCAAGAATAAAATAAATATTTGTTTTGACGATTTTTCTCTACATTACTTGTACTTGGCGCATGCGATAAACTTCTTTAAAAAAAAAGGAGCTTTCTCTCGGAAAATAATTTTAATACATGTAGTAGTGATAGTATCATATGTAAAAAATATACGAGAGGTAAATCATTAAAAAAGGTACGAGAACGCAGCTCCAGCGTGACAATTGTTCTAGATGCACGAGCATCATCAACCGTTTCGTTCTCTTTAATCCTAACAGAACATTTCTGCTGGAAATAATAGCGTCTCCTGCAGCATATTCGTTGTCCATTGTCAGACAGTTTCCGAATTACAAATGTGCAAGAAACATAGGTGTGTAGAAGCTAGAAAAGTTGGCATATTACTCATTTAAATACAAATCGTGGATGAAGATGAAGACTTTTCTTCGCGGATGATAAAAGGCCAAAGATAACATATAACGTTTGTCCTTAAATATGTTTGCGCGCAACATATTTTGCGCTCTATATTTTATAATACTTTTTTTAAATATTAATGTGGCAGAATGGGTGGACATGCCACAATTTTCGGACGAGAACAAGATTTATAGGTAAGCCATACATGTGTGTGTATATATGTATATTACCTAATTTTTAAATTATTTCTAAATTAAATATCGCTTTTATATTTTTTAAGGATACCTTCTGTCCAACATGATCAGTTTTACAAATTTAGACGCGGCAACGTCAACTCTCCCGATGATCAACGAAACAATAGTCAAACTTATAGCAGATATCTCGTTAAAGCTACATATCCGATAGATGATCGCAAAGGAATGGAGATTAAGAAGATACATTCTGTCACAATGTCGACGACATTATCGAATTTATCTTTCGAACAAAACACCGAAAATTTTACAGAGATCAGTAAGAATCGCGCAACAATAGAAAGTGATATTTCTATAACTGAGGTAACGAGAAAGGATAAATATAATTGATTGACGAAATAAAACTTTTTTCAATTATATATTAAACAATTTTAATGTTTTAGAATAAATTAAATAACACATATAGTACAATTTCAACAAAGGATACAATATTTGATACGTTTACAACTCAATCTTCACCGATTACTACTACGCATAAACAAGAAATGACATGCGATAAATACCACAACTACACTCTGAAAAGAGACGATGGCATATTTCAACATTTACCAATAGATATACTTAAGAATGTTCACAGTACTCTGAAATCGCAGCCAGTGTCGTACGAAGGAAAACTCCACTTTCTCAAAATGTTTGAAAAATCATTAATGTCGGAAATAGGTAAAATCTTTTCATATATATTTCTACATATACACATATATATAGTCAAATAGTATGATTTTTTAAAAGTTTTTATATTTTTATTCATCGCGACAGAATCTCGTCTTACCGCTACTATGTCGCCAAATCGAAAAGTAAGAGGTGCGGATTATCACGGACACGGCTACGAGAGTCACGATGATCATTCTATAGGATTTCCCTCAATAGAAGGCGCACTGCTGGCTATATCTTTTCTTACGTTCGCAGTTTATCTTGTTCGATTAGTCATGGTAAGAAATATTTTTTTGCGCATTATTTTCTCTTCTTTTTTAAAATATCCTAAATAGGCTTTCACTCTATATTTCTTTCTATATTTTATATATCTTTCTCTATCTGTTTTCTTTGGTATGTTATTGAATAACATTTTGCAGCTTCTTTTTCGAAATATGAGTACTCCTATGACTACTACTACTGCTGGTGCGCTTTTTCTCGGTAAAAGAAAAAGATCCATCGATTTCGATGACGATACTGCTAGAATACTCAATATAATATGAACATATCGTTTCTGACTTTAAAATTTTTGAATATTTTGTAATACAAACAATTAATACTTTTTCTTAATACTTTTTTGTAAACTTGCATAACTTTTAATAATACAAATGTATGTAAAAATTATACAAGCTTTATATAATAAATATTAAGCTCCCAATTTTCAATATCAATTACTTTTATAAAAACAATCTCAGAAACGAAAATATTATTATCGTCATTGAACCATCAACAATAGAGGATATTGCATCTGTATATTGTATAACAAATTTCACCATTATATCATTTTCTCGTTGAACTAAAGTGGAATGTAAATGTTGATACGTCGCAATATATCTCTCAATTAAAATTAATTTGTCAATTATATATTGTTGTTATTACTATAGTTACACTATAGTTATACTGTTAATATTAACATAACAAAACCATTATTTCACAATAAATAAACATTATAATTTAGCTTGTGTATTCACCGATGGCATTAAAATAACTGAAGGAAACCCGTCGACATAGGTTCCTACGGGACGTCGCAATGGTAACTCACGCAATGCACTGATAAGATATGCCAATTTTGCTTTATCCGTTTGATATATATTGGTATGTTCCGGGTGTGCCATTACGATACCTTGCGATAATAAATTAGACCATGTTGTATTATAAAGATCAAGAGATAAACAATAGGGATGTTGACACCAGCCTCTATTTTCGAACATTAATTTTTCAACTTGTTTCTGTGCTTCGATAAGAATTATCCGGTCTGTGAGTTTGTCTGACGTTCTTTCACTCCACTAAAACGAATTTTCAAGACAAATGTATTTAATTTTATCTCAAAATGTATTTAATATTATCTCTTTATATTAATCAGCATTTTTTACTAATAAATTTTTGTTCTTACCTCGAATAATAAAGTACATATCACATATAGAACATCTATAAAGGGTAGCATAACATTATGCAAAATAGAAAACAGTTGTGTATTAGTTCCTGGACGAATCAAGTTTTCCGCCATATATAAGCAATTCTCCGACAGTAATATATTCATTGATTTTTCCCATTCTATTTTAATTAAGTCTTTATCTTCAATCGGGCGTATTACAAACTCTGTGCTGAGCAATTTTCTTAGTAGCTGATATCGGTCCAAAGCTACTTCTATAAAATATAAGATTGAGAAAAAACAGCTTTTTCTTTTTATTATAATTTTAGTATAAGTGTTATACAGAAGAGAAAAAAAATTGATTAATTCAATATATTATTTCATTCGGATAGGAAAACATGTGTAAATAGTTGATAATTATTTATATTTACACACATTTCATCATTATTATATCATTATTACATATTGAATAAAAATCTTATATATTATCATGTTATTATTATATAAAAGAAAAATTGTTATACCGCTTTGAGTGCCATTTTCTTCTATTGTTGTAGTAATAAATGCTATTTCTGCCAGAAAAGCTAAAGTTGGATTGATATAAATTGCGATATTAATGGCAGGTACTGCTATTTGCATAGTTCGTTCAGACAAAAAATATCCTTTGACATTTGATTGATCCTGTAATTTAATTCCTTTATGTCGTTGTTTGAGTTTTAATGTATTTGATGAGTCAAATACAATTAACTCATCATGCGGCTTTAAAGATTTTAATATCTCTTGTTTGATCTCATCATTATTATTATTACTACTGTAACAAGTTACAAAATATATTTTTAAAGATATTACAAGAGTATTATATATCACATACTACAAAAAAATAAATTTAATATACTTACATTTTTTTAGTTTCATACATTAATGCCTTCAATGATTTAGTAATAAAGCTTTTGAACCATTGATAATCTTTGATAAATGAATCAAGTGTATACGGCTCCTTTGGATTTATTTGAATTCTTTCATTGAGAAGAAGAGCAATGATATTGATCGGCATAAGTACAGTATCTTTCTTATGTGATTCTATTATAGAATAAGCTATATCTTCTACAACCGACGATGGGATTTTAAAGGATGGATGTATGATTTTTCTTTTGCGATATGCCATATCCACAAATTGGCGAGCGGAGATAGGTTTCCCAATGTTAAAGTAAATGCAACCGTGAGAGAAAGGATTTTGTAATATGGAAAGTGACCGAAAAAGCGCGGTTGTACTTTCTTTCGGTTTCGGAATTCCTAGCATTTCGTAAACAAATAATAATTCTTCCGGTGGTCGTTCGTAACTGATACTCATAGGTATAAAATGTATGTCGGGCACGTCGCCTTGAAGTAAACTTTCTAAAATAATGGATAGAAGACCTATAAAAGAAAAACGGAGTGTAGTAATTTCTAATAGTGTAATATTTCTAATTTTGAAAATGTTTTACTGCTTACCATATTTTGGCATTGTGCTCTTTTGACTACGGCTTCGAGTACCTTCGAGAAAAAATTCTATCGCCCTATCGCTGTGACTGACAATAGTGTTGATGTATGAGCGAAAAATTTGCTTGTACAATAAATCATCAGAGAACCTACGTCTTATATAAAACGCTCCTGTTTTTCGTAACAGTTCTCCAATTATTTTCATATTGTAAAAATCCATACCAGCCGCGATATTCGGTAATGCCATATCGTAAGAAAAAAGAATGTACGACAGTAGAATAAAATCCAGATAACTTCTATGAGTCGGTACATAAACATATTGTATTTGAGATATTTGTGTTTCCTTCTTCAAGTGAGAAAGATTAATTTCATTTACATAAATTCTTAAAAACATTCTCTTCATAGCTTTTGTAATAAAAATACCTAAAATTTTTTAACACAACAATTAGTACATTTAATAGCGATTCATATCTATGATATAAGACTCTATCGTTAGGATTATATTTTTGCTATAATTCTACAAAAATTTGTCAAGACAACAAATGTATCTATATTGGAAAAGGATATATATATATATAAATACTGAGTCTGTTAATTGACTTTTTAAAATGCTACAAAACAAAATAATACAAAAGCTTAAAAATATTTATTATTATACAATATGAAGATAATACCTAGCCAACGAACTGTCGCCAAATCTGCTTTGCTAGCCATTTCATTTATCATAGCACGAGCATTATTCTCGAGGTCTTTAACTTCCATTCCTGTTGTCTTTGCTATTGTATCAATTGCAACTCTAACTTGTGCATCGAGCAAAACAGATTGTATTATCTTGTCCCTATTGTAAACTGATTCCGGTGGCAGCCTATGAGGTAACAGTGGATCCATGGAACGCGTTGCCCAAAAAAAGTCACAGTCCTTTCGTCTCTCTTCCAGCATATCCACAAATCCAAAGTTCTGTTCCATCTTTTCTTCGGATATCGATAATCTGCCGATCTTATTTACTGTGTTCTCGTGAAATCATGAAAAATAAGAGATCAAAGGTAATATTTGATCAAGAGAAATTTAAAAATCACTGTGTCAATAAGAGCATGACATTTGTCACCCCTTTTATTTCAATATTAATATGATGCAAGAGCATCCTTTTTGACTGCATTGATAAATTTAGCCATATGTAAATTAATTCAAATTAATTTACCGTGTGTATTTGTAAACTTTTATATATCATATTCACATCGAAGGACAGCCATTTACAAATATACATTGTTATTCATATTCACAGAATCCTCTTTTATCGATAGCCAATCAGAAGGTTTATAAGCCACTTTTATTGCATGGCTGTCATATGTTAATTTGCCGGCAATTATTAAAATGGTTAAATATAAGGCCTGGTTGCACCGTTATTTTAGCTTTAAGCGGGACTTAAATATATATGTCTATCTTTATCTTTCTTTCTAAATAAATAAAGACAGACATTATATTTAAGTTTCGCTTAAAGTTAAAATAACGTTGGGCCTAAGTTATTTTCATTTATAAACAAGTATCGGTATCTAAATATTTCGTCCATTAATGCAATTATATTTTGCCCATTGTTAATGACTTTTCCTGGCGTCGCAAGATCGCTGTCTAGTATAATATATCTACAGTATCTGTAATATAATGATATAATAGAAAATCTGTAATGTAATGATATGCAATTAACGGAGATGTCATGTAATATATTGTATTAAAGAAAATATTTAACCATTTTGAATATTTAGCTGTCGATAGGAAAAGAAAAGACGAACAATGCACATGCATAAAAAAATTAATCAAACATTTATAGGATGTCATATCGTTATTTATTGCTAAAAAATTTGTTGTAAAAAAATTCGAAAAATTATTATCCTGTAGTCTATCAAGACGCTGAAAAAATTGGTCGTACGACAAATGTAACGTCAGCCTTAAGCCGTAATCACACTACGAGTTGCGGTTGCAATTGACCAATCAGAGTAGCCGGACAAATTGCTTTGTTCTGATTGGTCAATTTCAACCGCAACCTATAGTGTTATTAGACCGCGTCTACAATAGGCAATTTAAGCCTTAAGAGATTGACCAATCACAGTCAAGCATGAAGAGAATACTCGATTGTGATTGGTCAATTTCTTTAGGTTTAGGGCTTGAATTACCTATTGTAGATCGGACTTATAGCTTGTAATATGATACGGGCTTTCGTGCGCTATTGTCATATTTACGTTGGCTGCACTGCGTATTCTTGGAAAATTTTCAAATATTTACTAATCATCTAAGTACGCGCGCTTACATCTTGCATTTATCGTATTATATTTTCAAGTGATAAAATGAAGTGGATTCACAGAGGAAAAAATAATTCTTCAAATTGCACAGCATTGTGAGAAGAAGATAAGGATTGGAAAATGTAATTTCATTTGAGTATTCGTTCTATACATATCTTAAACTACATCTCTCAAGTTTCGTAAAAAAATAATTGCAGCGACATATAAATAAAATAACTACTAGCTAGAATAAATTTTTTTATTTTACTATAACAATATACACACGTGATTTTCCGCCTTGCATTTTTTTTTATTGTTTCAATAATATAAAAGGCATTCCCCAATGGGTCGTTGTATAATTATTTTCGTGCGATCTTTATCATTTTATTATTTAAAAAAAAATTCATGACGAGTAATTTTACAGAAAGATACAAAATATTTCGGTTTAACCTTTCCAAGCAATTATATTCAAAACTATAATGGTTACTCGGGAATTATAATTTTTCTCGGATTAAAATTATAATTTTTCGACAAAAATATCTTATGGGTTCATAATATATGTTTAAATAAAATCATATATAGCATTTTTGAGATTGTTTACTTCTTAAATCTCGCAAGTGCGATTTTATTTATGACAAGAAGCAAGCATGATGTTTTTCCATTGCAAAGGATAATAATTATATAAATCTAATTATATATTTTTAAGTAATCTAATAAACTAGTCTGAGATAATTATATGGAAAGATTAAAACGTGACCCTTTGTTTATTTATATACATACATAGTTGTCAGTCCATTCTTCAATATACACTTATTTCTTACACTACGCACTGCTCTTAGAGTTTTTACTTCATCGTGTAAGCTCCCTAAATATTAATTATTAACAATTAATATATTCCATTAAAAAAGTTCTTATGATAATAAAAAAGTGCAGCTTGCTTTGATTTTATACAGTTTTAGTAGATTGCTTTTCCAAAATATAGCGTGTTATGCACAAATTAATTGCTAAATATAATATAAAAACAATAAAATTGATTTGTTGATAATAAGATCGAGATTACATTATAAAGATATTTGCTCCTTGTTATCTCAATGGATATACTTATTGTAAATGGACATGCGCATAGATAACTAATGAAAAGAATATTACACAAATACAATATATAATATATGCACAGCTAGCTTGTCTTTTATTCTCTTTGTACTTTCAGCAGCAGCAGCGACAGCAGCAGTAGCAGATGCATCTGTGTGTTGCTCTATATAATTTGTTTTTCATTATTTATATAATTTTGAGACTTTGATAAAATAACTCAAATTATTTGCAATTTGTTAAAAGAAAAAAATATCCCAGTACAATTAAAGATTTTGTGAAATCATAGTACTATTCAATTAACACATTTAAATGTTCTTAAAATTAAAAATAAAATTTGAATTATTACATGTCAAAATTACAGATCAAAGTAGACTGTTTTAGAAAGATTAAGGCCACAGTATAATACAATTACATATTATAAAAAAGAGCATAATTATGATTATATGAAAATAGCGATATAGCATTATTTCTTGGCATTTTTTTTCAATTATTTCCTATGCGTTATCGCGCGTAATAACATATAAATATTTCGGTTATATAAAATATTTAGAATACATATGAATTTGCATTCATCTCTTTTTTTCTTATAATATTAGTTTTGCGAAATTTACGCTTTTTACTACTGCAAATTTATATAATTTTAAGATCAGATATATTTATCTCCGATCTTATTTGTCAAATATTACCACACCATTAGCATTCTATTGTTTGTAACTATATCAATATTTTGCATTATACACGCAACACTCTCATTCCACTCTCATTCGGTATTTCTAATTACATTTTATTCTTACTCGATATAACCATTGTTTAAGCGAAATGCAATATTTATAGCTCATATAAAAATGTGTGTATGTGTATGTATATTAAAAATATATATTATATTTTAATCTGTTCATATATCAGAAAGAACTTGTGTAATATGTGTGTGTGTGTGTGTGAATAACGCGTACATACACCACACACATATATATACACATACACACACATGCATATACAATTTTTACTATATGTATAAACAAATTGAAATGTAATATAATTTTTGGTTTTGACTTTTATTTTTGAATGGAATCTTTCTGTTATTATAGATCTGAGCACTTGCAAATTAGACCCTTACGTATATTGACGACAACGTAAATTATATTAATGTCACATAACGGGGACAGGTAAGCAAAACTGTTTGTTTGTAGAATTTATATATAGTAATTTCAAATCCAACAGCTCAGTAACATCGTATATCGTGTATATTGATTATTTACAATAATGTTGCTAGTTAAACAATTAGCTCTTCCAGTGTATTCTTCGCAATAAAAACGTAAATTTCTGGAATAAAATACTTTATCAAATTCCCTTCATTACTGTTATAAACAGTTGTATACTTCTATTTGTGTTAGAAATTTCTAATATTTGATTACAACAGCATTCTTTGTGTAATAAACGCTCTTGCTTTTTATTTGTATTCATTGAATTCATATTGTTGTAGTATTGTTTTTTTCGCGTAACGTATAATTATATATAAAATCTATTTTTTTCTCTTTCTCGCTTGAAGTTAAAGTTTGACTTAAACATTTGAGTTGAAATATTTATAAAATTATTTTTATCGCGCGTGAAAACATTAAAAAAAGAAACAAAAAAACTTGTATTCATATATCTTACATATAAATGATTCATATATCTTATATTAAATGATAATTTAATTAAATAAATACATAAATAAATAAAATTATCTCTTTGGATCTCTCATATTTTACAGCGATATTAAATAATTCTCATCACATATCATGTATGAAAATAAAGAAGTTTCAAATCTGGTTGGATTTTCATCTGACCAGTTTGTTTGAAATTTATACTTTATCTCTTTTATAACAATAATAATAACAATAACAATGATTACAATATAATCACAGTAACTGCAATTCCTTAATAATATTTTTTGTTTAAAAGATATTATTTCTCACTTGCATATAAGGAACTTAAAATTTATGGTCGTTTTAAAGTGTATATGAATATACACAGTTACAGTGTTACAGCTATGTATGCTTTGACATTAGTTGGAAAGAAAGCGTTTATAGATGAGCGAAAATATTGTAAACAATATTTATCAGATACATATATTGTGAACTGCATATATAGCTTTATCAAAAATAAACTAAGCGGTCAAAAGATTGTATACACAAAGTCGCTCTTGGTCCCTGAACCTATGACCTACGACTTGTACTTGCTTAGCACCTCGAGATTATTATCCCCTTATATGTTCCGAGCTAAGAAATGTAATGAGTGTGCAAGATGCAAAGAAATATGCAACAAACAAAATTTTAATATATTACTATCTTTGTATAGAAATTTTCTATTATCATGCATTTTGTATAATTATTTAGTTTTCATTTTATCAATCGTTTATCTGTCGTAGTTTCCTCTCAAAATCTTAATTTTTAATATTTTTTTTTTAATAAGAGGCGCTTTCATACTCATCTTTTTTATGTGTGTGTGTGTGTGTGTATTATATTCTTTATAGCGCTATGCAGTTTCAACATACATATTGTTATCGTGCATGATATATTATCCAACAGACATCTGACATACTGTTATACAATTCTTAGCTCTAAATTTTTTTTTTAGCAATAAAATTAACATTCTTATAAGATATTACAAGAGATCAGATTCCAAATTTTATTAAAATTAATAAATTCGTAAATAAAAAAGAACAACAAATATTTAAACTATTGAAATAAAAGTATGTAATATTTTTTATGCTTTATTGTAAAATTAATTTTTATGATAAATCAGAAAAAAAATTTTAATTAAAAAATATAAAATTATTAAAATTTGAAATTGACATTATTAATTTCAATCGATGTATATCTCTCTTTCTTTTTCTTTATATATATCTTTATATATAAAAAGTTTGATCTCATAAATATATTTTCAGGTTCAGGGAATTCAGTTTTATTTATATAAGAAAAATAAAATTGGAGTATTTAGTCTCAGTAAACATTATAGTTGCACTTGAGTAGGTAAAAAAGACAAAAACAAAAAGAGAGAGAAATATCTTGATTCAAAAATTGATGATGTTTTGCAAATAGCTTTTAATATGATTTAAACCGATTAAAGAAAATTTCATAACTTTCTTTCTAAATACCCTCTTATACATGTGATTATATGTGTACATAATATATATGTCAAAATCATATATGCACAATCATATATTTATCACATGTTATTATATAATATTTTATGTTTTGTTTTTACCCATTAAATCACACATTAGAAAAATGCAAATAATTTTTTCAAAGGATACTTAAGATATCTTAGTCTATTCTATCATCTGACTTTTAACATCAGATTTTTTCAAATTGCTTTGTATATCATGTTAAACTAAAGTGTATAGTTTGTGCATTTTGATGCATGATGATTGTGCGGTGTACAAAGACATTATCAATATAGCGGTGTTGATAGAATCATTATATTGCAAATTTTTAACTTATATTTGTTTATACATACACACATATACACACACACGTATGCATACACGTATATATGTACATAATGTAGCGTATATATTAATAGAAGTAAGAATGGATAGCATGTAATATCTGTGTTTTATGTACACACAAAAACTTATACACATAGATATTATTGTTGCAAGTATGTAAAATTGTGTAAACGTCAATTAAAAGCACATATCCAATAACATTACAGTATTTTGTCTTCACAAAAGCTCTCATACTAGTTTAAAAAGAAGTGTACATGTACATATATGTGTATGTATATACTTTTCTAGCAATTGAGGATTCCATGTATACAAATCTTTTACTATTGCCCGTACAAACTTTTCACTTAATTTCTATTTCATAGTTCGATGTTTGAGTTTCTTTTCGATATTTGGCTGTATGTTAAATACCTTGATCGTACAATAAAATGTACAATAGTGAAAAGAGAGTAATTATTAATTCTCAAGAACGTTTTTGTGCCCATTTTAGATCGTCTGCTCTGGGTTTACAACCGGTAGTCCTTTCAATTATCACCTCCAAAATGCACCAAAATTGGAGTTTTTCTAAAGGCCAATTCAACCATCCTGTAGTAATGCAAAAGTAAGTCTCATGAGGCGCGACATGATGCACTCGATGATGCTTTCTTGGTAGAATAATCCTGTGTTCTTGAAGCCAAATAACCCAAGTAGGTAATCCGAAATATGTATGCGACCATTTATGTATCTGTAATGTATATTATATTCTAAATGCATTATTATACATGTTTATTATTTTTAAATATATAACAATAATTCACAAAAGATAATCTTTCGTAAATATATATATATATATATATATATATATATATATATATATAACATTGTGTTATATTACTATAAAATAAAATATATCAACAAGAGCTGAAATTGAAATATTTTATAATGTAAACTGATTGAATTTTTTTTTGAGCATTTGTACCATTTTAACGCTTATTTTTCTAATCAGATATTTATAACAATTTAAAAATTTACCTGATTAGTCATTGCTACAAAAATAGCAAGCAAGAACCAATAGCACGTCCAAACAAATTTCTGTTGCATTTCTACTTCGGGCAATGTCAGAAAATCCCACGTGAGCTTGGACAATACTGGTATCGCGACCATAAAATTATCGCCGTTGGTCTCTATGAAATCGTGTCTCGTTATGCTGGTAGGATCTATATGATGTTCACGAAATGGTCTTAAAAAATTCTAGAGAAAGAGAAAACTTTTTCTTTAGAGAGAAACATTTTTGTAAATTAAAGAATTTATTATTTGCATACATTTATATGAAAGTGTTATACCTTCCCCAGAATCGGAAGCTCAATGGATCCCCAGGTATCTGCGGCCCAGTGAACCAGACCGGATCCAAAATCGGCCGTGATAATTCCGCATAATGCAGCTATTGCTATGGAAGTTAAATTTTCCAATCGTAATCTGATGAGCACAAGTACAGAGTTGACCGCTATGAGTGTGATACAAATCCCAACACAAATGCACTCTTGTGTTCTCTTCCCTAAAAGTATATCGTTGTATCGTCACAATTATTTATTATAATACAATTATTTCTTATCAATTTATTTGAAAAGTTACAATCTATCTAAATAAAATTACTATCTATTAAATAATTTTTTTTTAAATAGTAATACATGTAAGATATAAGATTTCTAGGAAAAATGTTTGCAAAAAGTCTCTCAAAAGTTTCGTATCGTTTCAAAAATTGTAAAAGAAACGCGCAAATCTGTAAGCATTCGCTTCTTTTGCACTTGAAGTACTCATTTATAAATTTTATACTCGTGCATAGATACTATGCTTTCTGTATTTTTGTGATGAAGCAAAAATTGTAATGTGCAATCGAGTTAAATAACAAGTAAGTAATTAACAATTATGTGATAAATTTCAAGGTGAAGAAACCGATACAGCTGCGACTTAGAGCCTTTAATGATTGCGACAAAAAATCTACATACCGGTACTATACAGATTCGCAAGTTCCTGGGCACCTCTGTGATTTGGACCCCACCTAGGCACTGTCTTATCTTCCTGCGACGTCGGTACTACCGAATTGGCATTAGGATCATCCTCGAGCATCGAGTTTTCATAAATTTGGCGCTCAGTCTTCACAGGCGCCAAGAAATTAGTCGCCATAGAACATGCGGCTTGCCCCAGGTTTGGTACTTTTATCTCTTCCATATTCTTAATTGAGATATATTCTTACGCGATTCTAACGTAATATATTCCACAGCTCTTTCAGAATTCGAGCGCGCATTCTTATGCGATTCTAACGTACTATATTCCACAGCTCTTTCAGAATTCGAGCGCGCATTCTTACGCGATTCTAACGTACTATATTCCACAGCTCTTTCAAAATTCGAGCGCGCAATATCCCAAGATTCGCTCGTTCTTCGATATCGCGATGAGACTATCGTATCGCTCGTAGAAGAAGAAATAAAGATGCAACAGCTTTTGTATTAGGTCCTAAATTATTTTGGGACGATCGTTATGTTACGCGTCTCTTCGATATCGCATGAGATGTTAGTTATTATAGTTCATGCAACGAAACTAATTGAATTGTTAGTTCGCGCATTATATATCCTGAGAAAGATTTAGAATTTCCTTTACACGCTCGTTTCCTTCAGGTCTCTCGTATTTTCTGAGGTTTTTGAGGTTGCGACAAATACCTGCAATTGAATAAGCCATAAAAGAGAGGAATTGATTAAACCCGAAATTTCTCAATTAGAGAAAATTTAATACGTCGCGAATTATATATATTATTATTAATTAAAGTTATAAAATGTTTAAACTCACGACTTATATTTACAGATAAATATAGCTGTGATTGCAAATAGGTAACAATTTAATAATTTTCGATATATGCGAATTTTATAATTGAAACATTAACTAGTATATTCTGCAGACAGAAAATAAAAAAAAAAATATATATATATATATATATATATATATATATATATATCAGCATCAATAAATACATCTGCACATGTTTTATGGGTGCATTATATATATAATACGGTTCTTTATATCAATATTATATATACTAGTATATCTTAAAATTTTTGTAAAGGAAAAATCAATTGAAAATTGATATCTTGTATAAATTTACACCAAACTGATTATCTCTGTTAATATTACCAGTTGGCACTGGTAGTGTGTGTAATAAAATTATATTCATACATAATTCATATGTGAATACATAATTGGATACTAGAGAGTCCATACACATATTTTGCAATCGATTATATACATATTATAATATCGTTGTAATATCAGAGTACACGAAATTTTACTCGACTACGAATTAGTCGCTACGCAACTATAAAGTGGGTTAATTTGGCACTTACACGCGACAATATTACTTCGTCTTTATATCTCTACAAAATCCGTATGTCCTTAATATTAATATGTTTTCATATTCTGTATATTAGCAAAAATTTTTTCGTGAATCTTACGCGTAAAATTATAAAATATATACATATTTATATGTATTTATGTCAATTCATGCAAATATATATATATATATATATATATATATATATATATATATTACACGCATAATTTAGCACTCTTAACAATTGATAACGAATCAAGAAATATGACGCATGAAAATTTTTAACAATTTGACGATACCCTAAGTAATAATAGCAAAAAATGATGGAAGCGCGATTAAGAAATATTTTAATGTCATAATGACAAGTGAAATCGATTGTAATATATATAGTCAATTGTAATATATGTAATGTAATATCAATTGTAAATATGTAAATTGATTGTAATATATGTATATAATGCACCTTGTCAGTCATCTCTTTCACTTTAATTAGTCAATATATACAATTAGAGGAACGAGACTGGTCTCTTACTATTCTTTTTTTATATTAAATAATACTTTAACAATAAGAATACATTATCAAACATAGTATAACGCATGTCAATAAGTATAATCATGGTTCTCAGTATTCTCTAAAGAAAATAAATTTCTATCTAATATATTTCTAATGAATGAATCCCGAAATGAATGAGAACGATCTTTCATACCAAGTAGCGGCATGTAATAATAGATATTTATATATGTATCGAACGTATAAGAAATGTATGTCTATATTCAATATATAAATAATTTATTTATAAAGTTTATAATTGTCCATGCGATATAAAGAATTTGAAATTCGTCATATCGAAATCAATTTAGCAGCAATCACATTTTCGTTTTAAAATATTCATATTCCATAAAATATTCAGGATATCCTTCATTAAGTGAATGTTTTCTGTTAACTACGTATTTTTTGTTTTGAGTCGATTTTATTTGCATAAAAAACATCAAATCCATAATTTTATATATAATAAATTATAATATTATAAATTATAATTATCGAAAATAGATAATTTAAAATCATATTTTTCAGATAAAACGAAATCATATCTTTCAGTTTCAATTAAATTGTTTGTTAAAATTGCAGTCTGAAATTTTTTTTATAAAAGGATGCATGTCTGTTGAGAATTTCAATAAGTGATTTCAATAGTGATTTCAATAAGTGATTTCAAAACAAGAAAATTGAAAATTAATTTTCGAGATTTATCAAAGAAAGCACCATTTAAAGAAAAAGAGCATTTTTAATGAAGGGTGTATTCTCTGTATATGTATATTACATATACAGTATATACATGTATACGTAGAGACGGTATGATGGAAGGATAGACAGGATCATTTTGCTCGTGACTCGTGATGAAAAAGAGAATGATAATTATAACGGAAGGAAAGGAAAATGTATATATCACAGATTATTATCTGACGCTTGAAGGATTTGTTCCCGAAGGAGATCGCATAGCGAATCGAATGAGCTTTGAAAGTAGGACTGACTTTTTAACGCGTCGGCGTTGGCGAATAATCGCGTGCCGGTAATTAAACCGAAGGTAAAAGGTTGAAGGCTCTCGCACGATAATGTAATCGATCAATTTCTACGCCATAACAGCGTATCGTGTACGTCATCATCTACACGCGAAATTTCGCTTGTCGCGCCATACAGGCGTTTGCTTTCATTTATCGCGATTAGACTAGACGTTAGGAATGCGTCGGTTTGTGAAATATACGCCTGTTATTAGATTAAGAGAATATCTTTATATTTTTTAATATGTGTCGCTTATTACACATTATTGTCGGTACTTTAAAAAGAAAGTAAGGTACGCGTCAATATTGCAAAAAATTATTTTATCTTTGCACGATTTAGATGATGAAGTGGAGTATTATTGAGACAAGTATTAAATTTTAAAAAATTTCAATATTTTTATCCGCAATTAATATTAAATTAGCATATATCGCTCTATATATATTTTTCATGTTTATTATCTTAATGGTAGATTTTTTCTGGATTTTTCTTTGACGAAATAAACACTTGTTGTAGGAATCCAATATAACGGATGCAACGGTATAACTGACGATGATGACTTTATGCACACTCGCGAGGAGACAAGATCAAAGCGAATGAAGAAAAAACAGATTGCAGTGATCTCATTTGTCGCGCAACATCTTTCAATCTTCGTCGTATTGTAAGCGAATACATACATAGTTGAAAGATTGCACGCACCTATACATAACTCGTAAATGTATCTCACTCGTTCAAAGTATCATCATTGTATATGAAATAGGAGGATGTCATTTCTCTCTCGTTAGGATTCAAATGCGCGCGTTATGGCACGCATACACATACACGCTTTGCAAATATATAATATCCTCTCTCTTTAGATGCATTCTTGCACAAATTCGTGCACAATGAGTAACAACGGTACTCCTCCTATTTATATAGCATCTACTCATTCTCGTCTATTCCAACTAATACTCTGTTGACTTGAAATATATAAAATTGACATCTTTTGTAAAAACATATCGTAGCGAGTATTGTGAGAGTTGTATCGATACACGTGTTAAAAACTTTGTATAAAAAGTATTAATTGCTTAAAGTAGAGACAATTGGAAAAGTACGAGTATTTTTGTAATTCATTATATATATATATATATATATATATATATATATATATATATATGTATGTATGAATGTATGTATGTGTGTATGTATACGTATATGATACACGTATGTGTTTCGCTCGATTCTTAGAACCTCGCCACACGTGAATACAATGCGCCCCCGAGTATTCCGTTTGTGCATACCAGAGAGAAATGAAACTTTGATAGAAAAAAGACTGAGAGAATTACTAAGCTTACTTAACTTATATTAATACACTGAGGGAAAAATTTTTTTAAATCAAATAAATTTGTTTTCTTGAAACTTTTGCTTTAAATGCAAGAAATTGTTTATTTCATTTAAGCAAAAGTATTTAATTTTAATTAAATATGCATGTTATATCAAGTACATTATTTTCATTTATATATTTTTCATATTTAAATACTATTTTCGTAAAATATATACATAATTGATTAAATTAAATATATTATTTTTTTAAATTAAAAAATTTTAAATTTTTGGGAATAAAAAGTGCATTTTAATAAATATTTTGTAAAATAAAAATAAAAATATTTAATTAAAAATTATATTTTTTTAAGCATATATTTTTAAACATATGTAAACAAATACTTAACTTAAGCAAACAGATGTTTTGAATACAAGTAAATATGTGATTAGTACCCACCGAATAAATAGCTTTCTTGAGTTAACTAAATTTTTTTTATTTCAAGATAATTTTTTTCTCAGTGTACTCGATAAATTTGTTTTCAACAATGATACAATAATTTAGATATTGCTTAAAAATGATATTCATTAATTTTTCTATAGTCATACATTATCGGTAAAACTTCGAGTCTAATGATTAATTTCCGAAATGAACGAAGACATGCTTTATCATGTTAGAAATTACTTTTGGGTGAGCGCATAATATTATCGTGTTTTTATATCTTTACAAAGATCTGTCATTTTCCTCATCTTTAACACGTGTAAGATTGCGTCCTATCATTTCGCAAGATTGAATGAAATACGTATAATCACATCGAGTCGCTCTATGCAATCATATTAAATGCAAAAGATTAATTCTTTTTTACGACTCTTTTTTTTTCTCAGAATTTAAAACGTTCGATTGTGCACACACTCAGTCAATCTTACCATTCTATGTGCTCGAACACGTGAGCGAGCGTATCGGGTATAAATATATTATAGTAATAAAAAGTATTGTATTTCTCTCCAAGAAAGCGCAGATTCTCGATCGACGGCAAATCTAATAGACACTCACATTCCTCTTTTTCTTCCCTCCTACGCACATATACACACACGCACGCGACAACGTGTATGTACATACATACATACGCACATACGTACATGCATGCAAACTCGATCGTTTTTAAAAGGTTCGAGAAACCGTTATTGCTGGTAGCAATCGGGGTAGCGTTACGACATCGTACCTGTTTGCAGCTGCCGGCTCCAAAGTGTCTCCTCCGCTGCGGCGAGTGTCAACCCGTCGACGCGATCGCCGACGCGCGATGTGACAGCCATGCGAGGGATCGGTGTCGTTTGACAAAACTCAATTAGTCACTGGCAGGGTGATTAGAACGGCAGAGCGACGATAAGAGCGGGGAAAAGAAGATCGTAAAACCGTGTCTCGTCCCGACACGATGATACACCGCACGCACACACGCGTACACGTACACACGTACACACCCGCGTCGCATTTCATCGCGTGCATTCGCGAAGACGTCACGCTCGTTTGCCGGCTACTCCCTAAATTCCTAGTAATAGACGTTATTCTTTCAGCCGAGTATTCGCACAGCTCGCAGAGCTACTCACAAAAGACTGGCTGTAGACCGAGAGAGAGAAAGAGAGAGGAAGAGAGTGGGCGACGTAACCACCGCGTTATAAAAGGCAGACTCGAAGAGAGCATGCGAGGAGCGTCAGAGATAAGTGGTAGCGATCAAGAGAGAAGGCGAGAAACTATGAATGAAATGGAAAAAGGGACGAGCGAGAGAAGGAAAAGAAACCGAGAGACGAAGAGAAAGGGAGAAATGAAAGGAACGGATAGAAAACGAGAACGACAGTCGGCGGAGTACGTAGCGGTATATACGCGTGTGCGTTTGTGCTCGAGCACGTCTCTCGAGGGGCCATGGAAATGGTCGAAACGCGCGGCGATTAAAATGACCCGAGACCTGGAGTACCGACTACCGACGCCGCCGATGCCGATGCCGATGCCGACGCCGACGCCGACGCGACAGGCGCTGCTGCTCTTTCCCCGTTCGTTACCCGCCACCCACATACGTTCTCCGCGATCGGCGCCCGGCGCCGCCTGACGACGGCGTCGCGACGCCGCACGCCGCACGCCGCTTCCCGCGGCTCGTGGCGCCGTCACGCGGTCGGTATGTGGCTCGTATGGCTCGTCGATTCGTCGGTGCGCGGGTGTATGTACGTCGTGGGTATGTACATACATGTCGCGATCCGCACGACGCCACACGCGTCACCGACGTCACCAATGCTACACGACATATGCTTGCCGCCGCCGTTGCGCGTGTGCTTTTCTGCTCGTTCGCGTGCGAGAGTTGCAGACTCTTTCACGATCTTTCACTCTTTCAAATTTCCACTTTCCAAGTAAACTCGTTTTATAATCAAGCTCTCTGTATTCCTGCCTCTGTTTTTTATATACATCTTTTTAAATTTATCGCGACAAACTTTTTTATTTAAAAATAACATTTACTATATCTAAAAACTAATCCGTTTTAGTATTTATATATAGATTATACGTATTCAATCTTATATATATGTAATAGTGCATTGCATATACCGAGATGAACAATGAATTTTGAAGCTGTGCGAATATCTGTTAGTAATTATCGTTTTTATCCACTTGCCTCAATTTTACAAAACAAAAGCGTTACAACTTTAAAATCTCGCGCATTTGTGTATTTACCTGCTCGAGGGACTTAACTGATGTACTATACCGTATATTGTAAGGTCACTTAATGAAGCCTTTCGTAGTTTTACAAGGACAATGTGTCTCATAGATATTGGAAATCGTTAATGATATAATACATATCTTCATCTATCGATTTTATAATTGGAACGGTTTCTCAATCTACTCATCAATCCTCATGGGATTTTTTCTTTACGCAAAAATATACAGGGCTGTTGTTTAGCTTCATACATATTTCATACATATAAACATCCACACACACACACATATATATATATATATATATATATATATATATATATATATATATATGCGATTTTAGACTTTAAAACAAAAAATTATATAGAGAGAATTATAAGAGAAAATGATGCGATATATATAATTTTCTTACATATTTCATATAATTATATATATGCTGCATGTACATCATTTTATTATCTACAATATAATTGTATATGTATAGATAATAATATTATGTACAACAAATATTCTCGAACTGGAATCGAAATTGTAAATAATAACTAAGTAAATAATAATGACTAAGATAAAGAACGTCACATTGTATGTACTTGAAGCGATTGTGCGTATTTTCAATTAGCGCTCACGCGTTGCTTCCTACTATACATAATAGATAACGTGTTGCAAAGTATTCATACTTTATTTAGAATCGACTTCCATCGTCGAGGACAAACTCGAGTTTCGAGTCTACTCGGAATAAGTACGGCTATTGAGACAATGGATTATATCACGATGCGACGTGTACTCGATATAATAAAGCCGATCTCGCATTAAATATGCCGACAATCGCGATATTCGCAAAGAACAATTTTCTAATTTCTATCGAAACCGATCGATTTTCAATCTATATTATAGTAGTTGCGAATAACTTGACTGCTTGGCGATCTATCAATATTTTCAAACACCGATCGGTACATCGTTCCATGAGCGGAGATTGATTTCACCCGCACATGCTCACCTTCTTACATGTATATATAAACGATTAATTATTTACGAAAGGAACCAATGTCACACTTTAAGGTGTACTGTTTTCTACCGCGTAATGCATGCTATAGAACGATACATTTACTACTACTATAAAATGTAATCTTTAGATTTGGAAAAAATTGATGCCATAACGAGAGCTTACAAGTTATTAATTAAATTTATGAGTTTATAAAGTGAAAGTTATTTGATATAAATGTAAAATTAATGTAAAATTTGCAAAGGCGAAAAGTGAAAAACTCATCAGCGATTACACGAGATTATCGAGATCGATATCGATGTACACGTTTAAGCGCTACAGCTACCATTGCCTTTAATTTATTTTAATATATCTAGAAAACATTTCGAAATGAAGAGAAAGAGTCTACCGACTCGTGAGACATAAGATAATGGTGTACGCGGTCTGTTTCTAGGCAGCAAAAGTCGATATCTTGGAAAAGTGTAACGAGTTTCGACCGAATGTTCATCGTTTTGTGCTGAAACGAAAGCGAAATATGTACATATGTATATACTTATAACTTTATGATCGCGTCTTTTACAATCATATAGATAACGAGGGACTATACGTCGTAAAGCAACCATTCGAAGTCGCGACTAAAATGGATTAATCCGTTAGCGCACGCATTAGTTTGCCATTATTTTCGTTGATATATATTATGTACATGCCGACTATTCGTGCTATTCTATATCGTCAAATGGATGATCGTATCTTTCATCGGAATCGCGCGATTATACGTACTTTCCCGCTTTAATCTACATTTGGATTATTTTATTTCAGTTATCCTCGTTCTTCGTTATCGAAAGTTTATGCATTTTTTAAAAAATCTTACGGCTAATATGATAACATTTTGAAATGAAAGCACCATTAAAAAAATCTCACTAAATTTGCTACTTTATTGTTTGTTGAAATAAAAACGGAATATAATGAAAGATTTATTCTCTATTTTTTCCGCGACATATTAAAATGGACTAAGTATAAATTTTAACAATTGTTCTCATATTACACATGTATATGTGTTTACATAATTATTATTGATTTTGTTCAATATCACGTATCCTCATAAGATATGCATAAATATTTCTGCTCTTTGATCTTATCTATGAAAAAGTGATTTGCACACTTGGCTCTTTCATACAGCATATCATATCCTCTTACTGATAATACTATTCAGTAAAAGATAACATAGACAAATATATTTGAGATTTGTGTGCGTTTTCTTTTTTTCATATTTTTTTCAAAAAAAACTAAAAATCATTTTTTGTCGCGCAAGAGTACACAGATGTAAGATAGTTTTCCTGATTAGTGCCGTGTCTCTAACTCGATCCATATTTGTCCATCGTATGTCGATTACATTACTCGAACAGAAAATTTATGTTAACGGCATATAAATATATATTTTTTATAATAAGCACACGACTATTTTTAATAAAATTTTTTTCCTCTTTATAACTTTGAAAAATTATGAAAAAAAATGGTTACAAGCTCTCGCAAACATTCTGCACTTTACATCATTTAATTTTTATCACATTATCACTCAAGAATGAAAAATGAACTTCATGAAATGAATCGTGAAACGATTTTAGATATATAGAATTTAGATATATCACGCGTATTATATATATATACACCATTGATACATATACATATATATGTGTATATATGTATGTATAAAAATTTAGTTGTAAATTTTTATTGAAAATTGCATAACTTTTATAACTTAATTTGTCAAATATTTTTTACAGTATAATTTACAATTGTAAACGCCAGAAAAATTAGACCATTTTCTATCGGAAAGAAATCAAATGCCTTTATAACGCCTCGCAAAAGATTTTAAGTATAATACGGAGCAAAATCGAAATAATTAAAACTCGAAATTCTGAAAAACTATCGACATATCGATATATTTTTATGATTATCATTTCTCACGTATATGAGAAAGTAAATCCGCATAATGGCGCGAGACGATATTTCTTATACTCACAATGTTTTACATTCGAATCGTCAGACACGCATCAGAGAAATGCGTCGAAATCTCTTTCGCCAATTTTATAGCAATCAATTGTATGCCGGTTGACGCGATAAACGACACGATGGACTGTCGCGCGTGACAATTGACAATGTCGGAGTCTCTCACGCGCACGCGAGCTCTTTTTCGTCGTAGATGAGATACTCGTATGTAGCCGAGTGTGTGCCCTACCTGTGACTTGCGTGCTGCCGAGAATCGGCAGCGGTCGAGGACGACAGACATACGTACCGATGTTTGTATATGTATTCGTATATACATCCGTTTGTAAACTTCAGCAGTAGTATTGTTGAATTTAAATGCACGTGCACGTAAGAGACAATGGTTATGATTAAAAAATACTCTTCTTTGCTTTTACAAAGGACCGTTTCGTCCACCGTATCATCCCTCGCTACTTGTTAGAATTCTGCCACGTAATATATAGTTAATATATCGTATAATAATGATGTAATTGTTGTTTGTAATCCGTGTGATTGTTATGATTCTTCTTCTTCTTTTCTTTTAATGGCCACTTCTGATCTCGAGAGCGATTAGTACATTCAGGCCAACAACTGGTTTGAGTTATGATAATAAGGCTGAAAAATATATGACGTACGATTTGTGTACAAACACCAAAATATTTATATTTAAAAATATTCTCTTCCTATACATATATGTATATCTCTTTCTATATTTAAAAATATTCCTAATTTTTTCAAACTTAATATATGTAGTAATCTCTTCCCTAGTAGCAGAATGACGTCTTTAAGACGTCTTTAGATGTCATCTTACTACCTGGGTTACACACATCGTTAAAGTAAAAAATTTATATTTAAATGAATAGAGAATTAATTCATTTTTTTGTCATCGTAATCTAAATGCTCAATGCAAATGTGTATGCTCACGCATCAGATCTTCATCTGCAATAATGTATATAATAACGAAGCGATAGTAATATCGAAGTAAAATCAGATTATTCGATCGTCAAAATCTTACCAGAAATCTCAAGTAATATAATTTAGCGAATTTAGCAATATTAATAATATAATGATACTGCGAGGTTTCATTTACAAAACCGTCCCATTTATGCAATTTCCATATTATGTGCAGCTTGAATAGACGGCTGTATGTATATCGATTGATGAAAATTCGACACTTTGATCATCTAAAATTGATACATTTCTAATTTCAAGTATTATTTGCATGGACGCAATTTACATGGACTCCGAATACTCTGTTTTGCCGTCTAATTTAGTGAAGCCAACATCTAAAAAGAGAGTGAGAATAGAGAGGTTTGTTTCCTCTCTCTCTCTTTCTTTTTTTTTTGTAATCATCTGCGAAAGAAACAAAAAACAGGGGTCAGATTATCTCTCTCCTTCTATATATGTTGGCTTCACTTTTCCGGCCATATGTGTTTACGTATACTACGTCCATGGTAATTTGTATATTATCAATAATTATTCAGATGGACAAAGGTTATTACTACACGCTATCAATAAAAAAAGTAAAAAAGTCACAAAAATAATGTACAGAAAAAGCTTAAAAATCATAACGATACATATAAACATATATTTTTTATATTTGAATAAATATATATTTATATCTGTATATGCGCGCGATCTTCGAAATTTTTGGCAAGCAAATTATATATATATATATTTTTTCTTTTTTTATAATTTATTAAAATTGCTTTTCTTCTACTTTTGTGAAATTAAATAATTAAATCATTGCGTATGTACATCGTTTACGAGTCGTTCCAATTAAGGCCAATATCAAAATTTTATAAAACGTACTTACAATTACAAAATTACAATTTCATATACAATTTGCAAAATTTTCTTATTTCCTTATTGATAGGCACACACAACCGACTTGTAAAATTCCTCAAATGATACCGAGAAGAAGCGTTTAAATTAGGGAAAACTGATTTTACTCCATTTTTCGAATATACGCCTGAAACATTTATCTGTTTACATTCACTTTTTCCAATCTGTTCGTTTTATTTATACGTTACATTGAATCTTTCATTTTTATCTTCTTCAACGCCTGAATATGTATTCATATTATTTCAAGTGCAGAAGTGTCTGGAGATTAATGTCAAGGAAAATAAATATTATATAGATATAAAGCTAAGGACGCATTCACGCCTTGGAGGTAAAGCAGAAAAACAGAAAGCCAATCAGAACTCTTGTCGATAATAAGCAGGGTGTAAGCGATACATTAGAAGGGCAAAAAGTAGAAACTACCAACGCGAGTTCTGATTGGCTTCTGCTTTTCTGCCAATCAGAACTCGCGCTGGTGTCACAATTTCGGGTGGCGCCCAATTAACCTTGTGGCCAATTGGCCAATTCAAAATAGGACTTTCTGATTGGTCAATTGGTGGTTACCCTAGACACAAGTCGATATAATTGGTCACATTCAGCAGACTTAAAAGTTGAGCAACATTACTAGATTTTCCGATGTAATTCGACGCTGATTGGTCAGATCTGACAGTAGAAACCAATCATGTTCGGTTGCTACTTAGCAATTGAGTTCCGCTGAATGCGGCTATTGGCTGTGATCAATCGCACGCGGTCAAACGGGAGGATCCCCACAATTTCTACTTTTTGCCTTTCTAATGTACTGCTTAAACACTGCTTATTAACAGCGCGAGTTCTGATTGGCTTTATGCTTTTAGAATTTAATGCTATTTTCAAATTGACGCATAACCTTTATTAAAGTGTATCTATAAACAAGGGTGCATTTAATTATTTTTATAAATACAATGGTATGTTTATCATTTTTATTTATATAAACTAAAAGGAGTTATATTTTCGTTTTCTTAACATTTATGATTTAATTGTTTCAGTTACCTTTGACTTTATTGAAGACGGCGCAAAATCACCCCATGGTATGTTTTGGATTTTCATGCACTCTTGAGAAAAACTATGTATATTATTTATTTAAATCTTAGCATATATATTACAATCAAATTTTTTTGTTGTAGCTGGTAGAGCTGAAGAATGGAGAAACATACAATGGTCATTTAGTTAGTTGTGACAACTGGATGAACATAAATCTTAGAGAAGTTATATGTACTTCAAGGGTACGATTATTTTACATACATCTCTTTTAATATTTAATGTAGCAATTTATATAAGCTGAGCAATGAAATGAAACTAAAGAAAGTCATGTGTTATAATAATTTTGAAATTGGTTGATTTATTTCCACTGAGATTCCAAAGTCTTAGAATTTTACTTATAGGTATATTCACTATTAATATTTGACAATTGTATTTTAGGATGGTGACAAGTTTTGGAGAATGCCCGAATGCTATATAAGAGGCAGCACGATAAAATATCTGAGGATTCCTGATGAAGTAATAGATATGGTAAAGGAAGATATACAAATGAAGTCGAGGGGACGTGGTGAAATGAAAGGTCGAGGCCAGAGTCAAAGAGGACGTGGCAGTGGAAGAGGTAATTTTGTAAATTTATCAACTTATTCACAAAGTCACATTTATTCTTTCTTTTTGTTTCCGTTATTAAATGCATGTTCTTTGAACTACAAATTTCTTGACAAATTTTAAACTTAACAAAAGTATTGAATATACTTGTAATTTTAAAAATTATTTATGCAATTTGAAAATGAACATTTTTAAAATTAGAAAAACCTATTATATGCTTTTAATGAAAATTACTTTATATTATTATGAATAATTTTATAATCTGAAAATTTTTAAATGATTGTTGCACGTTATATTTTACAGGTACCTTTGGTAGAGGAGGAAGAGGTCCAGCACCATTAAGTCGTGGAGGTGGCACACAAATTGGGAATAAGTCACAAAATAAATCAAGACCTAAATGAAATTAAATATGTTATTTACATTCTGTTGCAATTTAATAATTATAAATACTTCGTTATCATTGATATTTTTTACAAAAACTTCTGTAATTTAATTTTTTTTTTCATTTTATACAAACTTAGGTTTGTATATACAACAGCTGGATTTATGTAATGAAATTATAAAGGTACATGATGCTCACAGCAATTATATTGATCTTAATTTATATACTAAATTTCTTTTTGCAACTTTTACTAAGATGATAGGCAATAAAAGTATTAATAACAATTAATAATCAATAAGTTATAAGAATTAAAAAAAAAATTAGATAAAATACAATTCTAAAATTATAGTTTATTATACATCGTTAGAAAACATTTTCCTTTACTTTTAAAAAAATTATCTATTTTTGTTTAAAAGTCTTTTTTTGATATTTTTATACTTTTACAGGATTATGAAATTTAAGGATTGTATACTCTCTTTAATCTATTATAGATATTTATTTTCTAATTGTGGAATAAGATATACACGTAATGTACATTTTTTTAAATCAATAATGGTTTATTGAGTTGGCTTTCAAAGTAGTTGTATGTATAATTATGTGGATCGGATCACGTCCAATATCATTAAAAATAATTGATATAATTGTACAAAACATGATCTTTTGCAATAAGTGGAATATTATGTTGTTCTTTTATATATTTATCATTGCTGTGTGTGTGTTCTTATATAGTAAATAAGTGGAGTAAAAAGCTGCTTCAAGCGAAAAAATATTTTACTTAAATGCAGTTTTAGGTACTATATTTTTATGTCTTATATTCAATAATAAATATATACTCAAATAATGTGCTTTAAAAGATTTTATTGCAGTTTATATATTGTCATAGGGCAATTCATCGTCCTTCAACTAAAATAAAAATTACGATTAATATAACACAACATTCTTAGATATTTGATAGTTGGAAAAAAAGAAAAAAAAAGCAATTACTTACTATATGAAGCAAGATCAATTTCGTCTGGTAATTCTGTTATATTTACATCAAACCTTTCCTGAACATCATTTAATATTTTTGCGTCACTTTCATCGCTCACTAATGTAATGGCAAGACCCTAAAGAAAATGTTTCCAAGTTAATAAATATATTTTTCTATACATTTTATCTATTAAATAAAGAAAAAAGTATACACTATGAAAGTTCCTCTGAGATTTAAAATCGTCCTTGTGGTTTAAATTAACTCCCACAAATGTGAGTCAATATTAAATATTTTGTTCTCATTTTAATTTTATCTCAGTGTAGTGCAAACATATATGTACAAACATGTAACTGGAAAAAAAACCCGAGGCATAAGATAAAATAAGAATCTAAATCGAAAAATTCCGAGCCTTTTTTTTATCTGAGCTTCTTTTTCGTTTTATATAGTGTTAAACTTAGCTAATCAGCATTTGTCTGTAGATGAACTGTCTCGCTACTCTCGGGTCTTCCCTACTTTCTCTGCTTTCCATTATAGACAATCATTATATGCTCTATGTTCTTTTTTTCAGTTACATATATATGTTATTTGTTGTGTGTGTGTGTGTACACACAGTTATACATACATACATATCAGGATGTCTCAAAGATCCCAACACTCAACATGAGCAAGTAAAATGAATAGAACGATAAACTGAACAGAAAGTCCTTTATCATTCTGCAATAATTATTGAAATGATAATTAATAAGGATTGAAGAATGAGCGCGCGTTTCGCACGATTAGTTTGTAGTTTGAGATATATGTTCTAGATGTATCAACATCGAATGTTATACAGTAATAAAGTTTGGTCTTGTGTAACCGACTTTCATCTTTTCGTCGCTCGACGCTTAGAGCTTTACATCCAATGATCTAGCCGGAATGCACGCTTATTAATCAATTCTTTTTATTAATTAATATTTCAATAATTTTTATAAGAAGAGAAGAATTGCAAAATAGTAAAAAAGTTTTTAGTTTACGCGTTCTATTCCTTCACGAATGTCGACACAATTTTTATGAGACATTCTGTATATACTTTTTCAAATATTAAAAGAATTAGAGTTAACATTAATATTATTACCTTTGTGCCAAAACGACCAGCACGCGCCACTCTATGTAAATATGTATCGGAATCTTCTGGCATGTCATAATTGAATACAATATTCACACGTTCTATATCCATACCTCGTCCAAACAAGTTTGTTGCTACCAAAATACGCTGAAAATAATGTTATTCCTTATTTTATATAAAAGACTTGTTTAATTTACATTAGCTATCCTAGCTAATTACACTAGCTATCCTAAATCAAGCTTTCTGGAATTTGATGGATAAATTATTTACCTTTTGAAAATCCTTAAATTGTTGATATCTAGACAATCGCTCTTCTTGTGTCATGCCTCGATGAATTCCAATTGCAGGAAAATTTTGTTCTGTCAGAAGTTGTGCTAAAGCCATGCATCTTTGGACAGACTTAACAAATATGACAACCTATATACAGAATTCAATTATTAATACATAAAATGCATCGTGTTATATATATCATAATAAAAGCAACTAATTTAAAACAATTTTAATGTAGATATTTGGAAGAATCTTGATCAGATTTGGTGGGTAATGATAAAACAGTCATCATGAAAGAATAAGAAAATTCTTGCATCATCATGTAAGGATTCTTTCTGATGAAAGAAAACATATTGTTAGATTATCTTAGTTTGCAAAACAAACCTGATTAAATTCGAGAACATCAAGTAGTTCAAACAATTTCTTATTCTTCTCATTTTCTTTCAATTTGACATAATGTTGCTGCAGACCGTTTAAAGTGAGTTTCGCTTCGTCATCGACATAGACTTCCATGGGCTGCACAAAGAACATTTTTTTGTAAGATTAACAAAATTCTATTAAATCAATTATAGTGCCTATGTAATTCTCAGACTGTGAGAGTTTGTAGTTCTTTAAAATATTATTATTTTGCAGTCTGAAGTTTGTGTAATTAAATATGAGAAAGACTGTGAGAAGGGACAATATACACACATATTAACTAAAAATCAACAAAAAAATAAAAAGTATACTATCCCTTTATAAATGGCTATATCATTTTTCACACAAGTTTGTAAAAAAAAAATATATATATATATATTTTTAAGAGATTTATAAACCACACAAAAAGGAAAAGAAGCCAAAATCAGTTTCTTAATTGTACTATTTGAATATTTTTTCTTTCTTTAAAGAAGACTAGACGCGATTAGATTTGTTTTAATCACATATACATATACATATATATATATATATATATATATATATATATATATATATATATATATACACATGTGTACGTATCCTTTAATAGCGAAAATCTTTCAGTATAGACTTTCGTATTTCATTTGCAGAGTATATGCGGAATAATCTCGTCGATCGGGATTAATCATACAGATTACATACGGTCCGACGATTTCCATCTCTGGGTAGTGTCAACAATGAAAATTCGGCAGTTCAGCCCAATTGAACTTAAGACGGCGCACTCGCACGTGAGAGAACGTTCAATCCACTAGCCAATGCCGAATCTCTTCTCCCAAATTTCTGGCACATTCAGATGCCCAGACTCAATTCGTATTATTTGGTATATTCTCGGTTTTTCACTTAAATTTTAACACTTTTGGTATCCGCGAAGAATCGCAATTTTATATCACTCGTGCAAAATATAAAGAATCACGGTACGAAGATTTGCATGTAGTTTTCACGTGACTTTATCCCTTTCTATACAAGAATAGTATGCTCGATTTATACTTTTCATCTTTTCATACATCCTCACTTCTACTAAAAAACTGTATAGAGCAATAGAAATCTTTGCATACAAAGTAAGAAAATCTTAATATAATGTTCGAGGAACATGCAAATACGTTAATTATATATGCTACGCTTTCAATTTAGACTTTTTTCCCTCCAACTATAATCCTAATTTATTCCCCCAGGTATCCTCTTGTATCTTCTTTCTTGAACTCTTCTGTCTTGAGGTTGTCTTGAAATCTTCTTGATCCTTTCCCCCCACCCACAGATTTGCAATTATATAGATCCTAATTTTATTCTATTAATAGTCACAATGATCATTATCAATAAAAATGCAGATAGAATATTTTATATCCCTCATCTTTTTTCCCATTATTCCCTAAAAGACATTTGTATCTTTATATACTGTATTGCTCTTTGAATGCGTAGCAACTAGCAAATTAAAGACCTTTATCATCGATCAAGACTCTAAATTGGATCTTTTGTTTATGCCATTTTAAGCAGTCAAAGAATCAGTTAAAAAACGCCTTCCACATATATGTATAGATATATATATAAATATAAATATATATATATGTATATATATATGTGTGTGTGTGTATGTATGTGCGTATGGGTGATGTGTATACATGTGACACACATACATCCAAAAGTTTAGACTTGGAAGGAGATATCATGTTTGGCACGAGTGTCGAGCATATGATTGTGCGCCGTTTACGAAAGATACCGAAAGGGATTCATTTCGAAACTCTGTACTTCGGTTTCTTTGACGTGGCGTATAAGTCGCGTCTAACCCGCGCATGCGCCGACAATGATATTTCTAATGTAGGCTGAGCTTTGTCCTGGATACAAATACGGGACCAACGAAGTAGAAGTAATTGTAGATCGAAGTGAAGAGGAAGATTGTGTAATTACATCTTGCATGAACTTTTTGCAGACAGGACGTATTTCCTTGGACAATGTGGCGCTGAACATCATGACTTGTTTGCTATGTGGCGTGCTTCTAAATATTTCCTGTACATCTCTGCGCATATCTGTAATAGCAGTAGGAATTATTTGCATTTTATTCAAAATAACATGGTAAAAAAATAAATTTTAAAGAAATGCTCAGTAATTGGGTAGTGGTAAAGCGTAGTCATCATAGTATAGACTAAGATTATCTTGTACATCATGTAAAGATTCTATCCAATGATAAAAAATGTAATTTTGAATAAGTTTTAAATTATTTATAACACACCTAGTAACTCGAGCATTTTGTCACATTCGTCGAGTATAAAGTGTTTCAGATGCTTCAAATTCAATTTCTTAGTCCGCACAAGAGCGAGGATACGACCAGGGGTTCCAACAACAATATGAGGACATACAGTTTTTAAGACTTCTTCATCTTTCTGAATAGGTAAGCCACCGAAAAATACACCAACCTATTTAAAAAAAAATTCAAATTATAAAAATCAGACAGTGATATACTTTCACATTTTTTTATAAACGATGAAATATAAAATATTAAATGATAATGATATCATGTGACTAATAACAATATTAATAAATATTTATCAAAGAAAGTTTAGTTTGTATTTATTTAGAATTTGACAAAATAAAAAAAAGAATAAAAATTGAAAAGTTGCGCAACATTTATTATTCTACTGATTTGATATAGCTTATACAGTTTATATACGATATATGATATAGTTTATATACAATTAAAACTTAATAAAACTTACTTTCACATGTGGCATGTATTTGCTAAACCTCTCATATTCTTTACTGATTTGGAAAGCTAGTTCTCGGGTATGACACATCACTAAGACATAGACTTGATTTTCTGTTAATTCCAGCTGTTGAAGAGTAGCTAATACAAACACAGCAGTCTTCCCCATACCAGATTTTGCTTGACACAGTATATCCATACCAAGCACTGCTTGAGGAATACATTCATGTTGCACTGTAAACAATAAACATTTATATTTCACTCACATGTATCGAGAAGAAGATATGGCTATAAATATTAGTAAGAGAGTATCAGAAACAGTATCGATCACGAAACTTCAGTTGTCCCTATCTTGTGTTACAAAATATTCATCATTGTATTTCTGAGTGAACTAAAATAAAGTGGAAATAAATAATACACTAATTACCTTCAGATGGATGTTCAAAACCACAATCGACAATAGCACGTAAAATCTCTGGCTTAAGAAGAAAATCTCTAAATCCACTGCTGTGGATAGAGACATATGTGCCCTTTACTTCTTTGTTCTTTGCAGGAACATCTCCACTTCCATCAACAACTTGTTCGGTTTGTTCTTCATCCTCATAATCCAAGAGGTCATCATTATCCGCCATTATATCGTCCTGAATTCAATACAGTAAGATTACTGAAATTAAAATTTTCAAAAATTAGATACATAATAGTGTAAATTGGAAATGCATCATTTTATATATGAATTAAGAAATCAACATTTTGCTCTCTTTAATAAAAGGAGCAATTAAGATGAAAAAGAATAGATTACTATTAGTTGACCAAGTCCATTCAATCTTTTTAAATATTTTTTTCAGCTTGTAAAATATATATATATTATAAAGATTACATTATAAATATATGCAAAATATTTTCATATAAATAAAAATCTATAATAAATCTATAATAAATATGACTGTTGCTACTAAAAAAATAATCAATTGCATATGAAAATTATGCGTCTAAAGAGATTAATGCCACATGTATGTATATATAATTGCCTTTTTCACTTATTTTAAAATAATAAGTGATAAGTTTCAATAAATATATGTTATATGTATCGCGCTTGTTTTCTGTGACTAATAAACACGATCTACAAAAATATTTTATTATTTATCGAAGGATATAATGATAAAAACATATTTTAATATTATTTTATCACCATTGCATTCTCGGACAAATAACGATTTTGTCGAAAAAGCGTTCGCGTAATGGCCGTCGTTTTGATGCCATGCTATTAACCGCGAAAATGCTAAACCATTGAATTCCGTTCGTAAAGTTACACAATTACAGAAAATCGAAAGCAAATAATTGTATAAAAAGAGACAAAGAAAACAATTGTATAAAAATACACACATCATTCACAATATATTTATCGAAACATTTCACTTTCTTGGCGGCAACCATCCGCCGTCCGGTGTTTAGAAAGGGACGCTCGTGCGTCGTAAAATTTACTTTAGTTTGCAAATGTATATTCGATCTAAAACAAAAACCTATAGAATTCTACGAAAATTTGAAAAATCACACAATGTTATTTCATACATTTTATAAAGGGATCGCTTTTATTATCGACGATGCAAATTGGATTACAAAAGCTCCTTACTCACCTTACAACGTACAACTCCGGTTGATTTCGAGCGACTTTGGCGAATTCCGATGAATGACGCTGACCGATCATAGATATATATATAATACATAGAGGGAGCATTAATCATTTTTCGGTGGCCGATTGACCACGTCGCCAATTGGCTAATTGAAAATAGAAGTCTCTGATTGGTCAATCGGCTAGGGCCAATCGTAACGTCGTTAAACGGAACGCTCCGATCATCTTCGAGTTGCGCGCGGACAAGAAGCGATGCGGAAGCCAATGATTGCATTTAAGGGACTCAACCGTTAAGTAGCAATCGAAAATGGGAGCTTTCCAGCAACGACACAGAGCGACAGAATATCATTGGCCACATTCAGCGGACTCAACAGTTGGGAAACATTACTAGATTTTCTGATGTAACTCGACGCTGATTGGTCGGACCTGAAAGTAAAGACCAATCATATTCGATTGCTACTTAGCGATTATATCCGCTGAATGCGGTCAGATTGAAGATTGAAATTTGTCCAATTAAAAGAATGAAATTCAACTTTTTTTTCTTCTTAAAACGAAAAGATTAGTCAAAACAAATTTCAATCTTTAATTTTCAATCTCAATGCATAATCACACTACCAGTTGCGGTTGAAATTAACCCATCAGAATAAAACAATTTGTTGGCCGGATACTCTGATTGGTTAATTCTTTTCTTATAAGATTCATAATGAAAACATTTCTCTCCACGTCTATAGTTTTTATTTTTTTGCAAAATAAAATAAATATAATCTAATTAAATAAGTATAATTCTGTGAAATAAATAAAATTTCTAATTTATCCTCTGCTATTATTTTCCTGCTCTTATTATCCTCTGCTATTATTTTATATACTTTTATGTTTGCATTTTGAGAAAATATGAGTAATAAATTTTTAATTAATTTTAATACTTTCAATTTTTTACTTGATTAAAAAAAAATGATAATTTCCCTCTCGTTTTAAATATATACCGATTGATATAACATATTTTAAATAATTAATACTTAGAAAAAATAGTTTAGCAAACTATGATGGTATGTATCTACACCAGTACTACAAAAGCATACATAATTAGAATGTACAAATTATTTGGAAATACATATATCTTACTTTCAAGTAAACGTGACACATAAACGGGACATGTGTAAAAACATTTATGTATTTTTATTAACATTTTTTACATTTTTAATAGTTACATTATGATCTGTGCTTCGCATTTATTTTATACAAAGATAGATATAATGGGTTGACAGTAATGCATACCACTCTCATCCGCGTAAACCGCTCGAAGCGTTGTTTCTCATATTTAAATTTTGTGGAACAATAATTTCTTTTTCCTTTTCATCATTCATTTAATAATATACACACTATATACATGTGTGTATGTATATGTGTATATATATATACATACACACACACACACATATATATATATACATATACATATATATATATATATATATATATATATATATATATATATATATGCATATATTAGTGTATATATTATAATTTTAAACGGAAATATTTTATCTAAAGTTTTGTTGTTGTTCATTCGCAGAGTTTGTGTCTTTTTTTTATCTTTATTTCTATTAAACTGCTATTCACACTGATGAAAACGTACACTTGACGCAACGTTATATGACAGTTGTCTATAATGGGTGACATAATAGTTTTAATATAGCATTATTAATGCAATTTTACTTTTATTACACTAAAATAAATTAAGAAACTGAATTCAATAATGAAAGATAATAAAGAAAAAGATATATATACATGTATGAATATCCCTCGTGTGATCCTGTTAATTATTTCTTATTATTTTAAAAGTATCTCATAAATTATCTCTTTCAGTTTATTTTCTTTTTATTATGCACTTTGTACAATTTATATTTGTAAATATTGGAATCTGTTTCTATCATTGATTATATTAGATTAAAAAATAGCAAAATTAGTGGTACAAAAAACTTTACTTTTATCAATATTCATGCTAAATTTTTTTTTCAATTTAATCTTGTTCATCATGTTGTTATGTTTACCTAATAATAAAACATATCTATATTTATAATCTTGTATAAAATTTTCATGCTACTAAATTATAACGATATAAATTTCTTTCAAATTAATTATAAAACATGCTCCAAGATGTACATTTGATCAATGTGAGTCGCAGCAAAATACATTGATTATTTTCAGTACATTTTAGTTCACTCCTTTCTCTTTCTTTCTTGCTATCACTCTTTGCTTTTACATCTTCAAGCTGCAATTAAAATTTATCTCGATCACTGACATTAATATCAAAGAAATTGCAGCAAATTTATAACAAAGTAACTAACAATCGGACAACAGTTAGGCACTATTAACAAATTATATATTCTGTTTCGCATAGACATATAGTCGGTAGGCTGTTAAAGATTATTAGAGTGGATTTATCTTTTATGAAAAATAAATTCATAGTCCAAAATATATAATAGGAATTATCTTTTATCTCAACACAAAACTATCTGTACACGCAACATTTAAATTTTATAATTAATAACTAAAAAAATCACAAAAATGAAATTTTTGAAAATATTGAAACAATAAACAGCGCAATATCACAACTGAAAATATATTTGTGCGTGTAGAGACAATATAATCTCTTTGACATTAATGTCGCACATTTGCCTGATATAATAGAGCATAGATGTTATACCTCTTCAACATTGTAATTATTTAAATACCTATTGACACAAGCATGTGGATGAATTTCACCTGAGCCATAATTTTAGTCGCAATGCATCCACGCCGTTCAAATAATATCGAAATAATCGTTTATCACGCACAAATCCAAGATTCTCGTATAAACGTAGCGCTGGCCTGTTAGTGATTTCCGTCTCCAAAACTACCTCGTCCGCGTCATCCTTTACCATCGCCTGAATGGCTCGCCTGACGAGATTCGATCCGATCTTCCGTTTTCGAAACTTCACATCGACAGCTAGCATCGCAATATAGCCGCGCTTTATCACCTTCCTATGGATGTCCAGTTTGCAGACGATGGCACCGACACACTCGTCACCATGCATCGCCTTGACGAACAAAAAGCAAGAGTTTTCTGTAAATTCTACACCTGAAAGTCAAAAGAATCGAACCAAAGCTGGCTAAGTTCTTTTTTGTTCTTTCACATTATCCGAAGCCATTATTAAGCCGTATTTCGAAAGCTCCGGCGCAAATTATACAGATAAAACTTGTAAAGTCATTACTAACATTGTAGCACTCGTATAATATTATATATATCAAGCATTGCTCGAATACAACAATAGGCTAAAGATCTTCTAGTGCGCACATACCAGGAAGCACAATTTCGGCCAGTTATGAATAAAATATCTATATGTGTAAATAGAATATGGTTCACTTAGGTCCTTCTGTATTAATTTCATAATATCAGGCATTTGTAGTTCGCTCATATAGCTAACATATTGGATATCGTTGTCTTTACTTTCCATGGATAATGTTTCTGCTTGTTCTGTAACACGACGAAGAAAGTTTTTACAAGTTTTAGTTCATCCTCAGTATTCTACAGATACGATATATCGTACAAAGACAGGTACAAGGAGTAAACAATTATTGTGACGATTAATTATCTAATTTTTCACAAAAGATACATCTCAAACTTGACATACGTATTATACATAAAGATAATGAAAGATAATAAAAGATAACTTTGTTCGACGGACTAGTTTGTTTTAGCATTTCGGAAGCAAGTTGACACATTTAGCAGGATATCAATAAGACAATATAAAGCCCAAGTACTCCGTAAAATTTTTTATAGCGACAGACAATATGCGATAATAAACGAACGCGGGAAAACATTCGCGTGTATTTTATTCGCATAGAGAGTGTTTTTCTTCTCCCGTCGCGCGTACAAGTTTATCTATCGCATATGTCTCTCGATTACGGACAGTTGGCGAGAAAGCACCGCACGTACCATGTTGGTTTAAATGACTAGCTTCCATTGTTTCGGATTGCGGGGAAAGATCGGCGACATCGGCAGTTCTTTGCGGAGAATCGCAGACACCGTTCACTTGAGCTACCCCGTTAACGTGAGGCTCGTTGCAAGCCTCTTCTGTTTTGTTCAAACTAAGACGCGACTTTATATCTAGAGTCGCGATGTCTGCAATCGAATTCCGTTTCTTTTCTTTGATTTTTAACGCCGCCGCTTCCGAATCACTTACTTCCGCGTTACCCTCCACCTTGTCAGTTTCCATTTTTGAATTTTCCTTTTACTTTTCAAAATATTCCGCACGCCAAGGAAGACGGAGGAAGTTCTCGGCCACTGTCTTCGAGGCACCGATCCCTTCACGACTGTCAATCGTGCGCGTGACGAGACACAGTGGCATGAGAATTTTCACGTGCAACGAGATTCTTTCAATCGAATTTTCATAATTACTGTCATTTACGCGGTCGCCGGATAATGATTTTATCTCAAAATACGGACATCCGACGTAAACCGCTCGACGAAAGACACCATATTGGATTTTCTACGGTGACTACTAACAATCGCGGAACGCGATATTCACGAGAGTTTCGACCACGAGGGACAGGTGAGTCGTGTTATCTCGTGACGCGAGAGATTGGCCGCATTCAGGTGGGTAACGTTACTAGATTTTCCGATGTGCTTCGACGCCGATTGGTTGGATCTGAAAGTGGAAACCAATCATGTTGGCTCACCCCTACCTTCCGCTGAATGCGGCCATTGGCTAGAAGGATAAAGGCTCTAGAAATTTTCTATCTACAGCCAATCGCGTAACTTTGGCCAATCAGCGTCGAGCAATCGAATTACATCGGGAAATCTAGTAATGCAAATTACCCAATTGTGAGTCCGCTGAATGCGGCCATTGTGGTGGTAGAAATCAGTAGAGGCTAGAGGCTACAGACACGTCGAGTCGAGGTGACGTGTCGTGGCATCTTTCTGTTTTTCGAAATTTTATTCGCGTCAAAATGATTGCGTTTAAACGGGATAAAAAGGAGGAAGAAGATGGTAATTATTGTTAATCGCATTGTTTGCATTAATTGTGCGCAAGTTAAAAATTGCACGTAGATTATTATTATTATTATAGGTTAATCTCTCTCTCTCTCTCTCTCTCTCTCTCTCTCTCTCTCTCTCTCTCTCTCTCTCTCTCTTTCTCTGACAGCCAGCTAGTAAACACATTTATGTAAATGTCAATGAGAAATTTAGCTTTGAAGCCTATAAAGAGTTTTATTATTGTACATGATTTTTTTTTCAAGAAAATGTACATCTTCACCTATTGTTGAAGATGTTTAATATCGAATTATATTTAATTACGTATAATATTAAATTATGTCATACACTTGTCTTTCTTGTTGAAACAGGTGGTGGAAATCCTTTTCAAAACTTGGAAAAGACTACGGTTCTTCAAGAAGCGCGTACATTTAACAATACACCTGTAAACCCAAGAAAATGCGCCCATATTCTTACCAAGATCTTGTATCTGCTCAATCAAGGTGAACAATTGGGCACGATGGAAGCCACGGAAGCCTTCTTCGCTATGACTAAACTATTTCAATCGCGCGATGTCATATTGAGACGATTAGTTTATCTGGGTATCAAGGAATTGAGTTCTTTAGCCGAGGATGTAATTATAGTTACTTCCAGTCTTACGAAAGATATGACGGGAAAGGAGGATTTGTACAGGGCCGCTGCCATCCGGGCGCTTTGCACCATTACCGATGGTAGCATGTTGGCGGCCATCGAACGATACATGAAGCAAGCCATAGTCGATCGTTCGCCGGCTGTATCCAGTGCCGCTCTCGTCTCCTCTCTGCACTTGACGAGCGTGTCGGGCGACGTTGCGAGGAGATGGGCAAACGAGGCGCAAGAGGCATTAAATTCTAGTAACGTGATGGTTCAATATCACGCTCTGGGTGTCCTGTACCAAGCGCGTAAGACGGATAAGCACGCGGTGATAAAACTGGTCGCTAAACTTATGAAGACAAGCCCAAAGAGCCCTTATGCGGCATGCATGTTAATTAGAATGGCGTATAAATTATTGGACGAGGTAGACGAAGGCGAGGAATTGATAGGCTTCATCGAATCGTGTCTACGTCACAAATCCGAGATGGTGGTGTATGAGGCGGCGCACGCTCTTGTCAATCTCGGTCGAAGCGGCGCCAGGGAGATCGGGCCTGCGATTAGCGTCCTGCAATTGTTTTGCGGCTCGCCGAAACCGGCGCTTCGATTTGCCGCCGTTAGAACTCTGAACAAGGTTGCGATGTCTCATCCAGCGGCAGTCACGGCGTGTAATTTGGATCTGGAAAATTTAATTACAGACTCGAACAGATCGATTGCCACTTTGGCGATCACTACTCTTCTAAAAACTGGAGCGGAAAGTTCGGTGGATCGTTTAATGAAGCAGATTGCTACATTTGTATCGGAAATTTCGGATGAATTTAAAGTAGTTGTAGTCCAAGCCATCAGGTAAATTTGAAATGCTGCAAATTACTTTAATAAGTGGTCTTTCTTAACGATAATATGCCTTTTTTTTACAGGGCTCTGTGTCAAAAGTTTCCTCGTAAGCATGCAGTTTTGATGAATTTTCTTTCCGCCATGTTGAGAGACGAAGGCGGACTTGAGTATAAAGCGGCGATCGCTGACACTATTATAGCCGTAATGGAAGGGAATGCGGAAGCCAAGGAAGCGGGGCTCGCGCATCTCTGCGAATTTATCGAGGATTGCGAACACATTTCTCTCGCAGTTCGCATTTTGCATTTACTCGGTCAGGAAGGTCCAACGTCGAAGCAACCCTCGAGATATATCCGTTTCATTTATAATCGCGTTATCCTCGAAAGCGCTAGCGTGCGAGCCGCAGCTGTTACTGCTTTAGCGCGTTTCGCCGCCGCTTGCCCGCCTTTGCTCCCGAACGTCTTGGTGTTACTATCGCGCTGTCAGTTGGATTCAGACGATGAGGTTCGCGATCGTGCAGCTTACTACTGCACCATCTTACAGCAGCAAAACGATCCAACTATGCTGCCGTTGGTACAACCACCCGCGTTGTCCGTGCCGAGTCTAGAAAGAGCCTTGCGAAATTATATGCAGACACCTATGGAAGAATTGTTTGACATTTCTCAGGTTTGACATTGCTCTCTAATTAATTTTTTTCCCTAAAATATCGATCGTAAAGAAGACAAAGGATGTGTTATAGGATTGTCAATTCATTTGACACATGCCTTTTCTCTTTTTTTTTTTCTAACGGAAAAGGTTTCCGATTAATTTAAAACAGAATCTATATATTTTTCATTATTTACTAATGACTATCGTCGAATCATATATTACAGATACCTCCAGCTCAGACGATAGAGGAACCAGCTCAAGTGGAAGTGCATACCACTATCAAGCAACCTCGTTTGACCAGAGAGGAAAGCTTTATGGAAAAGTTATCACAAATTCCACATTTGGCTATAATTATTCGAGATACGTCACTCCTTAAATCTTCGTCGGTATTTGAATTAACCGAATCTGAAACGGAATATAATGTCAAATGTATCAAACATACATTTCCCGAGTATCTCATTCTGCAATTTGATTGTATCAACACTCTTTCTGATCAGCTCCTCGAGGATGTAGTAGTAGCCGTTGAACCTTCTGAAGGGTGATTATCAATGTGATTTTATCTTATATATATATATATTTTTTACATATTTTTGCGGCAAATGTAACGAGCCATATATTTCCAGCTATTCTGTTGTATGTGTGGTACCATGTTCACGATTACCTTATAACGAGCCAGGAACTACTTATACGGTATTAAAATATCCGGAAGATGTACATGCGAGCGTAGCTACTATTCCTACGACTCTTCGATTTATGGCGAGAGATTGCGACCCAACGACAGGAATACCAGATGCAGATCAAGGATACCATGATGAGTACATGGTAAGAAAAATTAAATTAGTTTTTATAATATTAATGAGAATTTTTATATTCGTATGTGTATTTCTTATCATATTTGTGAATGACTGACTGGCAATGAATATCTTTGTGATTGAGAGATTGATATTAGAAAATTATTTTTAGAAAAAGTTCTTTCGAGAGAGCAACATATTTGCTTGAATATTTTATTGATAACAATCTTTATCATATTATCGAAATTGTTATTCTTTACATTTTAGTTGGAGGATTTAGAGGTGACTCTAGCCGATCAAGTACGCGGCGTTGGTAATAGAGGCTTTGATTTTAATACTGCTTGGGATACATATGCTGCGAAAGGATTTGTCAAGTTAGAGGAAACATTCGCCTTGGGAGCTTCGGTAACTTCTTTGGAAGGGGCGATTCAAAGTCTTACAGGATTTTTGGGTTTGGAGGCTGTGGAACGCAGTAATAAGGTACAAAGCGGAGCGGCTGCACACAATTTGCTTTTAAGCGGCGTCTTCCGAGGCGGAAAAGAAGTATTAGCACGCGCAAGATTAGCATTGAACGGAACACAAGTTACAATGCAGCTATCTGTTCTTTGTCAAGATCCAGATGTAGCTGATTTAATAGTTTTGTCTGTAGGATAGATTACATAGAATAATTTTTAATATGTTATTCTTTTTATTTTGTGTCTTAGAGTTAATATCTATATTACTTGACTTTTCATCAAGGAGTACAATAATCATTAAACAATCTTCTAATGAATACAAAGCAACATTGATACATGTTTTGTGTTGAAGCGACTTTGGTCAAATTTTGTACTATACAGAGTAGTAATCTGCGTTATTATGATAACCGCGAAACATGATACTACATTTATGTAAAAAATAAAAGATAAAATTTTCTCATGCATGATTTTATTTTAAAAAAACGACTCTAAAGACTAGAAGATTAATAATATGTATTTCGTCTTTTTGAACATTAAATATAATTTAAATTAATATAAATTATCTAAAAAGTTAATCTTAAATCAAATGAATAAAACTTAATATTCTTTATATTTTAAAAATAATAAAAAGTATTTGTATGCTATACGCGAATGGATTTATAAAATATCAAAATTATATTAATAGAAAAAAAAATTATATATATATACAATTTTTTTTTTAATATATAAAATATTAAGTTTCATGTGTGTGTATATATATATCACACTTTTTATTAATAAAATTCTCTGATAGAGCTAGAGAGTTAAAGGTATTTGTTAATCTAGAAAAGAGAACCTTCAAAATTATGTATAAATGTAAAATAAAAGAAAAATGTTATTAATTTTTAATCTTCAAAATATTTAATTTCTTGAAAATAACGTATTATATTTGAAAAAATATTTTACACAAGCTCAATCTATTTTTTTTAATATACATTATTTCTTTCGCTTAATTCTATTTATATATGCCTATATATAATTTCAGTTATATATTATAAAGTCATTCCATTTGACTTAATATTTATTTTTTTTCGATACATTTAATAAAAATAATCCACAAAAAATAAATATGGAAAATTGTCAATTCACACTAGAACTCTCTCTTTCGTACATACATGTATATATATTGTGGTTACACAAATTTGTTTGTTCGTTTGTGCTTTTGTTCGAGAATATAAAAGTGTTAAATAATGTATAAATATATATATTATCAAGTATTTATAGAGTATTTTCATATTTTCACGCAATTGCCGTATTGTCATTATTGCTTGATTATTTAAGCGATTGTAAAAAAGCTCAATGTTATAAAAGAATATTCTTATATCACAAATATGAGAGTATTCTTTTTTTGGCAGAAATTTATCAGCCAAAATGATTTTCTTTTTGTTAGTTGTCTATCAAGCTGAATGACATTGCAGGATTAAAAAAAAAATTTAGTAGATTATTTTAACTGCGTATACGGCATTCGTGACAAGTAAATGCATTATAAAAGTCTAATACTATTATTAACTAGCATCAATTCTTTGTACATATTTCATACAATCAATTTTGTATTTAATCCACTATATCCCATTGATTGTTAAAATACTCTGAAAGCTACAATTATATTGAATTTTTTTAAATGTGTATGTATATGCACATTAAATAAATTTAATTATTATATTAGCCATTTGTGCGATTGATAATATTGTAAAATGAGGTAAAAAATTGTGGTTACTTATAAAATAAGATTGCTGCAAGCTGCTCCTTATCAAGTCTTGAAGTATTATATTACATACTAGGCATATATGTATTTGCAATTTGCTTTTGCACCAATGATAATGTTATATATTTTACAAATATACTAAACGTATTAAACAAATACTAAAATAATATACGAATTCTAATGTATGAATTTTGCATAACTCATGATTTCGAATAGATAATTTTATACATCTAATCGACATTAACATATTGACCTGTGACAGTAGCAGTTTGATGATATCTTCTTCTTCCAGAAAAATCTTCGTTCTCTTCGTTTAGTTGAGCCGAGCATGTTTCAACACCTGGATGCACTGGTGTTACTACAATTTGTTCATAATCATAAACTTTTCTCCTACAACAATAAAGTACAAGATAAGGAAATTTATCGAGCGTGGCAATGAAAAAGTTTTGTACAAACGCATCTACTCTTTTTTTTTTATTGCCTTTCTTATAATTTTTTAGAAATATTTTTAGTCAAAACATAATTGTTTAGCTTTAAGAGAAAAAAAATTTGAATTTTTATAACTCAAAATGTGATTGATTCTAAAATTCTTGATTCAATATAATACTGTATAATATTCTATAATCAGGTTTACCCCACGAGTCTAAGTAATGCAGTTCGAAGCCATTTGAAAAATTGAAATTCTGCAGAAATTCCAGGTTTAACAGCAGGATTGGCGTGACCGACATAACTCCAGACAAGAAATACCACGATGATATTAACAATAGCGTATCCCCAATGTACGAGAAACATTATAAGCAGCTTTACAAGACACTGCAATGTAAATTTATACATAAAAATTTTTGAACTTTTTTTCATATAATTAAAATATTTTAAAACAAATTTATTATTTTAGCATGAGAAAATTATATTTTTCAGCAAACACAATAAATGTTTCAATATGTTGAAATACTTACGCCCAATAACGAAAACCATCTATTGCACAAAGGACTGTACCAATTTTCTAATTTATTATGTATGTAAACTTTTCGTTCCGATGAACTAATAACGCTAACGCTATCTTCGATGCTCGGTGATGAATCCATATATATATTATTATCGGAAACACTGTTGCTTCTCTATAAAAATAATTATTATTCGATAAGACATATATAAATCACCAAGTTGAATTATAACTTCGAATTTAAAAAAAATATATGATTTCTTACCGCAAGATTCTTGTGTCTTATTCTTTCGGGAAATAGGCTGTCTAAATCATTATCCGTATCTGTTATCGAATTATTTCTACTTGCGGAACCATAATTGCGGTCGAACGTTGGAGACTGTGTACGAAATCTTTGTTCACGCGTATGCCGAAGATCAAATGTTTGCGCGAGAGCAAAATAAGCGTAATCTAGGCATGCGTATGTCAATAAAAAAGGCATTGTCACGATCGGTGCAAGTGTATTAATTTGCCCGGTAATAATGAAAGTCAACGTTACCACAGCAACAACCAGCATAGCATATATAGGTACTTTATTTGGTCCCCTCTGAAAATGCATATTACTGCTGCTCAATCAATCTCTTGTATAATTTTACAACAAAAAATATTATACTTTCTTTCTAGCATAGAATTTTATTTTTTCCTGATGTAGTCTATGTTATATGTATCAATTGTATTATATATTTTATATATATATATATATATATATATATATATTTATATTTATATTTATATTACTAATATTTTTATTACATTATATTATATTATATGGTTCGGTTTTTCATATCTTTATCTAAATTTAAGACTCGAAAGCTCTCGCTTAGAGTTTAATTAAATAATTGATTAAAAAAGAAAAAAAGAAGTAATCACCCCTCTCTGCAAACATCTCATTCCTGGTATAACATTTTGGCTGGCAATAGATTGAAGAACGCGAGGTGTACCATACATAGCACCCAAACAGCTGCTAAACGACGATACATAGAGACCAGCGAGTAGCAGTACCGATATTGCCGATACCGTGGATGCTATTGTAAAGTTTGTGAGTAAAGTATTTCTGGCACAAGTTGCCGCAAGAGTCAATGAAAAACATAGATACAGACAAGTTCTGCAAAAAAAAAAATTATTTTAAAATGGAAAAATGTTTTCATAAAAAGCTATGTAACTTATATCAGTGACAATTTTTTTTACCCAGTTCCTAATGCTGCTAAAGTACCATTAGGAATATCGCTAGATGGATGCCTCAAATCTCCGCTCATATTAATTCCAGCTAAGACACCGGTGACTGTTGGAAAGAACACACCAAACACAGTAAACCAATTATATCCATCTTGATAATTCGGAAAAGTGTTATTTTTTAAATTCCCCGATAACCAGCCCTCGAAACCAGAATCTGCAAGCATAAATGGTATTGTACCCAACTTTAATTAAATTTCTATTTATGTATATAAATGTAAAGAATGCGATAAAACATTTTGTTTGCATTGTGAAATGCATGTCTTTATGATACTTTTAGTACTAGCTATACATTATTTTACCAATGTTAGTATGAGTGAAACTTCCAACCATAAAATCAACTCCAGCAAGAAGTAAGATCAGGAGAAGAATAAACTGCAATTTTACAACCCACTTAACACCAGCAACATTAATCACAGATAATAATATAACCGCTGCACACGCAAAACCACGTTGTGCCCATGTTGATGAATCTAAAGCTACAAGGCCAGCCATTGATTCCCCAAAGCCTAATACGTTTAGAGCACAACCCACTGCCTGAAATAAAATTCACAAACAGAGACTATAGCAAAATAAAAAAAAAAAATATATATATATATATAGGAAATGTTTATTTGTCCTTACCTGTCCAAAACAGTAAAGTAATCCAATAGAACCGCCAAACCTAGAGCCCAATACATGCGATAGTAAAAAATAGACTCCGCCGCTTTCAACTCTACATCGTTCGCATATTCCTACAGCTGACAATACTGTTACTAATGCGATACACACTGGAACCGATACAATAAATATAATATATATAATATAATAAATACATCGTATATATCTGTATTTCTTAAATAATGATTACCTGTACAAAAAATGATGGATACTGCATTTAACTATCCAACCAGACCTCAAAAATACAATTACTCCAAATATATTAATAAGACAAGATGTAAAGACTCCATCCCAAGTACCAAACAGTACAGGTTGGGAGATAAAGAAATTTGATTTCCACCAAGGATCTGAACTCTACGACAGATTTAATTCCCAAGACAAGAGTAGTAAAAGAAGTATAATAAATAATAATAAACGTAGTTGCTATACGCGATTAATTAGCTATTTCTCTTACATATTCTTGCGCAAACAATTCATTCGCTCCAGCCTGATACATTTCTGGATCGAGCGCATTGTTGCTCCGTTCATCCCCGTTGTTTCTCTTTGCGTTTCTTTGCATTTCTGGATCGCGCAAGCCGTATCTAGCCCAGTCGACATCTCTGTGTATCTGGACGTCACCGTTTGGCAATCTGTTATTCTCGTTTGATTCCATGTCTTCTATGTAACAAGATATACATGTATAAAAAATATAAATATACATTAGTTTAATCATTTCATTGATTCGGTTTTAATTCGCATATAGATTACGCGACGTACCTTTACATAATTTCGTAATCTGCAATCTTGTCTCGGTACTTTACAGTACTCTTCTAATATGGTGCGCTACTACATGTAGGTGAGAATATAAAATCTACGAAATTGGCAATTTTGAACATTGTGTATGCGTGTGCGTGCGAGCGTACGTGCGAATATTCAGATCTACATATATCAATTATCTCTTCGTCTTATCAAAGCGCTGCATTTGCATCTTTATGCGAGATAGGACGTCAATTGTCGACAACGTATGACGGCGCAAATAAGCGATAGAAACAGAGAATGGAAACTTTTCATCGCGAACAAACGTGAAATCAAAAATATTTGCCAATAGGAGCAGAGAATAAACACTATTTCCTGCGGTCTCAACAGTTGGGCAGCATTATTAGATTTTCCAATGTAATTTGACGCTGATTGGTCGGAACTGAAAGTAGAAACCAATCACGTTCGATTGCGGTTGAGTCCGCTGAATCCGGGTGGCACCCGATTGACCACGTCGCCTATTGGCCAATTCAAAATAGAAGTCTCTGATTGGTCAATCGTTGCTGGTTACCCTAGGCACAGATCGATATAATTGGTTGTGCTCAATCGCAACGTGGTCAAACGAGATACTCCCCTATACGTTCCATGTGACTGCAACTTACTAGGCGCTTCAAAAAGTGTAGTTCACTACACTCTTATGCAGACTTGTCGATAGCGGGAAAGATATTTGTTGAAGCAATGTGCAATAGCTCTGGTAATAGTCAATTTTCCAACAAGAATATTTGGCGTTGTTATCTAAAACAAAATGGATAATAATAACAAAAATTTGCACAACATCGTAGACATGATCGTGAGTATGCCGCATCTTTTATTTTCTATCGTGTAAATATGCGAGTAGTAGAGGTTAGCTTAAATTCTGATGTTTGATCAATTGTCCGTAACAAAGATATTTTCTTCACATTTTTAAATTCTTCCTGTATGAAAGTGATTCGAACAGAAAGATTATTCGAGACTGCGAGTTGTATGCATAGATTTTGTAGCTGTCGTGAAATACTTACACGGTTGGAAGCTTTTGCGAAAAACGTGTCGGTTTACCGGTACGCCAGTAATCTACTTCTCTCCGCAACTATTTCTCTCTTCTTATATGCGTACTGCGAAAATTGACAACAGACGCTTAAAAACGTTATCACAACTGTACACTTTAGTTTATTTATTTTATGTGTTTCTCGCTTTCATCTTTATATACACATGCTATACAATATATATTGTGTTATAAGATTTAATATATCTTGTAAGCTCTTTGTGTAATTTTTTTTTACATTTGTACGTTTGTAATTACAAATGTAATTGAAATATATCGGAAATATATATAATTTATATTGAAATATATATAAATAACTTTACAATTCCAGGAAGATGATTATAAGATAAAAAAAGTAAAAGAATCAAGCTTATTGTTGAAACAAAAAATGTGCAAAACCCAGTAAGTGTTTTTTTTTATATCTATATTTTTTTATTAGAATTTGATATATTGCACAATCAATTCTTTGATAAATTTTTATAATTTTTTATTCATTTCAGTGATTTAATTAAGCAATATACCGAAAAAGTAAGAGAAACTGATCGTTTGAAATTAGATCTGGAAGTTATAAAGAAGGATGCAAATTCTATGAAATCCAAGTACAAATCTGCCACAGATGAAACAAGAAAATTAGAACTTGTAAATAAGAATTTTCCTTAAATTAAGTTAGCCTTAATGTTTTCTTAAATCTTTTGTTAATAGTAGGTTTTTGCATGTTTTTTTATAAGAAACAAAGAAACTTTTATCTTTCAAGCTAATATTTAAAGATATTCAAATATAAAATATGGAGTATGGAATATTAAAAATCAAAGAAAAGAATCAAATTTATAATTTCTACTAATATATAAATAAAATTTTGTTACTTGTAATACATGAAATTATATATATATATATATATATATATATATATATATATACATATATAAGAGAAAACAAAATAATATTAATTTATTTAAGACAGAATACTTGACCAGAATATCTTTCAGATATTTTGATATAACTTTTTATTTATGAAGTTTCGAGTTTCAGAGTTTGAATGATAAATATTGCTTACATTATCTTTGTTCTTTAATACATTCCAATTTTGCCTAAGAAATAATTATCCATGTTTTATATATTATTTACATCTTACAATTGTTCAGCAAATTACAGAAGATAAATTCAAAAATGAAAAGTTATCAAATAAGATAGATGAATATGAGATAAATATAGCAGCAGATAAGCAGATTATACAACAATTAACATCTAAAATAAAAGAGTTGGAAGATGAGTGTTCTGCTAAAATTATGGAGTACGATCTGCAGAAATCATTTTACAAAGGTAAAACAAGTTGAAATTTTTTATATTTATTACTCATGTATTATACAATTGATACAAAAAACAAAAGAATCATATTTATATTTATAATTTCAATGTAACATCTATTTCTCTTTTTTACAAGGTAAAATTAGAGATTTAGAACATGAATTGGAACAAAAACCAAAAGTGACGCATAAGAGAAAGGACAAAAAAATCATTTCCAACAATTCTGATACTGTTAAATTAACGGAGGCAAAATCTAATTCGGATATTGGTATAAATGTATCATTATGTGATAGTGAATTAAGTATGAAATCTGTACAAGAAAAGAGCATCATGACTGACGAATTTTATAATATCAAGGATGATCCACATCCACTATTTTGTGCAAAATGTGAATCTCGTTTGCCCTTAGCTTTAACTCCTGAAAAAATATGCAAAACAATGTGCTCGTATCCAGAATTAATTGAAAAAGATTTTTTATCATCAAATGAAATTCTTCTTTCACCACGTTTAATTCCCAGTAAGTAATGCATGATAACTATTTGATACGATTATAGATTATTATTTAACTAATTTATATACATACACAAGGTGTATGTATGTGTGTGCTCACACATTATTCCTTCATATTGTATATTTGTATTACGTTACGTATATATTTTGCTCTCATACTGTTTTAATTTTTAGATACATATCCAGATTCCACAAATAGAAATGAAGATGTTCTTTCTAGAGCGTTATCTACATCGTCATATCTGAATCTATGTAGCCAATATAATGATTCAACAGCTGACAATTGGAAATCTCGATCGACTTTTCATTCAATGTCTGCAACGATGCAAAATTGCGAAAATGATGAATTAAGAAATGCGGATTTTACAACGCATACTCGGATTGCTACAAAACCATCTCGAAATAATCTTGGCTCAATTTCTGAATCATCATCCTCATTTCAAAGTATGGACTGTGTGAGAAAAGATTCATATTCCAATGACTTATTAGCTAAGCACTCTTCATCTATTGAAGAGATAAAGAAACAAATTGGATTATTAGAAAGACAAATGAAAAAATTTAAAAGATTAAAAGAAAAGCCAAATACTAATTCTTGTCATTGTGTTATGAAGTATAATGATAGTGCTTTGCTAAATTCGAATCTATTTGCCATAATCTGCAAAGGTATTGCAGAATATTACGATAAAAGGACGAAAACGTGCTCTAAAACTGCGCGAGATATTTATTCAGAGAAGGGTAAAAAAGGAAAGCTAAAGAGACATCGGTTAAACAAATATAATGAAAATAAAAGTACATCTTTGTGGAAAATTGAGAACATTGATGAAAGATATCTACAAGATAAAGAAAAACTTTATAATAAGTCTGAAGATACTAAGAAAGCGACTACATGTGATATTTTACAATCTAAACTATGTATAAATAAGTGTAATGAGATATCGTATGTAAATGAATCCAATAAGTTCCTTAGTGACATTGATGATTGTGACAAAAAAAAATTTATTTTCTGTAAAGAGAATGCATTGAATTCAGCAGAAAGGACGTCTATTGAAGATGTTCTAACAATGTCACATTTAAGTAGTCCAGATAAGTTATATGACAATATTGAAGAAATAAGCAATAATTCTTTTAATGAGGATAATGTAAAATCTATCAATATGGATTGTCAGACAAAAATGGAGATGAAAGTTTCATCATGTAACAGTGATATTAGCATTGATGATGCTGATAACAGAATTGCTGATGTAATTTTAGAAGAAAATAAAATAAAAAGGAAAAATCAAAATAAAGCGACATATAACGATCGTTTGTTTAAAAAAATGCGTAACTTAAAGAGAAAAGCGCAAGCAAATTCACATGTAAATACAGAAGAAAGTATTGAATTATACTCTGAAGATTATAAACCAATGAAAAAGTTGCGGATTGCGCATACTCCAAAAACAGCAGTTTTTCAACCAAGTACCGATCAAGATTTTACACCTTGCACTATACAAAGTAAATCTAATTCAAAAGCGTCGCAACAAAAGAATAATCGACGATTAAGTACACAAATTTTGAAAGATAATTTATTAACCAAGAACAAAGAAAATTGTACAATAAGCAAGAAATGTGACGAAAAGAATGCTGATGAATTTAGTGAGACAAACAGTATTGATGACAAAAGATGTACCAGAAAAATATACGAGAAAAACTTAGTCTCGACGAATAATGAAAATTGCCTTCAAAATAATAACAACCTCAATCTGTCTATTAGGGATATTAAGTGTGCATCTACAGTTACAGAATTTGATAAACATAATGATGTCTCGATTGAGGATACAAGGAAAGAAAGTATATCAAAGGAGAGATTAACAATAGAAATGTCAAATAATTGCCATGAGTTTGATGTATCACATAATAATGTTCCAGATAATACAGCGAAAGATTTAAAGCTTGAAAAAATCCCACTACAAACACAAGTTATTATCCAATCAGAATCTGGTGTTCACTGTAAAGATTCGAAATATGACGTATATAAATTTACTGAAAATTTACAAATAGAAGCGACCGATATTACTAAAAAAGGAATATCGCCGAGTATCGAATTGAAATACATTTATAATACAGAAGTACATAACAGTATAATACAGAAGACAGTTAAAGACAAAAGTGATTGTGGCAATCATGAGGCATCGAAGAATATGAATACAAATGAATCAATATCGAATCAGTCGATTGTGATGAAAGCAACGGGACACGAAAATCATAATAATCATGATGTACCTAATGAAGTTCCTGAAATACAATATTTGCAAAGAGATAGTGAAATCATTGTTGAGAATTGTACAGATGACAATGGTGTAGATGTATCTCTCAAAAGAGTAAGAAATACATTAGGGGAGCAAGAAGATGTGTGTGCTAATGATAAGCTAACTGAGATAGATACTGTCGAATTTCAACAAGAAAATGCGCAAGAAATATGCGCGAATCAAGACAAAGAAACAAAATTTATCGATCATATCTCTTATAATAATGTCAAACAATTTCAAACACCAATGTCTCAATTAACTAAATATATTAACACAAAATGCGTCAATCATAAACTATCACAGAAGAAGACGATATATAATTGTACAATTACAGGTATTTAATAAATAGAAAAAAAAGATAATCATAAAATATATTTTAAGAAAACAATCTATTTTAAAACGCTTAAAACAGTTTTTTTGAAAAATTTTTTAGTAATGTTTAAAATAATTGTTTGCTTCAAATTTTTAAAATTTCACATGTGTATAGATTTTACTAAATATTATATATATATATATATATATATATATATATATATAAAATATTAAATATATTTAATATTAAATATATTTATAAGCTCATTGGGTAAAAATAATCATTAAAAAGAGAATTTTCGAAAGAGCAAATAAAATGTAAAAAAGATCCAAAATGTGTGGCACTTTTAATAGCAAATTTCATTTTAAATTACTTTCTTAATTCATTTTTAATGAAATTATATATATATATATATATATATATATATATATATATGTATATATATTCATTTAAATACATAGATATTATACATATATTACTTATGTTTTAGACAAGTTTGTGAAGAAACAATTGAGAAGACTTGCAAACAGTACCTGGGAAAATTCTGTACATTATGATGTAATACAAAAATTGGCAAATACATGTGGGCCGCGTATTATAGCCAAGTTAGTATAATATTTTATTAAACTTGTCAAATACATAACAAGTACAAGTTTAAATATATTCAAAAATATTAATATTTATTCAAATATTAATAGATTTGATTTTCCAAATATTAAATTTGAATTTTTTTATGCTAAATATATGAATAAAACAAAAGAAGAATAACATTTTTCCAATTATTTTAGATGCATAGTCGAATTTTTGTTAGAGGATGTCGAACTTGACCAAACTCTAGATAAATCATTCACTCCACCAGCACCATTGATGACAACATTTGAGCAGAAGATCACAGCATTATTAGTTGATTTAGAAGTGTCAAAACCAACGGTCTCACATTTTGTACAAGTTGCTATTGAATATAAGCTATTCAAACTTCATGCTGAAATGAAGGTTTATATTTATATTTATTTAATATAATATACATTTAAATGATATTACACAACACAAATTACATTATACAGATCGGAGTAATCGATAATTAGCAAAGCGATGACTTTTCATGAATAAAATGCGAAAATTTTATTTTCAGTATTTTCCATTTATTTCCACATGAGAATTTATTATTTTTTTTATTGTATTACGATTTCTAGGCCAGTCTATAATAACAACATTAATAATAATAATAATGATAATAATAATAATAAAACCATTAATGTTTTTATCTATAGACCCGAGTTGACTCACTCACGCGGATGTATCTTGTCTTGTCGCGTATCCAGAAAGACAGGGGAAAAGTACGCATAATGTGCTGCAATGCTCTCTACTGCATGAATCTTATGTCGATAAATGTTTTATATACAGTGTTTACATCCTGGCCTGAAGTACTTCCCAATGCTGAAATTAACAAAGGTATTATATATGTCATTATATATAATATATATATTGTCATTATGTATAATATATATATTGTGTAATATATATATGTCATTATATATATATATATATATATATATATATATATACACACGCGAAAAAAATGTTCAATAGAATCATTAAAAAAAGCGACAACAAATTCTAGGATATTGTGTAATGGTTTCAACATTAATCATGCACACAATTGCACAGTTACTGTAATGTGAAGTACGAATTTATATTGACAAATATATATTACTATATTTTTGCAGAAATATTACCAACATGCATAGCCTTTCTTATCGGATCACAACGTATCCACGGTACACCATCACAAAAATTATTAAAAAGATTACTTGCGTTAAAGGGATTAGTATTGACATTTTATAAATATGCTTATACTAAGCAAGCAAGAGATGATATTGTTAAAGAGCTCATAACTCTTCTTAAAAGTAAGCATATTTTTGCACCATATTTTTATAATTTATATGTATATGTATATATGTATATATTTGTTGTAGCTAAACGGACTAATGGTTTAGATACAGCCATTATACTTGTTGCAAAGAGAGAAGGATCATCTTGGACATATACAAATATCCTTCAATCTACTCTATTGCCAATGATTATCAACTATGAACATCCTTGTATATATAGTGCATTTTCTCTACTTGGTATGTTAATTTTTCGTTTATTATAATATGTTTTTCATGAAAAAAAAAATATTTCATATTTTATACACATTGATATTATTTACATTATTACATATACAAGGTGTCCCATAATATGTAGCAACATCTTCAGAAATGGGTTTATCATGTAAAAAAATCAATTAAAAAATGATGCTAAATTCATTCTCAATTCTCGCAAATTATGGGACATTTTGCTTTGTATGTACATATATGCATGAGTGTGTGTGTGTATGTGTGCTTGCGTGTACATGTGTATTTATCTATTTATTTGTAGGAAAGCTTATACGTGCATTCCCATCAGAAGATGAAGGCAATATTGTGCTGGAGATTAGTGAACAGCTTTGTGACCTTATACAGTCTGGCCAAGGTGATATATCCATTTTCCATGAAAAGCTAGTTTTCTTATTTAATAATACATATATATAATATATATTATATAATTTCTTATTCATTTCTACAAATAGGTACGCACGATCAACAAGAAGGCATAATATCTGCATTGCTAAGTATTTCCAGACAGAAATTCGACATTGTTGCGCCGTCTATAATAAAGTGGACGCCGAGTAAACCTTTAAGACCAACTATCATCACACAGTTACAAGCGTTTATAAATACACGTAATCGAAAATTTTGGAAAAATTATTTGCAGCGTATCTAATCAAATTAAAACACGCCATGCCAATTATATTAAGTGATAGACTGATGTTTGCATCTTTCAATTATCATTTTAATGTTTTACAGCTAATTAACCAAAATTACAATGAGAAACAAGATATGATGTATTACGACATATTTATTATTGCATTGTGATATATTTTTTATTGCATATTGTTTAAAAATTTTCGATCCATTCCTCATTCTGTTTTAGCGAAATTTATAGATAAGATTTAATTTTATATATTTTGTGTTTAATTCTGTATATTATAAACTCGATTCGTACATGTTTACATAAAATTTAGTTTTTATTAGGTAAATTTTGCTCTATTATTACTTTATATACTAAAATATTTATTTTAAAGTGTAAATAAGTTTTTTCTAAATGCTCTACAATGTTATAAAAATTACTAGCATTTTTAGTTTATTATATGTTTACGCTTCATATTTTGTTATGAAATATTGAGACGTTCCGTTGTGATTCATACGATTAAGAGATATTATTTTTTGTGTGTAAAAATATGTAAATATTATAAAATTACAATATTACAAATTATTATTTTAAACATTATTTTTCTCGAAATTTCTTTGCTGAAAATATACTAAAATAGTATTATATCTCTTTTTCCCTCATTGTTATAACATCGATTAAGAAAAAAACTCATAAATAATATGGCTAAAATGCCAACCTAACAGTTTAAGTAGACCGTCAATTTTTTAAGATTCCTGATTTTTTTCTTACAATTATATTAAATTATATAATACACAAATTAAGTAGTGTACACATGCATTTGGAAATGAGAAATTATACATTTTTTTTCCATGATTACACATTAAAATAATTTTTTTCATATACTATCATTTGCCGATAATATAAATTAACAAAGTACATATGTCGAAAACTTTTTTCATAGATTCTATCCTGCATTATAATAAACGCGTGTGTATGATCCAATCTATGTTTGTATATTTTCGGGGAAAGTGAACATTTTTATAGTTGGTCAAACTTTATAGCAAATTATAATTAACTGATTAATTGATAAATGATGAAGAAAAGTCTGATATATATCTTACCTATCTGTATTGTCGGACATGAGCGGGATGCCGTGTCGTTAATTTATTCCAGTCTATAATGCAAGAAAAAAAATAAAGAACATGATTTACATGATTAATGGATCTGATGTCATAATTGTAACATTGCAGTACGACTGCAGCAAATAATCAGAAAAACTTTATTTTAAATTTTTACTTTAAATTTAAATAATTAATTGAAATTAAATAGAAATTAATTTAGAGAATCAATTCCTTAAATATGACAAAAGAATGGCAAAAATAATCTATATTTTGTTAGTTATTCTATCGCTTTTCTTCGATCTATTTGGCTTTCAAGATTTTTATCATTTTTTATATCGTTGTTTTATATTTCTTAATATTTCGTAATATGCTCGGCAAAAATTGTAGCGAAATATTGATTCGAAGAAAGTATGTAAGTAATCATGAGATTTCAATCAATTTTGACTCCATTGAACTTCATTTCTAGAATAGCGTTATACATATAAGTATCTAACAATAAATATTAAATTGCATATAAGAGATTATAGATCATATATGAGATTATAAATATCTATTTTTTAAATATATTATTTGAATATATACAAAGAGATTGATATTGCTGCATGGACATAATAAATTAGATGTTAATAGAAAGAAATATGATAACGTATTTATGCAAATATCGATATTTACGCTAGTTGGAAGTTTCAAAACAAAATTACAGGTTTTTATTTTTAATATAATAATAATAATGCTGTAAGATAATAAGAATATAATTATAATAGTAATAATAATAATAGTAATAGATAATATAATAATAATATTCAACATATATATCGTAAGTTTCCAACCACAGAGCACGCCAAGTTAGTACATGTGTGTATACATGGTTTTTTTTGTAAATAATAACAATATATTTATGATACTATGTTGCCAATCTCGGCTTATAACATTTCCTTCCTTTCTTTATTTTGTTAAAATTCCATTTGATTAACTTCCTTCTTGCATTAAATTCTGCTTTCTCTTTGTTTTTTTTTGCACACGCGCGCTCTCATTCTCATCTCTCTAAGTAACTAATTCTTCCAGTTAATCGATGTCTTTGGTACATTAACATCGCAAGCAGCATGCTATCATATATGCTTTGGAAGTTTGGTATATCAAATGAGGATACCCATCACACATTGTTCGCTGTCGTAAAGTGCGCTTGAAAAATACTCGCGAGTCTCGAGCATTGCACAGACAAGATTGTTATTTCTAAAGGTTTTAAGCGCGAGGAACGATAACACAAAATAAATATCAGGATCGATTTTATCACGGAAATTTTGAATAAAATTCCAAGATTGATAATATCATGTAAAGAGAGAGAGAATAAAAGAGTTAATAAAACTATAAAACTGTTGACGACGAATATTATTGTTTTCGCGTAGTGTAATATATATTTATACCTAATATGAATATTATAATATACGGCGAACATTATTTATTATATATTATTATTGCAAATTGAGAATATAATATTTGGAAAAAAGTAGAAATCGTACTTTACTCGATATATTATTGTTTTGCAGGATTTTTATATAAGAAATTTTATATATATATTATCATGTGATATATTCATGAGAATTGTGTGAGATTTATAGATCGAATCGTAGCTTTTTTTAAAAATTAGATTAAAACAGAGATTTTGTGTGTGTTGTGTACATCTAAATTTACAGGAATGAAAAATTTTTAATTGGTGAATGCCAATCTTTTGTCTTGCCATAAAAACGATATATTATTTAAGAGTAATTATTTCTCTGCAATTAACACACACGTGGCATAGTTTAAATAATGCTATTTAAATCCAAATTATTATGAAATTGTTGTAAAACTATCAAAGAAAATGCACTTGTGTCACTTTTTTTTGGATGACACTTTGGTGTCGTTATTTTACATGTATTTCATGTAGTCTTCTTAGCGCGCAAAATACAATACGTGGTGCCGTCTTATGTGCTAAAATGCCAAAACATCATTGGTACATCAATTGATCGTATTACATATATTCTTCTAAAATGGTTTATCATAATGCTTCGTATGATTACGGTATGATAACGATAATTTACACGATATAAATTATAATAAAAAAGACGCTCTTTCTCTCTCTCTCGTTCTCTCTCTTTTTTTCGTTTGACCGAGTCAGAAAAAAAGTATTAAATTCGGAAAAATGAAAATCAACCAAAATGGATGACACGAAAGAAACAAAAGCGTCGGATAAATGTAAAGAAAAAAAAAGAAAAATTATACACAAACGCGCGCGCGCTCACACACACATACATACACACGCGTATACATAAATATATATACACGTGTTTCAAATTATAATAAAAGTTAATGTTAAAAAGAACGAATAATTTTTCAACAATAAAAACTATCATGATTCAGTCAGTTAAATACAATCATTGACAAATTTTTACAGAATATATCGAAACTTGTAACTTGCATTGACACGCAACATATTACGCATAAAAAAATTTTTGTGACATTAAATATATAAATTTCAAATGTATTATACTCTATACCATATATCATTGCAAAAAGTATAGATTATTTTTTTTATTTTGAGTTATTTTATGTCCTGAATTTTTATACATTCTTTTTCAACAAATTCTTTGATATATTTTAGGAGTTTGTACTTTTGTGATTTTAACTGTTTTATCAGTGAAAAATTATTTGTTCGAATATAAATGTAATTTCAAATACAAATTTTTCTTTGGGAATATCATCGAGATTTTTAATTTATCAAAACTTATTATGACAATTGAATGTTTTGTGCGAAAAAAAATTTCCATTGTTCCTATAAATAATTTACATACTTGTCTTTTTGTTGGAGGCACAAAAGAGATGTTTATTTTGCAAACAACAATGTGTCTTTTTAATGTAACAATAACATGTATATCTCCCTCTCAAGAGGAAATCGCGCGACCATTTTCTCACAGCATATATACTGTTTTTAACGGTTAAATTAATTTGTACATACATACATACATATATATATATATATATATATATATATATATATATATGTGTATGTGTGTGTGTGTGTGTGTTATTTAAGTTACAACATAATCAATATAACCAATTATATAAGTCTGGAAGGAAATGTAATATGTGCATATTTAAGACATTCGTAGTTTTATCTAGCTGCATACATTAACTGTATTCATTGCATGATGTTGATATGTTACAAGCAAATATTTTACTGATAAATTCTTTACAATTAATTTCAAGTACGCGCTTGAAATTAAGAACAGACACTATTGTGTTCCTTCGTATCATCCGTTAGATTTATCTGATAAACGTGTTTTAAATTTGAATGCGACACAGTGATACAATCATACGCTGCATTCTCACATTCGTATCAATACTGCAATTTTACACATTTTTCTTCAAACAAGCCTTTAGTAATTAGTTTTATCGATACACATTGAAGTAAAAATAACTTCTAATAATAATAATAATTAATAGTCATAATTATTAATTATATTAATAAAGAATAATAATAATAATAATAATAAAAATAATTATAATTATAATAATAATAAATTAGGAACCACGTATACAATATGAAATATGAGAAATTAAATTAGAATACACTCCGTTAATGATAACTATTTTATACATTAAAAAGAGATACTATTTGTATTCGCTTTATAAATATTTAGGCCACGCTTTCGTTTTTTTACGTTCTCTCATTCTCTCTTTTTCTCTGCAATAAGCAGAATTTTCAAACAGTTTGAACAAGAGAGTCGTTTGTCGTTATTATTATTATTATTAAATGTATTTCAAATGACAAGTGACAGGTGAGTGCGTGATTAATATATGAAAATATGAAACAAAGTATTTAGAAAAGCTGCTTTTTATACTCTCGAGAGTATTTACAAATATACAAATTATTATTAAACTGTCGTCTAATTATTATTAATCGTCGTTTCTTCAATATCTTTTCCGTCTCTATTCTCGAATATACTTTAATTATAAAAATATGAATTTCGTTTTTTTTAAGCACAGCGTGATACAATAATGCTATCATGATAGAAAGTAATACAGTGTAGTACGACAAAAATGTTGCTTTCATTATAATCGATATTATCGAAGATCCGGGATTATTTTAACCTAGAGAGAATAATTCATTCTATTTACAAGAAGCTGAAATGAGAAGTGACAAAGAGGCCCAGCCTCGAGCTATCTTCAAGAAAACATATTCTATTGCATTTTAATATAGCATTTTTAACGCTGCTTAAATTTAAAATCAAATAATCTGAAAATTGGAAGAATTTGAAAAAAATAAAATAAAAAAAAAAAAATAAAAAAATGTGTGTAAAAAAATCGTGAATAATCTTAGCAATTATGTAATTGGAGATTAATTCAAGTCTTTTTTTATCTAAATAAATAAATATATATAAGCGATGAAATGAGAATGAAGCATGATTAATAGGATTGGACGCTATAGTATTTTCCTCAATTTTAATAATAACCGGTATATCTCTTCCTCATTTTATACATAGAATAAGAATTAAGAAAGAATGATTGGGGCTAATATCTTGCAGAATCATACATATACTACATTTCCCATTCTGTATTCATGTCACTGTATATTTTTGAAAACAAGACGAACAGAGAGATGGGACAGAAATTCTCAACTTTCCTTTCATGTACAAGACACACAGATGAAATAAATATTATTAGTTATTTCTCTATTATGAAATTAATAAATTATGAGCTGCGCTTATAAAGTCATTGAATTGATTTTTCTAGCATATTTCTTCTTCTATTCTCTCTCTCGTTCTCTAATGACGTATTCTCTTTTTTTTACTGCTTAGTTACAGATATATAGAAATAAAGATCGATTTTTCACTACAAATATGTCATTGCGTGTATGTACCATATGCCTAAGATTTATCAAATGATATTTTATTAAGAGCAAAGCGTGTTGAGAAAATATTGTATTGTCAGTACGTAACAATACAACGTCGGATGGCGATCTGACGTCAATAAATTTTTCTAACCAATTAGTAAATAGATAGCATATTTATTTTGAGCGGCAAAACGTATTTCATATGCGCTTAGGAAACTATTGCTTTCTGGTAAGACATTGGATTTATAATTTAAATTTAAATCCTAGAGATTTCTATATATAAGACACATATGTTCACTATTAACCATTTGATACTAATGGTACGATTAATCACGTGTTCGTAGAAGATTATTTTGTGGAAGAACTTATTATATAAAAGTACAATGCAAACTCATAAATCGCAATGTACCAGATCTATCTCGCAAACGCCGCGTTCTTATTCGCGATACATCATTATCCGGGGGTAAATTATGGATCAAAGTGTTTTACTAGAATTTGTTATCGAATACGGATAGCATGTACCAAGTATCAAAAGGTTTCTTGTCTATTAGCGGTTTTCGGCTAATTTTGTGTTTTACGAGAAAAATTTGTTTGTTACTAGCGTGTATTAGCGTCCCGCGCTCATAATAACACGCGAGCGATTCGTCGTTGAACGACGCTCGTCGTGGATAGATAAGACAGATAAACGAGTGGTTCTATTTGATCTTTTTTCGATCAAACGTATCGAAACTACACGTCTTGCTTTCTTACGAACGAGGGTAGAAAGGCACTACTTTTACAACTGATGCATGTATCTTTTTTTTCTATATTGATAATCAGTTGCGACAATAAAATGCGATACTAACATTTGCATGGAAACAATATTCGATATAGTTCCTGTCACTTTTACAAAAAAAAAAAAAAAAAAGATAATACATACGGAAATGTTTTGTTTTTGAACATTACACATCTTTTGTATTAGAAGTGTTTTTCGTTTTTTTTTCTTTTTTTCCAATGAAAGATTTGTTCCGCAGAAAAATTAAATTTTTACTCGTTGGAAGGAATACTCGATAAACGACAAGCGTCGAACGTCCCTTCAATCAAACTCGGAGGATTCGAGTGTGGCAATATGGGAATGTCTCGACACGAGAATCGAAGGGAGTTGACGTGCGTCGTCTCGGTACATGTGTAGTTCAGCTCAGAAATCGTACTCGACGTACTTGTATTCTCGCTTTGTATTCTCAGCATCGCGAATTAAGATATTCCGAATTAAACGGATATTGCCAACAAGAGTTCACTATTAAAGGCTATTAAAGGCCGCTGCTATCTCGAGATATATCTCGAGCAATCATCGACATTTATTCGACGATATTTCGTATGTTTCGCATGTTGCCGATATAATGAATCGTCGCAGCGGAATGCGTCGTACGTGGATGGCGCGTCGCATAGTTCGCTATTGGCTCGGATGCTTGCTTTCGCCGATGGACGCCATCCTCATTGATTCCGCTTCTGAGCAATTCCAGCTCGGCATTTTCGTCTGCTCTATCGTAGCCTAGAGAAATATTTGTATTATTAGTTTAATCGAATGTATTTCGCATTTATTCGGTTCCCGATTCATTTATATCCCGAGACTATTAATTCGATTCATCCATTCTTTTATTACCGAGCTGTTGGGATTCTTGGCCATGAAAATCATTAGAGAGCGGCTGCGGTTGCTAAACGGCCTTAACTCTGGATCTCGACCAGGACCGTCCACTGTGTCGACGTTACTGCTATAGCGAAAAAAAGAAGAGAAGAATAGACCGAATGTAATATTTGCGGTACAAGCGAGTATTATAATAGAGAGTCGGTATTCCAGGTGACGCAAACTTTCTCGAAAAGTGCGCAAATGTCGGGCGGATATGCCCGAAATTTATGCAAAGAATGAAAATGACGATGACAATAATGGATCAATTACCTCGACCGTAATTCCTTTTGCTTTCGCTTACAATGAATGTAAGCCGCTATACAAATGATAACGACGAGGAATACTGCTATTGTGGCACCACCGGCGATGCTGGCTGTTTCCAGCAGTACTCGTTGCCGTGAGGCTGTCGAAGAGAAATCATTTTTATATTTTATACTTTGCAAATAATATTCGGAGGGAAAAGGAGAAATGTATACTTACGCAAATAGGAACCATCCAAATCTTTAAATTCGCATCTCTGCCCGATATATCCATTCGCGCATCTGCAAAATAAAATATATTACAAGTTTAATCAATCGACTCGAATTGTCGATATATGTATCGCGCGAGTATTTGCGCGTGGTTTTTCACTTTGTTTTCCTTTTCTTCCGAGACAAGTATTATCGAAAAAGTACACGCTGTTTAAATTTCAATTTCTATCTTCAGAAACGTATATCAAAAGTACTCGAGTAATTAATTATATAAACGAAAAAAAATGTTAAAGCTTTAATCATTGTTTGATTTATTCCCGATTGGTTTATCGGAGGGCATAATCATGTGTTAAAATATAATAAAAAGAGATTTTTCACATTCTTCACCATTTTATCGTTTACTATAAAACTCTTCCGATAACTTGACTCTCGCTGGACGGAACCAGACAATCCAGAATATCCATAAGTTGATGTAAGTTTTCGCGAGCAAATTCGTTCGATTTAAATAGACGAATGTATTTGCACAACTATGTGCGTGCATGTGTACGTATTTATGTATTTATTAGTCTTTAACGAATTGCCTTTTCTTTGTGCGAGATATAATATATATATATATATACATATGCACATATATCCCTTTCACGCAAAGGTGACATTGCGATTAATTGCGCTTTTTTCGTTTGCATTTTTACTTTTACAATTATCAATCGTTCGCGCGTGATCGACTCAACACGGTATATCTCTTCATCATTGATAGAGAGAGAAAGAGAGAATTCTCGATCAATTTATATTACTATTCGCGCGAGAAAAAACAAAAACGTGATTTCCTCTCGGTCTTGTACGTTACAGGAAACTGCGGAGCTATAAAATCACAGTCGTCGAGTTTCTATAACGTGTGCGTGTGCGCAAATCTATTTTTTACATTTCTACAATTTGATTAAATATTTCTAAACAATATAAACTTGATTAATAAATAATTATGCACTTTTATAAGTGTTTCTACACGTTATGTCTAAAAAATAAATGGTGCGTGAATATTGTTTTATAATTTATAAGCTTCTTTAGCGAAACACATTTTACAATTTTTTGGCATTTGTTTGGCGATTAGAATTTAAGTTGTGAAAAGGAGAGACGACTCGATTCAAGGCGGCAAATCGCGGTCGACAAAGCAAACACCGTGGGAAATGGGATAAGGGTAAGGTAAGGTTGAACGAGCACAATGTACTTTCTGCTTCTCGATGTTATCCCGATATTAATCCGATTACTCGACAGCCTTTTCTTCTCTCTCTCTCTCTCTCTCTATCTATCTATCTCTTGCAATATTTAAGCAGCCCGCATGCATCTCAACTCGAAATAAACTTGTCGTCAAATTAATAATCGAATCACAATTTTATGTGATGAAAAAATTCCAATAAAGGAAAAAAGAAAAAATGTAGAGGGAGAAAAAGAATAAACCCCCTAGAAGAATACGACAGGCACCGATCAAAGGCGCGCTCTCTCTCCGGGAGAGAGTTGGCCAAACATGAGCCGACAGGAATTTCGACGTACGTGCCGAGGTCGCGTAGTCAAAGATTAACGGCTAAACGATGCGAACGGTGCCATCTCCCTTGGTGGCTTTTTCGCTTAGGCCCGGTTCCACAACTCGAGTTAATCCGAGTTTAATACGTTAAACTGGGTCCTGATTGGTCCATTTGCTACTTAAACTCGGATTAACTGGATTGTGGAACTGGGCCTTAGAATTGCCGCGATTGTTGGCACGACGGTTGCACAGTAAGACGCCCGGCCGATAAGCCATAAATACTTGTTTCGTACCTGCTTCCGCATATATTATATTTATATAAATATATATTTGTATAAACCGAAACATTTTTTCAAAAATTCCAGTCTTTATTATATACCGCTGTCCGTGCAGGAATTTTCGGTACGAAATGAAAAGCCTACAGGTAGAATTTTACCGTGAATTTCTCGTCACCTAACCGATGCTGTCGATGACTCATATACGCGTTGAACAAAGCTACTTACAAACAGTTGTACAGGAGGGAGTCGACAATTTTAACGGTGAAACACGTGGCACCGTTCAAGCAATACCAATCTGCGTAATCCTGCGGACACGTGTACATGTGGAATGTGATGTTCGGCCGATCCGTCGGCGTCGGCGGCCTTGGTTTTGGCGTCGAGCGCGACGAACACGCATCTGTTGAAATCAAATTGAAAACGCACAATTAATCGTTATTAAATCGACTTATTATTATACATCGAATAATATATATTCCGAGCAAAAATGTAAATATATACGGTTACTCGTGCGCGTCTCTCTCTCTCTCTCTCTCTCTCTCTGTGCTTTAGCTCTCCTTTCGCATTAGACGCGTAAAGTACACATACATATGTACGGACGGTAATGGAGAAAAGGGTATTTTATTTTAAAGACAATTTAATTTATTTCAATGGCAATTCTTATATTATTGGAATGGACGGCCGCTGGTCCATCCATTCGCGGCCGGAAATTTCGTATTTCTACATCACTTTTTTATACACGAATAATTATAGGAGAGAGACGCGCGCATTTAACCAAACTAACGATACTACGTGTCAAAAGCGTGGCATCCCCATTATCGACACGATCGAGGACGCGAATGACGAGTCGAATAGAGTCGAATTTTTGTCGGCTTTTCCAGGCTCGTTGAGCACAATGGAAGATCATGCTTCCTCTCGCCCTTTTCCACACCCTTATTTTGCTTTTTCTCCCGACACGACGCAACCACACCGCACGCGGCCACCCTGGCGCGCGAAGAAGAAACGAGAGGGAGCGAAAGGGCGAGAGAGCGCGTGCATCTCGTAGGCGCGAGACTGTACACAAAGCTGCAAAGGCGGCAAAAGCGGCAAAAGCGGCAAAGGTTGCATCTGTCCTGCGCGTGGCTGCTGCCTGTCACCTGTTGTAATTTTACAATCTGCCGTTTCCACACTTTCTCTCCGTATGACAATTTTCTCTCTTTCTCTCTGCAATCTCTATAGATCTCTATCTCGCGCGCCATCCTTTTTTTTGCCCACTTTTTCGCGATTGTAATAAATAATTTTATTCCATCAAAATTTCGAAATTAAATAACCGAAAATCGACCGTCCAATCTAGATTCGTTGTACTCATCGTTGTATCCTCGATCGATCCACCTAGGATGATACGGTCGAATAACAGCGATAGAGAGAGAGAGAGAGAGAGATGCGAGTGCAAACGTGTCCACGAAAGATAAGCATATTTGACGGACAAAGATAACGAAACGTCTTTGTACAATACATAATTGTAGCGCGGTAGGAAGGCGCGGAAGGAACACAGGAAAATGGATAACGATACTCTACGTCGATTATCTCGTCGAGACCAGGTGCAATGTGACGCGCAAGTATTATTATATCACACACATTTGCTCGGGCGCCATCGTCTGGCACAAGTCGCGTATAAAATAAACGTTTTTTTGTCACGAGGGCGCGGACTTTATTTGGCATGAAAGTACTCTGGCGTCTTTGTTCGTTGTAAAGAGAGAAAGAGAGAGAGAGAAAGAGAGAGAGAGGGAAGGGGGGAGAAACGCGACAGATTGTAAGATTGTAGAGCGATAAATCTTGCGGAAAGAGAACACAAGCGGGGTAAATATTTCGTGTAACGTAAAGAAAAATAATTATTGCCGATTGCATCTTTGCATCCTTCTCTTTAGACGCGATTTTTCCTTTTTCTCTCTAATGTCTCATTTTTATCGCAGCTGCAAAATACAATTACTATACAATACCAACCTGCTATGCCAAACAGAGTGTAGGAAAGAAGTAGTATCGTCGCAAAATAGGGTGGAATTTTGCATCTTCTCGCCATGGCAGTGACGATAGAAGGGTTAGCGATGGTAGTGGTGGCGTCGTTTGTAGGTGTGGCGGGCGAGGTTCGTACGAGAGAACGTACGGTCCTCGTTTCGGTTTGATGGACCTCGACATGGTCGGCGTCGATACGAGCATTAACGTTGCCGCTCCTGCAAGATCGCCGATCGTAGAATCGCTGATGAAGACGAGGATGGAAACGTTCGAGACACGTCTCATCATCATCGTCGTCGTCGTCGTCATCGTCATCGTCGTCGTCGTCGTCGTCGTCGTCGTCGTCGTCTTTGTCGTCCTTGTCATCCTTGTCGTCGTCGTCGTCGTCATCGTCATTGTCCCCGTTGCCGTCATTCGTTTCATCATCGCCGTCGTCATCCGTGCCGTCATCCCCGCTGTCGTTATCGTCCTCGTCGTCGGCGTCCCTTCGATGACGGTACCGTCGACGCGATGGATGACAATGATTACGGTAACGAAGATGGTGGAGGTGAGGCGGTGAATGATAATGGCGGTTGGTAATCGTCGCACCGCTATCGTCGCCCCCGACTTTGCCCCGGCCCTTTGCCACCGGCGAGCTAATCTCCTCGACTCTTATCCCTCCGTATCCTCTATCGTCGACTTGTCCTCGTTGCGTTTCCTCGACAGCACCCCGGGCTCCGCCACCTGGGCCAGAACTCTGGCGCACGTGCCGCCGCTTTCCTGAAACCAGATACCCGTCCGGGCGGCCATTTATAGTGTGTTTTATCTCGGGCGAAGACTTTGGGATCTAGCGAGCTAAGCACCGGGCCTACCAGACCGATGGCTGGAGGACGGCTGTTGTGTCGTGGGTCGTGGGCTATGGGAGCGCCGAGCGCTCGACGCTCGACGCCCGATTCAATTGTCAGGATAGAGAGAACGCGCGCTCCTTTTTTCCTTCTTTTGCTTTTTTTATTCAGCCGCTCTCGCTCCTACCTCTCTACGTAACCGTGCGCGAGAGAACGAGAAGGGAGAGGACTCGTCATCTTTATCGAAACGTCATTATTTGTCATCATCGATTATCGCGAATCAGCGCGATAACAAGTATCTATCGTCTATACTTCATAAATTTACATCTCGAAATACCCGCAATTTTCCCATCGAGGTGGCGGACGACGACGACTAATCAAAATTTAGCGTATCGTATCTCTGCGCAACGAGACCAAGTAATCTTGGAATCCAAGCTGATTAACGACCTTGTTCCCATAATGCACGACAGAGATAATTCTAATACCGACGTTTTCCTCTTTACCGAAAAAGCGCGGAACGGCCGCAATTTTGGGGGCCGAGAAGAATATTTAAGAGTCGATTAAATAGAAAGCCGGATTCGAGCGTTCGACGATGCTCTCCTCGAGAAATCTTATCGCGCACCTCGTGTCTTTATCGTGATTCACTCGACTTTAATTTACGACGAGCGCGATATGGCGCGTGTCAATAATAGGTGGCTCGTTTCGCTCGAAAAGGAGAAAACTATCGAAACGTCATTTTCCGTTAAATACGCGACGCACGTTGGTCGTCGCGAGCGTGAAATTCTACGACGTCAAGCGTGACGTCAATCGCCGCTCAAATATTCACCTAGTCGTATTGACTAGTTGTACCGACAAGTTGTGTATTTTTGCGTTACTTTCAAGGCCAGATTGGAAGCGATCGAGAGATGTCCCAACATGCTATGCGTGTATATAAATCGTAAACGTAGAAATTGCAAACGAATTTACGCGCGACAGACGTGTATCCGCGATGCTCGCATCCTTCGCGAACGACTTTTCGCTCTCCACGGGGAGGAGCCATTATATTTTTTTCTATGTTGTATGGCGAACGAAAAATGGAAAACGCTTCGTTTATATAATATACATTTTTATAACATACCGCATTCTTCCGCAGAGCTGAACGAGTACGCGCTCGATACATTTAAAGTAAGCGATGGAGAGAGGCGGAGAGGTGGAACGCGCCGGCGGCGGCGGCTGTTCTACTCTCTAGCCTACGGTAACTTTAAGTACGACCCACGTTCTCTCTTCCTGATAATTGGCCATTTCCCTGCTGGCCGTGTCGCATTATAAGCTTAAACTTTTCGTCGTCGTCGTCGTCGTCGTCGTCGTCGTTTCTCGACCTAACCGGAGAAATAATTCTTAACGCGAATCGCGAATCGTCTTGAATTAGGTTATTTTCTAATTGCACGCTTCTTGGCGTAACATCCGCTCGTGCTTACACACGCTGCAGTCTCGAGCGATGAATATTATTTTAACGAACAAACGATTCTCATTTTCATATTCGAAACACTCGAAATGTTTGAATGCAGGAAAAGTGTGTCTCCTTCGTTAAACGAGGGACTGATTAAAAATATCGATCCGAGGATCTCGATATCATTCGGACGCGATATCATGTTTAATTACGGAGCCGCGCACGACTGATTACGACAAAAATGTCCCTCGTCTCGCTGCTGTATCGTCGCGGACGGCACCCGCGCTCGCCTCGATTTTGGACGCGTCTTTGAAAAGTTACAGCTACCTCCGGCTAAAGAAGAAAGGCGAGGAGCACAAGTTTCCCGGATAGAAGGGTCTCGAATACCAGCGAGACCGGTCCGGTATCAGCTGCGACTCGTTGCGGCTCCGAACACGGAAATTCACAAGTTTCGAAACGTTGCCTCGACGCGACAAATAAAAAGACGAAAATACTTTTGCGTCCGCCTCATATATATTTCACTTGTAAACTATAATGGAATTATCCAACTTTAACGTTAATTTAAATTTATTTTTTCCCACGCGAAAATTTGCCCCCGCGAGGGAGCCGGGGTATCACAATTTTCTAAGTACAAGGTAGAAAACGCGCAGCCGGCTCCGCCAGATGGTCGGTGAATCTACGATACCGTCGATAGAAATTTCCGTCGGGTCGAAATCATCCATAATCATCGTTTGGCTATTATCCGTTATCGTTTTTCACCCTGTACCACTATGCTACACGCTAATTCGCGTCTAGGCAAATGAGAAGATTGAAGCGTATACGATAATCTTTTGTCTCTTCTTCATTTCGGAAAGTGCAATTTCCGCGAGAAAAATCTGTTGGCCTGAACAAGGAGATGCGGGGAAATACTGGGGCGTCCTCGAAACTTTTCAAACTTGTTCGCAAACTCTCTCTCTGAAAGGGATACGAATTGAAACGCATATCGAGAAAAGTGCAAGGATCCTTCCGATCGATGAGGACGAAGAAAGGAAGCGAGCGAGAACGCGCCCTCTCGCGAATATAATATAACGCTGGATTAGAGCAGGATGTATCTTTTCCACCCTCGATGGAGCTCGGAGCACTCATAGGCGGGGCCATGCGTCTAAAGAAGACGGACGGGATCGCACATGTCCACCTCGGGTATTCATGTCGGTATTCATGGCGAGCAGCTGCCGAATGCACTTCAACACCATTACCTGCTTTTCGCAACGCTCGCTCGCGAGGCGACCATATCCTGGCCGGCCCTGGCACGCGCCTGCTTCCACGCGTTATGTGCCATTACGCGCCGCCACGATATCGACGCTCGCTTCATTAATAATTCTCTCTCTCCTTTTCGGTCAATCTCTCCCCCTCGAATCTGACTTTTTCCTCTTTTTTTTCCAGACAAAACACTTTAATTGCAACGTGCAAGAAATTGTAACTAGAGGCAAACATGTATCGCACGTTGCCATACGACTACATGTAGGTAAATGAAAACAGTTTCACAAAAGATTGAAAAAGTTGTTTCTCTTTCACAAAGATCACGCGTGTTTGAAAAGTATGTATCGCAAAGTGTACACAATATATAGAGAACGATACATGTTTGAGAGTAAACATTTAGCAACTTGCAACCACGATACGTAATTGTGTGTGCATTAGCAAGCATATTATTTATTATCCTTGTATAGACGAGCAACGTAAGGCGACAAAGCCAGAGTAAAAACAAACAAGATTTCGACAAATTAGTATAAAAATATATTATTTACTCACACACACGCGCGCGCACGTTCGCGCGATTGCATCAAAGCCGGTGGTAATTACTTCCGGATTTCACTGTATTCTCACGCAAATGTTTTTGTGCGCCGGCATACGGTATGTATTAAACTCGAAAGCTAAAAGTGTCGTGACATTTAGTAAGGTATGCTGTGGAAGGTATGACGGAAATGTATCTTTGACCAAATTTCAAATTTCTTTCCCTCTCTTTGTTAGAAATATATATATATATATATATATATATATATATATATATATATTTTTTTTTTTCCATTAATATTACTCCACTTTTAATATCAACTCAAAGTACAATAAAATTGTGTGTGAATTGCAAGAATTATATCTTTTTATCTTGTTTGTTCGTAGCATCTTGGCAAATCTTGATAAGTTATCGACTTATCGGGCATAAACTCGCAGGAAATAAGATTGTCGTCAATCTTTCGAATCAATTTTGAATGTAACGCGCACGAGCGTTAAGCGTTGTCTACTTGCAAGTTTTTATCGCGTTTACCACATGTTTCTCCATTTTTCGGATTTTCCGTAAATATAATACACGAAGCAGATTTTTCCCTTTTTCTCCGGAGCAGTTGACTTAACGCGATGGGCTATGCACGCTGAATATCGTTGGCAGCCGGCACATGGTCCGCATCGTGCTTTTCGAAGCCGCAGATGGTTCCTCCTGTGCGCGATTATGGTTTTTTTTGTCGTGCATGCCGCGTGTGCAGGCGGTAAAACACGTGCACTTTTCGATCATTTCTCGTCACAAAATTGATCGGTTTGCGAATATGTCGTATATGGTGGTATTCTTCCTTGTCCTGTCATTTATGCGCTATTAAGTACACGTAATATGTACTTTATCCGCTATCTCGACTCGTAATTTGTGTGATGGCGCGAGCAATTTCGCTGCTGCTACCGATATAATAGCGGTTTTCAAAAATATTCAATTCCATTCTCTTTTTATTTATTTGCGCGATACGCAAATTATAATTCAAATCACTTTTTAACACGAGTTTAACTCGGTTGTTGTTCGTCAAAATTTGTCGCTGGGCGACAACATTAATATTTTGTGTCGTTTTAAAAATGTCAGTTTTGAATTGCAAAGTTTTCTAGCTATTCCGTTTTGATTTTCAATATATTACAAATGTGTTAATCAAATAAATATTTTTATATAGTATTTACATAGTTTACAGTTTACGGTATATATGAAACGTTTGTGCAAAGTTTTATTTAGAATTTGACTTGTGACTCTATTCTATTATACATTCTCTTTGGAATTTAAATTATTTAAAACATTAGAGAAGCGCCGCGTATAATTTTTATATTTAATATTGTTCTGTACAACGGATCTTATATAAACTTATTAATAATATTAATTTCTTCAACAATAGAGCCGTACATTTTTTTGCAATTTAATAACTAATAATGATCGATTATATCGATTGAAAGACGAGATAGCGATGGCCTCCTACAATGCGAGGGCTATTAAATGTTAAAAAATGAAGTCGTTAGTAGAATAGATTTTAATCGTAGATAAGAAAAATTTACAGATGGTTGACGATACATGCAACTCATTATTAATCCACAACTGGAAACGAACAGTGTTTATTATATATCGTGTGTATAATTAATTATTTTTCAAATTACGAATAAGTTGATTGGATAAGAAAATTTAAACTTGAAATATTTTTTATAAGCCTCTTTCTAACAATAAAGTAATACAATAATAGTGCACCGAAAACACACTGTATTACATGCAGATTTTCTCATCTTAAAATAGTATAATTAGAAGCTATTTATTTCTGACAAAATATTTTCCAATCGGTACAATTTTGTGCTTGGTGAAGACTGCATTTGAGATTTGAAGAGACTACAACTATTTTTCTAAAACTATCATTTTTTTTTTAAATCGTACATTTATTTTTCTAGTCATTCATATTAAAAATACAGTTGTTGAAAAATTATTCAGTCCTACAGTTAAAAATTTTTGTGAAAATTTTTGCGTATATAACAATCGTTTTTTCGGTAAATGTCATTATTTGTTTACAAAATATAGTCTTTGATCGTACGCGAAAAGTATTGAAATTATATAAATTACACATTAGCAATCTTAAAGTGAGAAAGTGTATGATTATATTAGGATTTCTCTCAGGGGCTATGCCAAATATCGATTCTCGGTAAAATCGAAATAGATATGGAAGCCCGAAGAATGTTGGAATTTTCTAGCAGACTATAAGGAATATTAGGGGCCGATGCTACAAAACCCATTGCGAAGCTCTCTTGTATTGTTGAAGGATCGACAACACGAAGATGAATAAAAATCAGAAATGTATATTCAAATTCCTATATTGAGACATAAAATTGATTTTTAGAATCGACAACGACAGACTTTCGATATAAAACAACCACAATGTCTAACAATCCGAGCCGTTGGGATTCACAAATATTTGCTCTCAATTCTCAGTACTTGTAAATATTTGCGCTTATTACAAATAGTAAGGAGGTAAAGACGTGATTGCGCGATAAATACGAGTTTGGATAAAGTGGAATATATAAAGTGGTAAAGCGACGAAGGGAATTTATGGATAGGCTAAAATAGGAAGGGGAGAGAAACGAGCGTCGAGCTAAGCTGAGCCAAGTCGAGCCGAACCGAACGGACGATCTCTTTAGGAGGGAGTAAAGTGGCAGGCAGGGGGTGGTCCCGTCCTGTGCTACACCACGAAACACCTGGCATTTCTACGTCTGTTCCGAGGGCTCGAGCCCTCGCGGCCCTCGCCTCGCCTCGCCTCGCCTCGCCTCGCCTCGAATCGCGTCTCGTGCCTCCCGATCTTTGTCATATTATCCCAAACTGCATAAGCACCCTCCCTCCTGTGTCCCTCTGCCTCCGTTAGCGTTAGTCCACGTCTTTGCGGCTCGTTATGGACCAAATATCTATATCCCACAATACCGCTCCAGCTGTGAAGGAATAGGATTGTGCTCGCTGGTTGGATGGGATCTCAATTTTCCGCTCATTGTATCCAAGTCTTGGCAAAGTTTTACACATGTATATAAGAGAACAGTGGGCGTCTTTTCAATCTCGATATTTACTCGATATTTACTCGCATCGTAATTTTATCATTTCAATTACACATCATCGATCTACGCTTTCTTCTCAAATAAATATGCCTTTTTCTAAAATAAATATCAAGAAAATTCCATATTATATATGTTTGTAATAATTATTCTCTACCAGATATTAAAATGCAACATTATATTCACCTCCCTTCATAATTATTATACATAACCGATTGTGACGAAAAAAGTTGTCAACTTGATCAAATGCGTTTAATTGTCATCATATTTAAGTACAAGCGAATAAAATAATTGTAATATTTCAATCGAAAAATTATGACAAAACAAAATACATAACAAAAAATAATAGTCGAAAAATTTATATTTTATTTTATATATAATGCGCCTTGCCGCGCGTATCACATCGTATTGGGTCAAATGCAAAAGTAATCGAATGATTTCTCGAGAATTATATTTGCAGATTATAGTCTTGTTATAATCTTTTTACCTAAATGTGTACCAATGTAAATGGACTTTTGAGAATAACAACAAGAATTTGAAATGATGAAATTAAAATCCGTCATGCGATCTCTAGTTTGAAAGAATCGATTTCGATTAACCAAACATGCGCGTACATTTTTTTTTTGCATGCGCATTCATCTATATTGTATACCGAAGCAATCCTTTAGTAATAATGAAAATCTTCGCGATTTTATGTTATTAAACGATTAGATAAGATCAGAGAAACATTTTAAATTGTACAATGTAGCGTTTATTTTGAAACTCGTTGCGATATTATAATTTATCATTTTATTTATATTTATTCACTTGTGCACAAACAATTTAATAATCATGTAAGAAACATTGCGAAACATAACCGAATAATTTGTGTATAATCACTAACGACAATTGATACATACACCCGCGCATATACATTGGTATATTTCATAATCAGAATTTTCATATAGGATCTCTCAAAGTTGACTATTTGAAACATGCCATTTTTCATATTTACACATTTTCACCGACACTAACGTAATGTCATCTCTACGTAGTTGGTATCGCACAACTTTTATTCTTTTCGAAACATTTTCGCTTATCTAGTTCCACATTTGCCAAAGTTGCGGAGATTTGACTGTAGTATAGCGATCGGAGTAGTAATGCCCGGATCGATATTGTTATTTCTGTCGTAAATAAATTTTTCGCGAGCGAGCAATTTAATATCGAAAGCTGAAATATACCATTATAAAAATATCATTTCATCGTATTCTTGTCCGTTCCGAATAACAATCTAATAATCGGGAGACAATATAATTGATAGAATTCTAATCTTTCGTCAAAGAATTTCCGATATACATTTAACAAAGCCCTAACGATTAAATAGATAGTAAGATGTGATAAAAATAGGAATCTCCCAGAAAAGTGCTTGCTTATTTTACATTTTTGTATTACGAAACTTAGTCATTTATTTATCTCTCTTTATTTTAATCAGAATCAATTTGGATTCTAACCATTTTCGATACAGCACTTTCTCAAAGCGCTATTTAAAATGCTCGGAACAATTTCAGAATTTCAGAATTTCGAAAAAAAAAAATAACTTTTCTCATTAAGTTTGAAAAATTTCCATCTAAGAAACGAAAAATTATCGAGCCTTGTTTATTTTTTAGTTGTTCGATTAATCCATATCGCGTATAATATTCTAATGTGAATTAAAGCCGACATTAGGTGTGTGTGTGTAATAATTTATGTACTATTTGCCATCGGGGACAGCTTTGACTGTTCCGTGTAAAATTTCAGATGATCGCACGCACGCACTATATCGCACGCACGCAAATGCTGAGGCCTACAACACATCTCTTGCTATTGTTTTGTCCATCTTATCCGATCCATGTGTAGAATATATATTTAAAAAAAACACTAATATGAATAAAATGAATATATATGTTTCTAAACTGTAGTCTTTTGTGCGTCGCAACGTTTTTATCTTTTAAAACGCGTGTAATTTTTAATTTATCATTAAATTATACACATCAATTTGTAAGATTTTTTAGAAACTAATTTCAGTCTTTAAAGATTAGGAATAGAGTATACGAATAAATGATAACAATAAGTAGTACATAGTTTCGTTTACCAAACTACTCAATTGCTTTTAATTCAAGACTTTTTTACCCAAACGATATAAAAATTGCAATTTATCCGTTATATTCTCGTCTTGCTTGCGTCGCCGATATTCATAGGATTATATAATTGTTTCGATTGTATTCCTTTATACCGCATATACAATGCTGCGGAAAAATAATTTTCACACGTATTCGGAAAAAAAAGAATGCGTAGATCTCATCGCTATTTTGCAATCATTCTAAAAATACATTATTGATAAATACCGCCGTGTGAATGTTGTAAGTACGATTTATTTTCGAGTGTTCTATTTGTTTATCGTCAATCTTTATTGCGACCGATTAAATGGACAATTTCATTAATAAGTCTGTGACGCGTGATAAATGCTCGTTTAGATATGTAACGCGACGCCATATGACATACAATATCGATGATTTAATCCGACGATGACCCGAGATCAATCAAATCAAGCGATTAAATTTTGCCAGTGGGGTAATTCATTTATCGAAAGCGTTCAACATTCGGCAATAAATAAGAATTACATTTAATTTTGAGCAACCAGAATATATCATAAATCAATCAATCGGCGAGAAGAAGAATGTACGAGGAATACGCTTTTGATAAATGTTGAGCGCTACCGATCGCGACGAAAGAATGACATTTGAAAGCGTAGCGGACCCGAAATAAGAGATTTCTCAATCGCTTCTCTTCAATTTTGCGAGAGTCCACAATTCCAATGAGAAACGATACGTAGCGAGAGACGTTACATTTTATACCTACGGTTTGTCTCGATCATCGGAGTTTGAAGAAAAAAAATGCTCCCTAGACGTACATGTGCGAACGCATACGAACGCGTCTCGCGGCAGCTTTTACAGCGCGTCGTCGTCTACACAGTCTTGTCCCTCTTATTCTGTCTAGACGTCGCTCGCCGCTCGCCGCTCGCCACGTACGTACGAGTACATGCACGGTTAGGTTTACATTTAACAGCATGCCCCGCATAGACATACACGTGTCCTTTCGCGTCCCGCGAAATCGTAACCACGTTCGCCAAACGTGCAACGATTTAATCTTTGGATCTCGTGTATCTTTCGGACAATCGTTAATAAGGAGCTTCGAGATGTCGACGTTTCGAAAAATGAGGCGCGAAAGGCGATTTTTCGAGAAATGCGTGCGTTTTGTAACTACATTTATATATATTTTTTATAAATTTTTTTTCTTTTTTTCGAATGCCGGCGCGAAAAATGTCTCTCGTAACAATTTGACACATTTGACAGGAGCGGATAAAAGGTTACAAAAGACGGGGAAATTCCAGGCGTAGTATATTTATATACGTGTACACGCACGTGACGTACGTATATATAAAGAATTGGACACGATTGCGATTGAGAGAGAGACCGTCTCGTCTCGTCTCGTCCGGGGCGGAAACGTTCGATGCGTCAAACTGTCGCGCCGCGACTATGCGGCTCGCACCGACTAAATTTGCGAGCCGCCACGGGTGTGTGAGTGTACTAATCGTGTGTAATAATCGTATCTCGTATGAATGCTAACCTGAAAGCCTGTCGATGAAGCGTAGCATGCCAGTGACGGGAGATACGTAATGGGGAGCCGATTCAGGGAGCAGCATTCCACCGGCGATCGGCATTTGGGTCTTTCTCCCGCTTTTCCTCGGATTCTCCGTCGCGTCCGGGCGCGTACCGTCTCACCCTCTTGCCTTACTTTTTCTCTCCCCTTCTCTCTCTTTTTCTCTCTCTCTCTCTCTCTCTCTCTCTCTCTCTCTCTCTCCGTCTCGCCGTCTCCTCGTCTCTCGGGCGCGGACGGATCGGATGGAAACGTCGGGTGGATGTATACGTCGAAGCGAGACGTCGGAGCACTCTCCGATGCCGCAACGAGGGGAGTGCGGGGATGAGTGTGGGGTGATGCGAGTTCAATCTAACCTAACCTCTCTCTCTCTCTCTCTCTCCCCCTCTCTCTCGCTCTCTTCCGTCCTCGTCCTCGTCGTTTCGTCGTCGTCCTCTTCCTCCTCCTCCTCCTCCGCCGTCCTCCTCCACCGCCTCCTCCACCTTTTCCGTAAAGATACACACGGAAGAGACTCGCGACAAATCACTCGAGTTTACGGCACACACGCGGGGGACACCTCCATTATCCGGGAATTTTTCCACGGTCTCCGATTCGATCCGCTCCGGCAAGCCGGTCGCGTCCGTCTCGTAGCCCGCGTAACCCGCTCGTACGTACGCGTGTCGCGTCGCGATGAAAACTCGACTCCGAGCTCCGCTGGCGAACAGGCGGAACGAGCGAACGCGAACGCGAGCGCGAGCGGTCGCGCTCGCGACGCGAGAACGAGGCACGCCGCGAATCGACCGCCGCGAGTCGGACGGAGACGGCGCGAGACGAGTAAACGCCCGCCCGCGCGCGCGACGCGATCTAGACTGTCGTGCGTCGACGTCGACGTGCGCGCGGGTGTATGCGCGCGTGTAAATATACCAGGCCACTCTGAATACGCGCACATGCGCGCGCGAGGCATACGCTGACGATGACACGCGCGCGCTCACTTGTCCTACTGACGTTTCAGATGCCGCGCACAGTTTACCAACAGTTTGTAACGCGTGTCTGCGCGTGTGGTAGATGCAGACGCGCGTGCGTGCGTGTGCGCGGGTGTCGCCAGCACGGTGCTTTGACACTTCCGAATGGCGCCGCGTTGCGCCGAGCCGCGCCGGCCTGTTCTTCCCCTCTTTTCCTCTATCGCGCCGCCGACACGTATGATCGATTCACGCAGAAATCCACGCGTACGTCGTCTCTCTCTTCGCGCCACGATCGTTCCTCTCACGTGTGTCCATGCGTCGCCGTATCGCTCGCGGCGACAATATCTTCCTTTCCTCTCGCGCGAGTTTTCCAAAATTCAACGTACTTCTCGTTTGGAAGAAGGAAAAAAAAAGTACGATGCCCCCGTGTGCCCTAGAGCTACGAAAACGACTCGACTCGATACGCTCCTTTCCCGTCGACACCAACGCGTTATCGTGGTAAACGAATACGCTGTTGTAACGTTGTCGTTGTTACAATCGCGTCGATTATCGTTGCCGCATCAATCTCGGAAACGTTCAATGTTGCCGAATGTGTCATTGTGACGTTTACCACTGGCGAGCGAGAATTTTGACGTTGTCTTTTCGTAGGCCCAGGCGGATACCCGCACGACGATCGGACACTCGCACCGTCGGACGCAAACTAGAAACGAAGCAACGGCCGAGGACAGCCGAGCCGTCCAAGGGTCGAGTCTCGAGTCTCGCGTCTCGCTCGACAGTGTCGACCGTAGCGCGCTCTAGCGCCAACGTTAAACGTACGATTACGTCAAGCCGTAATCACCCTACCAATCGGAACGAAGCATCTTGCGATCGGCTACTCCGATTGGTCAATTTCAACCGCGACCCGTAGGGCGATTACGACTTTGTCGCTCGATTGGCCGAGCGGTCGCCTACCGACGGTCGCTATTGCGTCTCCAGCTGACACGTCATCTCGCAATCCGCAATTGGAAGTACCAGTCGTGCGATGGCGTTTGTAAATGTTGAATCCCTCTCGCGACCATTCTTCGCACGCTCCATCCGCGATATCTATCGTAGCGATTCAAAAAGTTTCCTCGCTTCGCTCTTTTGTACGATGTCACGTTGCTTCGCGCCATTTCACTGTATGCTGCACTGGCACCTGCGCGCCCGCACCTGTACGCTGCTGCCGACGGTCACTACCGACACTACCGACACTACCGACACTATCGTAAGCGATCGTTGCCCGCGGTAATAGTTGCGACAGTCATTTATTTATCGACAATCGCGTCATTCGTCGCTTGTATATATCGTCTTATTTTATCGCTTCCATTTTGTCTTCTTCGGATATTAAACGCGACGCATAATTAGATGCTCTTTCAACATTTACAACGCTGCTGTGTAATTATTTACGAGACACGAGCAGACGAGATTCATAATCGCATCGAGATTCAAATTATAACCTATTATCGATCACAGGTTTGTTGAATTCGCTCCTAACAATCGATATCAAACGCAATTTTCTCTTCCACTCTTTATTTTCTTTTAATCGATATCGATCGTCTCACATCTAATTGTACATATATATTAACATCAGAGTCGGAGAATTTTAACGATATTAAACTTTGCACCCAAGTTTTTTTTATTCAAATCTATGTAATTTTAACAATTAAAATTTGATACAATATTATATATTTGGAATCCGCGCGCGCGCGCGCGCACATACAAACTAATATTACATAAAATGAATTTGTAAATATCAAAATACAAAAGGCAAATTTCTTTAAATGTACAAAGACGTTTTTTAGCAAGCGACACGGAGGACACAGCGTAACACGGTGAATTGGAGAGGGTGACCCTCTCTACGGTGAATCATTTCATTCTTGTTTACATTCGACAAGGATAAAGTGATATTCTGTGTCGCTTGCTGAAAAATGCCTATATATATTCGTATACATGTACACGCCGAAAAACGCAGTAAAATATTCGCGCCGCACCGATATTTGTGTTTGTGTGTGTGTGTGTGTGTGTGTGTGTGTGTGTGTGTGTGTGTGTGTGTGTGTGTGTGTGTGTGTGTGTGTGTGTGTGTGTGTGTGTGTGTGTGTGTGTGTGTGTGTGTGTGTACCTACACAGCACACGTAATACACACGTACTATATTTCGTATACTATTTAAGAAACTGAGATTGAGATGGAATATTTTGAGAAGAACGGGCACAAACACACACACAAATCAAACTTGATTGAAAAATATTGCGATAAATCAAATTACTGATAAATCGGAAATTAATAATAAATCAAATTACTCTCTCTTTCTCTCTCTCTCTCTAAAAAAAGCATTTAATATAAATCTGACTTTCATTTTTATATCGATTGCACTCACATTTTTTTCACTCCACTTTATTGATTTTTGAACTAGTTATTATTATCCGATTTGAACAAATGACACATATGCACATTCCTGTACAAGGAATTTTTCTCTTACATAAATAGAATGGAAAATCTTAAGATGTAATTCTTTGTGCACAAATTATTACATAAACTTATAAATTTTATTTTTTATGCGTAAAGACATTTTGCGTTTTAACTGAGTTTGTACAATATGCTACTACTTTTTTTATAACATTTATTTATAATGTACATATTTATTGTAGATATATATTGCGTCATGTTTTATCGAGAAAGAGAGAAAGGCTTTGGCAGCACCATCCAGCTTAGGATGCGCCATATTTATTCGATTGGACATTGGCGACATCTAACGAAAAGAAACTTACAACATTTGTCGTGGAAGATAATTTCCGAAAATTTCCATTTGCAGGTAAATATTTATACAAGTCGTTTTTACTTTATATCGATACAAATAGTTGCATTATATTACAATAACCTTTCTTTACGAGTTACATCTGTTTATCGAGAGATTTAATTTTAAATCAAAATGCACAAATATAATTTGAGGATAAAAGATGCAATATGTAAAGGTTATAATAATAAAAAATTTTTTCATTTCTTATTATTTAATATTGGATGAAATGATGTCACACACAAATGAGAAAATTGTGAAATGTGACACAAGAGACACAAAGGTATAAAATATCGACAAGTATGTCGTTTTTACATTGGTAAGATATTTATTGAATTTGCCCTGATTTATCAATTATCATTAGTATATTTGTTGCATACTTTTACATTTCTACAATATACTTTTATACATATGTATATATATATATATATATATATATATATACATATGAATATAATATAATATATTTAAATATTATAATATATCAATGTGTCATGTAATGTGTGTGTGCATATACGCGCGTGTTCGTTGCATATCTTTTATATGAAAAAATGTTAAACAAAAATTAACATAACGTTTTTATTAAAATAATTATACGTTTTATACGTGTCAATTATATGTAATTATATTACACACGGGAATAGGAATGACGCTTAACGCGCATGAATTTATATATTCATATGCAAAAACATTTTCTGCATGTATTTTCCATACATGTCCCCAACACGAGTTTAAATTCACGTATAATGTAATTTTCTATATTGTGGCATAATATTTATATCAATTATTATATTATCTACATTATTCAATATCAATTATTTATAATTATACAATATCATTTATCTGGAAAAAAATATATTTGGGAGAAATATACGTACATTGCACTATTGATTCGTGGATGGATAATATGTGGATGAAAAGTTTGCGTAATGAATACATCAATTGATTTATATTAATATAGACGACATTTTGTGTCGAACGCGATGAATCGTCGCCTCTTCAAAGCCATTTCAAATGGAATCTTACTTTCCGCGTTAAATATGTGATCGATAAAAAGGTTTTATCAACTAGTCAATCCCTAGTCACAATATCCGTTTTGTCGAAAACACGTTGCCGCGACTTGGAACAATCTAAAAATAACGAGACAACTATCGAAGCATCTCATTCCTGCACCTGTCGCGGTTTGCCGTTCGCCGTGTCTAAACAGCTGCGATACCGATTTCGATTTTGATTTAAAACATTATTATTCCCTGCGATCGCGCATCAACGAGTCGCTGTCTTTTCAAGCGTTAAAACCTAGTAATCAGCTCCGAAGAAGCAAATATGATTATTCATGCATTTTGAAAAATTTCACATTTATTTATACATACAATACGATTTGTCAAATATACAATATACACGTAATAAGATGTTACAGATATATATGTATCTAAAAATTATATATTACGTCTATATATATATATATATATATATATATATATATATATATATATATAATTATATTACATTAGTAGTGAAAGTACGTCGTAGTGAAAGTTTTGAAGGATATCTTTCTGTTTGGACAAAAAGTTTGATCGACGCCAATTCATCGAGTTTGCATTTTTTTTCTTACGATAATTTAGCGTCGCGAAATTTTGACAATTATTTCTTTGCGATGTATATAATTTATACTGCGAAAATTGTTATTAGAAAATGCACACTTTTTGTACGTATCAATTCCCATTTTTGTATGACGTGGCTTATTATCGATTAAATGCTTGGAGTTGTCAACGATGGAGCGATTTACGATTATACCTGCGGTAAACGCAGTGTGTGACATATGTATTGTATAGTGAATCAATAATATGCGTATCGATCATTTCGTCGTAGTGGCATATTACGAAAGCTTAATATCATTATTTCATCATTTATTAAGAGTCGTTATGGGCTTCCACAGCCACGGATAATTAATAACTAACAAGTATAACCAGGCGCGCATTGGCCTACATGCATTGTGATTTGATAGTACTAGTATAGGTGCGCAACATAATTTTCTTTTTCACCGTAAAATATACCATCGTAATAAAGATTACGCTACTTGGACGATATTAGTATTAGTTATAAGGTGTGAGATCTTGATGTCGTCGTTACTTTTATCGCTATCATCGCTCCTTCTTTGCTGCTGCTTTGTTGCCGTGTTTAATAAACATCGTTTGAGCTTTCTCTCGACTATATATATATATATATATTTTTTTTTTTTTAAATAATATAAAAACTATTCGTAATTTCGCAAAATATCAAACGAAAATGATACGCGCGTACATCAATTCAATTATTAAACGAAAATAATCCAACGATGAAACTTGTTACGTGGTATAAAAGTGTAGCCTCCTCCTAATAATCCCATCAAAATAACATGGTGGCACGTGGTGTTAGATTTATAAAAGATCTACAACGCGCAAACGATAAAAAATCTGTCCCTGAAAAATCTGCCATTTCCGACGATCCCGGATATATATTAGGGTTGTTATACGCGGACTTTACAACGCGATAAATCGATGGCCCGATGGCCGATAGTCGCAACGAGCAGGAAAAAGGGATTCACGATTCGATAGGTGCCGATATATAATATTCATAAGCAATCGTTGTGTCTCCGGCGTGGCATCGGCGCAGGCGTGACCGTCGTCGCTTCATCGCGCCATATCATATTGTTCTAGCACCTGCTGCCCGAAACAAGACAAAAGTTGTTCCTTCATCCGTGCGACCTTAATCGACTTCGCCATGAGGACGAAAACGTCGCCCGTATTGATATCGATTCTCGCCTTCTTCCTGCCATTTGTGCTTTGTCAAACGCCGATGAATTTCCGTAAGTGTGCGATTTTTTTCATTCGAGGAGAGCACGTTTCGAAAATGATGTATCATTATTTATCTCCCTCTCTTCCTCCTTCCTTTTCCTCTTTCTTTCCTTTCTTTTCATACATTTTCATACAATAATTCAAAATTAAATAATAGATATTTCAATTGATCGAATGATCCTTGCGTTTATTTATTAGCGAGACACATTTTTAAGATATTATTATACGCTTTCTACGATTCTCCCTTCTGTATCCCTGTAAATAAACGAACCATACAAGTATTTAATGCGCAAAATATCGACTTTAAAACACAACAATTTGTCATTTAATATAAATGCAAAAAAGAGCACGACACCTGCGTGAAGCAATGATTTTTCGATGATTGTTGACGTGATTAACAATAATAAATATTTCTTCTGTTTGTTTCCAAGTGGTTGTGATAGAAGAAGCCGATTCCTCTATCTTGGGTATATTAAACGACGCAATTCCAGAGGCAGAACGGAATTTTGCTAACGATATGATTACCGTTCACGTTTCCACCGTTACGGTAAATCGCGAGAATGTTGACGCAAGTTTCGAGAAAGGTACAATGTATATATATATTTCATGTATTTTGTACAAACTAAAATATCAAACCAGATTTATTTTTAATACGCGCCATTGTCCCTTAGAAAAAAGTGTATATATATATATATATAGTATATGTATATACACACTTTTGAAAAATCTTTTCCCACATGATAAGAAATATACAATTCGCGAAAAGCTATCATTTTTTATTTCTTTCTTTAGTTTGTGCCGTTCTATATAAAGGAATAAGTATCATATTGGATATGACGTGGACCGGCTGGGACAAATTACGAGTCGTCGCAGACGAAAGGGGAATAATATACAAACGTGGCGACTGCAGTATAAATCCATATGTTCAAGCGATCGATGATCTTTTGATTATGAAAAATGCGACGGATGTTGGTCTAATCTTTGAAGATGAAAGAGGTGCGCAAAGATATTTGTGTTTGTGTGTGTGTGTGTGTGTGTGTGTGTGTGTGTGTGTGTGTGTGTGTGTGTGTGTGTGTGTGTGCATGCGTATATCTTGGATTGCAAATTTTGAATATTTTGCGCACAATTTATTTTATAATCTACTCTATTTTGTAATCTACATTTGTGGACAATTTTTTTACCGATAATGTATCAAAATGAGAAGGATATATAATGTATACATATACATACACATATATGTGTAGACAGCAACACAGTTTTTGTATTGTGTGTTTTTCAGTACTGAATATACATAATCACATGTATAATAATGATTTTAGAACTAAATCAGAGCCTTTATTATCTTATTGGAAATTCGATAATTAGATTGGTAGTCATCGATGAATTGACAGAAAGAACTGTGTCAAAAATACAGAGTATGCGGCCGTCACCATCTTATTATGTCATTTACGCTAGTACATCCAAAATGGAAGAATTATTTAAAACGGTAAAAACACACCCACACAAGGATATATGTATATCTATCAATTGGTTTAAAAATAGTTTAGAATATACACATATTGTAAAAAAATCCCTTCAAGATTTTAAATAACAAAACATAAAGTTTTTAAAAGGTAATCTTAATAATAAGCTTATCTTTTAGGCTATCGGGGGAGGGCTCGTTAGAAGAGATGGTATTTGGAATTTAGTGTTTACAGACAATAATTATCAAGACTTTCGATATATTACCGGTGATCTTCAATTGAATATTTCATTCACCATTCTTACTATGAGGACCGATATTTGTTGTCGCTTAATGGGCGAAGCATCTTGCAATTGTCCCACAAACTTTAAGGTAAGTTATTCAATGGAACATTACTTTGAAATTAATGGGGTTTATGTGTATACTATTTGAAAAAGATTTATTCACGTTCACCTCACATATGGAAACTGTCTATTAATAGTAGTTGTATTATTAGTCAACGTCAGATGGAATCCTCTTTTTTTTTCGAAAAGAAATAAATTTTTTCCCGACAACTATCTGTTATCTTTAAAAGAAAGAGATGAGAGAGCGAGAGAGAGAGAGAGAGAGAGAGGAGGAAAAGGAAATTATATTTAAAAAATCATATTATATATGTATATATATTAGATATTCCCTTATTATTTCAAACGTTTGATTGGCTTGATCATAAGTTTGATGAGCGACGTTCAAAAGGCGGGCATAAGTGTGACGCCAAAGACAGGTCAGTGCAATAAGCCCATCGATCCTACTACAATTTCGAATATTACTGCGGAAACATTCAACAAGATTTTAATGACGGTGAGTATTGCCAAAATTAATTTCAAGAATTCAAAATTAAGAATTGTTATCTGACACACACACACACACACACACACACACACACACACACACACACACACACACACACACACACACACACACACACATCGCAATTTATCGATTGCAAAATATTTCGAAAAAGAAAAGAAATGCAAAAGATGCATTTTGTACGTACATTTTTCCTACTTACTTACTGTTTCACGTTCTAGAGATTGGACAGTAATGACACTTTTGAATACTGGTCAGAGAAGGCGATGATTACTTACAAAGCAGAGATCGAGTTACAAACGGTTAGTCGCGGCTCTGTGGATGCGCTCGCGATTTGGACGAGACGTACAAAAATTAAAGAAGCAGACGGGAAGAAAATAGAACCAGCCAGGCGATTCTTCCGGATTGGAACGGCACCGGTAAGAACGCCGCTATTGCGTTTCACTACGTTCCTATGAACGTTTCGTTACGTATCATTAAACGATGAGGAATAACATTATATCTTGGAACAAAGAGTCATTATTATTTTTAATACTTTGAAGCACATTTATGGAAAGGACAATAAAATTGTCAATTGACAAAATTGTCAATTGATTAAATACTATTTTTAATTATTAGAATAAAACTGACGACGATCTTTCAATTGCTTTAAATTGACATTTTATTTATATACGCAAAATGTTCACTGCATTTTTAAATTATTCAGTTTGGGGTTGCACTTTGCCATTTACTAATAATATTGCGAGTCTATCAAATTTTGATTTAAATCAAATTAAATCGTTAAATTCGATTAAATAGGCAGTCCCTTGGTCGGTTATTAAAAAAGATCCAGCGACGGGCCAAGAAATGCGCAACGAAGGAAAGGAAGTCTGGGAAGGTTACTGTATTGACTTTGTGAAAAAATTATCCGAAGAGATGCAATTTGATTATGATCTCGTTATCCCTGAAGATCAAGAATTTGGCAAGAAATTGCCCAATGGCGAATGGAATGGTGTAATAGGCGATCTGGCTAAAGGAGTATATACAAGTTTAATTTCTTAAAATAAGATTTGTGTGTACTTACACACATTTCTAGTCGACAAAGTTTATTTTTTCTCTTTAATTTCAACATCGATGTCATTTGCAAAGGAAAATTGAAAAGATTTTTGAAAATTAGAATATTTCGATGATATATCATATATACGTCATATATTTATATATCATATATTATATATTATATATTTTCTGCATGACTGTAGCGAGAGGATATGCGTTTATATGTATTTATGCTTTGTTAATAATGCTCTTGTAGGAAACTGATATTGCTGTGGCAGCATTGACAATGACGTCCGAACGGGAAGAGGTCATTGATTTTGTTGCTCCATATTTCGAACAGTCTGGTATACTCATTGGTACGCGCGCGCATTTATATTTCTTTCTTACAATATACATAAATGTATATGAGAAAGACACATCACTTTGACACAGCATATAACAACACATCTTCTCTTTGTTTTCTCTTTTTCGATTTTTGACTCTTTTTTTTTTTTCTCTCGCGTAGCGTGCCTAATTCAGTTCTGATTGTGAGTTGCAAGCTTTAGCTCGAGATATTGCTTATGATTGGACATTTAATATTTATTATATATTTATTATATTTAGAATATATTTATTTATACATGATGATTATAAAATATATAAATTTTTGTTTTCAAGTAATGAGAAAGCCAGTTCGTAAAACGTCATTATTCAAGTTTATGACGGTATTGAGACTCGAAGTCTGGCTTAGCATCGTGGGAGCTTTAACTTTAACCGGTATTATGATTTGGATACTGGATAAATATTCGCCATATAGTGCGAGAAACAACAAACGACTCTACCCTTATCCTTGTCGGTATGCACATTTCGCGTTTATCAGTATCATTGCATTATCGCTTTTCGTTCTGCAACTTATATTAATAATAATAATTTCGCAAAAATATTAACAATTATTTCGTGTGTTCATCAATTTGCTCATCTTTTATTGTATCGTTATATTAGCAATTTGACTTGTAATTTTCTCATTCCTTTGATATATTATAGCCAGTAGACTAACACATGGTATATTTCAGAGAATTTACATTGAAAGAAAGCTTTTGGTTCGCATTGACATCTTTTACACCACAGGGTGGTGGCGAAGCCCCAAAGGCGTTATCGAGCAGAACTTTGGTTGCAGCCTATTGGTTATTCGTTGTACTGATGCTTGCGACCTTTACTGCAAATTTGGCCGCTTTTCTTACCGTAGAAAGAATGCAGGTATATATATATATATATATATATATATATATATATATATATATTTATTGTTATTCGTTATTTATATTACAAAATTTAAATTTATTGGAGATATAATACCTCGTTGTGTGTTTTACTTAATTTTTGAGACGGGTATAAAGCATTGCCGCAAATATTATGCGTCGTTGTCAATACGAAACACATTATTTCTCGTGCATTAATATTCGCATGTATTATTTCGTTACATAGTCGCCTGTGCAATCGTTGGAACAATTGGCGAGACAATCACGCATCAATTATACCGTTTTAGCCAACTCTAGTGCCCATCAATATTTTGTAAACATGAAAAATGCCGAGGATAAGCTTTACACGTGTGTAAAAATTTCTCTTTCGTCAATTTGTATGCTGTTCGAAGATTATTAATAACATTAATGCTGATGTACACGTATTTCATATCATTTACTTGTAGAGTATGGAAAGAGATTACATTAAATAGTACCAGCGATCAAGTAGAATATCGTGTCTGGGATTATCCAATAAAGGAACAGTATGGTCACATTCTGCAAGCCATCACACAAGTCGGTCCGGTAAAGACAACCGAGGAAGGTTTCAGGAAGGTAGGAAAAAGAAAAAAAGAGAGAGAAAAGAAAAGGAGAATTCTTTTCTATAAATTTTTTTCGATTTTCTCACTTTTAATTCTGAATCATAAATAAATACTTGGAACGAATAAAACAATCGTTATTTCTTTAGGTGATAGAGAGTGAAAATGCAGAGTTTGCCTTTATTCATGATTCGTCTGAGATAAAGTACGAAGTAACGAAGAATTGTAACCTGACGGAAGTGGGCGAAGTATTTGCCGAACAACCATATGCCATTGCTGTGCAGCAAGGCAGTCATTTGCAAGAAGAAATAAGTAGAAAGTCTGTGATTGATTCTTTCCACTTTTAATCGCACTCGCATGTCCATTCCCAAGTTATTCTCATTTATTATTAGCAATATGGTTATTGTTGCTACTGAAAGAAATAATTTAAAATTTCCACGAATATATATGTTGCGTTGCCAATTATAAAATAATAGCGTTAACATTTTCGCGTGTATTCTTGCATATAACGATTGACAATGAGAGAAAATAAATTTATTTCCTAATTTAAATTTGAATAGAAATGAAATTGTATAAAAAGTTTTATAATCATAAATGTATCATCGCATCGCCACAAGACATACGTATGACAAATGTATATGTAAAAATAATATTCTTTGTAGGATTCTCGATTTGCAGAAAGACAGGTATTTTGAGATGTTGGCAGCCAAGTACTGGAATCAGACGTTGAAAACTCAGTGTCCGAATTCCGATGAGAACGAGGGAATCACGTTAGAAAGTTTGGGTTAGTTGTCTTTCATTTCGCTTACATTATTAAAAATGTTTCATTATAAATATTTAACATATAAATATGTAATACAATACATGACGTATAAAAAAGAGAAAAGATGAGATAAATACTGAGAAACATTATTATTATTCGAGACGAATTATAACAACATACTTTTCGATTAGACATCACTTATATCTTTCTTACATAGTTGATGCAAATAGTTCTTTCTTAATGCAGGAGGTGTATTCATTGCGACTTTGTTTGGTCTCGCTTTAGCAATGATTACGTTGGCCGGCGAGGTTCTTTATTATCGCAAGCGTAATATTTCTCAAAAAGGAAAACAAAACGATAAAAGAACGATTAAAAAGAATACTGAAAACGACAAGATTATTATGCAAAAAATCGCATCAAAGCTTCAAATGAAGCCTGCGCCGACAGACGCAGTTTTCGGCAAACAACTAAGTCACACGCCGCGTGTTTCTCACATTTCTGTTTACCCACGACATTTTCCCTTTAAAGAATAAGCTATGCTTTTCGACGATAATTTATCACATCACAAACTGTAAATCTATTTATATCACGAATTAGTCCATGTGTGCTATATTTTTCAAAGACAACTCTCTCCCTCTTTCTCTCTCTCTCTCTCTCTCTCTCTCTCTCTCTCTCTCCCCCTCCCTCCCTCTCTCTCTCCCCCTCCCTCCCTCTCTCTCTCTCTCTCTCTCTCTTTCTCTTTCTCTTTTCTTCTTTTCTTTTTTAAATACATAAATACTACTTAAGGAACGTATTTTTAATAAAATTTGTCACAACGACTAATTGTGCGCTAATAAGTAATATTCTTGTTCAAGGGACCATGTATTTCACAATTACATATACAATATACATTAGCTTTTTTTTTAAAGAGATGTATACTTCTTTTTAAAAAATTTACGCATTAGAAATATGCATCATATAAAAGTAGATAGTATATCTCTCGACAAACTATTGCGTCGAGGTAAAAATATACTATATGACGTGCGGTCATTGATCCTCGAATACTTTCACATTGTATAGCTTTGCTTCCTAAGTGCAAATAGGGTAGAAACATTATCTTTCGTATTCTTTTACTATCTATTTTAAAATTTTACATGTATCACTTGTGACACACTCTACAAGGATATAATTGCCGCGGAGTGCACGATAAATTTACAATTTGTTGATTTCTTTCGTATATGTAGTTAATTATTAATTGGTTTCCTTAAATGAGTAATCAATTAGTTGATAATAGTCACGCAAGTGCTGTGTTAGTAATATCGCGGAAAAAGAAGCCCGAGTCGTATTTATATAATTTCTTCACATCACAAATCATAACACACATACACGCGCGCGCGCACACACATGCACACACGCACGCACGCACGCACGCACGAGTTTAATATATATCTTTAGAAATTATAATATATAATGTAAAATATGTATTGTGCCTCTTGAAGAATACGATTGCGAATTGTATGCTAAAAAATTTTCCTTTTTTTCATTAGAAATTTGTCTCATTTGTCTTTTCAGTATAATTGTACATGCTTTATAATCATTTTATTATTTTCACTAGTTTTCTCATCGAATTGTAACTGGACGGCACAATCGTTCACGCCAAATTACGTAAGCGAAAGCAAAAGTAGTTTAGGTAATCGGCCGATTGTTTCGATCACTCTGATTGGAGTGCGTTACGGTTGATGATTCTTTGAATTTTTCTGACAAAAGAACAGAAATTTATGCTTTGGTAGGGAACATTTGTCGTTTACCACAAGTCAATATAAAGCATTTTACACGAAGGCACGATCATTCGCTGACAAAGTGATGCTGCTTGTGGATATTCTATTGAAATTATAAATTTATTCGTGCAAATTTTGATAAGGAACAATCGATAATCTTCGACAATGACTCGTTGCAAGGTCAGTCAAGTGATACTTAGACATTTAGACTTGGAAATTGTATAATTAATTTAATGTTGCACTTATTATCTGTAACTATCACTAACTTTCTTCACACATGCTTATATATGTATATATTGTATTTACATGCTTATACATTATATATTGTATGTACAATGTAGCAAAATATGAAAAACGAAAATAATTGTTTTGTTTAAAACTATTAAATTTTGCATTACATTTATATTACAATCGATATCCCTTTGAGGTATATATATCCGAAACAATGTGTGTGAATAAGAGAAGAAAAAATTTATTTTAATGAAAAGAAATTAATTAAAATATGTATGTATGTATATATATATATATATATATATATATATATATATATATATACGCATATATAATTGAAAAATTTGTTTCCATCGAAGAGATTTCAATACAATTAATATGCATTAAATGTGCCTTCTCATTTTGTTGTTGTTAAACAAAAAATTTACATCTATTTATATTTTTCATCATTTTGTTGTTTTTAAATAAAATAAATGTTTCCAATATTTTTGCAGATACATCTAATTATATCGGCTCTAATTACATGTCTCGTAAATGCGAATTACGCGTATGAGCATTTGAAGAGTTTGAGCTATTTGATTGACGTACCGCAAATATCTAGTAAGCATGACATTTATGAGAGCGCTTCTTCCGAAACACTGCCTCATTATCATTTTTATGAATCGAATCAAAATCGATATAGAGACCATTTCGAAAGTCCATCCGAGTATTTTCCAACTAGCGTGAAGAAAAAATTATTTGAAAAAAAGAACTTGAAAAAAACGAAAATTCCATTTTTAACGAGCAACAAGGATTATACCGCAAAGTACAAGGAGTTACTTCTGGATTCGGAAAATGTTCACTGCCAAGAGATTAAGGTAAAATCGAGGAAAGAGGATGAGATACCTAAAGACGTTACGACTTGCTATAAATGCGAGGATCCCAAAACTAAATCCGTATACAAACGTTGTTTATATAATATTCCTCTGAAAGAGGGTACATCCGACAGTACGAAGATGGAACGTTCTTCGTCTACCCCCGTCAACCTTAGATATCGAAGGTATCGATACTAATATAGACGCGCGTTTAGACATTTTTACAAAACACATATTAAAACTCGACATTTGTCCTTTTATAATCGTGCTAATTAATATAAAAAGTTTCAACATGCACAAAAAGGAGAGAAAGGCTATAACTACTTGACTACTTTTTTAAAAATATCTTATTAAGAAAATTGCCGTTTAATGAATATTATCAAGATAAGTGTTGATTTCATTTTCAAAACAAGCAACTTTTATCAATTGCTTTTTATTTTGCCTATTATATTATAGTATGATATAGATCGTTGTATAGACGTCTAGAAAAGTATATGTACCTTTTAACAAATTTTGATTAAAAATCATAGGTCCAACGAGGAGAATGACAAATTTGGTTACAAAACGAGGCGGAATCCTTATCGATTCACCGACGAATATTTTACCGATGCCACGTACAATGTGCCGGCCGCTTACGAAAGCAAGGGAGAGAGATGCAACAAGATTGTGAAAAATTCCATGATATGCATGGTTTGTCAAGATGCTAAAACCAACGGCAAATACGAGCAATGTTCGTACGTAAAACAGCCGCGTGAGAAAGCATACGCCTATACCAAATCGGGCATTTTTGAAAAGCCTCAGGAGCAAAGAAACGATAGCGCGGAACATCTCGACGATGAATCGAATCCTTATCCCGAATCCTCTGACTTAAAAAAATCCAATCCTGAGAAAAAGGACTGGAATCCCATTGACACGAAGGAGTCTCGCGAACATTCCTATTCTAACGAGCCTAGAGAGGTTCGTACTCAGAGAGGTTTAATAACAAACCAAAAAGACAAAATACAGGATGCATCTTCGGTAACTTGCAAACAGGTACAAAAGGACTCGAAAACCTGCACGGTATGCAAAGATCCCAAGATTGGTGGTGTTTATGAGAAGTGCACTTACAACTATCAGCCTAGCGATAAGCTGTATAAATACAGTAGATCAAAAAGCTTCGGGTATCCGGATAAAATCTCTACCACAGATTCTCGTGATTTAAACAAAACTCAAGCTTCGGAAACATCCAAGAGATTCGATTCGCCGCAAAGTTCCGATTCTACGCCCAATTTGGGTAAGTCTAATTTACGTTAATTAATTTTCAATTATTGAAATGTAATATAATTTCATAATATTATATCAATTTCACAAATCAGTATATCAAATTTAAATGTTTCCGTATTGACTCTTTTGAAAACTTTGATTCGCAAAGGCACGACAAGCCTAGCATAGTTGTATAAATGCAGCTCGATATAAATTTACATTATTCGATTTATTATTTAGCATGCAAGTTTTTTTACTCCGACATCTACACTTATACACAATATATGTAACGTTTCAAAGAGCATACGTAGATTGTGCGTGTTTTATCGTATATTTGATTCAGATGAATACAATTTCATTATAGATAGATCCACTTATCCATGGGAATCCGAGAGAATTGTTGAATCTCAACAAGATGCGAGCGATTACGATAGTACATTGCGCGATTACTCGCCTAATTACAACAGCGATTACTCCAAAGGATCGAGCGATTACCAGCCCTCGGCTACGGATAAAGACGATACCGAATCTTACGAGGACCAAACGACACCATCTTCGAAATCCATCTCGGAGCGTTATTCCGAAAATATTGACAAAGGTCATTGTAAAAAGATTCAGAAAGACTCGATGACGTGCACAATTTGCAAGGATCCGAAAACGGGCAACGATTTTGAACAGTGTTCGTACTCGTATCAACCGAATGACAAGATCTTCTCTTACAGCAAATCCAGCTCATTTGGCAATTCACAGGAGAGTGATCGGCAAAAGCCGTACGAGAACGAGGAATCGCCGGACAGTTCATCGCCAGAGATTGCGAGAGATTCTTACAGCGTCCCGGAAGAAAGTTACGAAGCTTCAACGACGGACGAAGCAAAGGATGATTCCGTGGAGGAAAAGAAGGAAGAAGTGGACGTCGGATATTTGGACACAACGAAGAAAAAGGCGGAGATCGACGAGTTTATGCAGAACTTTCGGAAAAAGGATCGCTCGAAATGTAGGAAGACTATACGTGATAAAATGACTTGCTATCAGTGCGTGGATGAGAAGGGCGTTCAAAAGGAGGAATGCGCGTTTGTCACCGGGCGAGAACCCGATCAGCTGGCATTCCGTGAGATAAAAGAATTTCAAATCGATCCTGCATCGCACACTCGCGGCCTCAAACAACAGCCAAGCTCGACAAAGACGAGCGCGCGCGCGGCGGATCCTTTAGAGCCAAATGCGTCCGCTAGTAAAAATTCCTATGTCAAATTGGAGAGACCGGACAACGATTATCCTGACGAGACGCAACATATCGCGGAAGAAACTAAAGAGGCCGAACCATACGATTACACGTCGGAAACGAGATCCAGATACGATAAGGTCCTCGGATTGACCCTTCCGGCATATATGTTTGCAACTTCGGAACACGAGGCGGCATTTGACGAAGTTGTAGCTTCCAGTCACGATCAGCATTAATTTAAGCACTCTTATCGTCGTGTATCTTCGGCGCAAACTCTTTTCGGTATGAGCATTTTTATCGCGCTATTAAGAATATCAAGAATATATATTAGATGGTAATTAATTCCTCTCTCTCTCTCTCTCTCTCTCTCTCTTTATTTAGTTTGTACAGTTCATATTTAGAATCTATAGGCGTACTCTCTCAAGGAGCATAATTTGAATGCTTGGACTGATTGATTAGTAAATGTTGTAACTCGTTAATTCGATGCGGCGAAAATTTTTCAGTCTATCACATCATTATAACTTATTGAGACGTGCATAGGAGATGCGATCACGATGACCATCTCAAAATACAGAATAATTTCATACGAGGCTCGTTAAACCTTTTGTAAGCTCGTTTCAAGCTCACGCGGTATATATTATATATTTGAAATTTTAAATGCATTGAGAACATTTGCGTATAATGCTTAAATATACCATACTAGGCATAAAGAGCAATATACACATCAAAGTTTCGAAAATCGATAATTCTTTATGTGCTTAACGTTCTATATGAGCAGGCTTCTGTATGCGGTTTTAAAATATATAACGAATACAAATGTGCAATATAAATATATGAATAAAATACAACAATTGTGTGCGTGTGTGGGTGTGCATATTAACACGTGCATGGATTAACACACAAGCGGATAATCTTGCCTCTCGATCCATTATTTCACGAGCATCATGTATAATATAATAGGAAATATATTGTTTCTCATGTACATGTTCGGATCTGAAAATAAGCATGAGCTATTTCGGTAAGCAGCAGCGGGCGCGGAGAACGATCGGCGCGATGTGGCGATCAAATCGGTAAAGATGTAAGACTGTGGAGTCCGCGCATCGTCACAGCGTCAGCTGCGTGGTACATACGTGGTCTGCAAAGTCACGAGTCGAGTCTGAACACACCGAGCGAATCGAAGCAACGGTCTCTGTAGTAGCGGCGGACGTGCGCTAGTGTCGGCATCGGTGCTGTGCTCGGCTCGGCTCGGCTCGGTCCCTTTTAACGTATCTCTTCTCCCAACTTTTGAGAGCTTAAGGTGGAAAATCGATTTCTATCGGCTAGTGGATAACGGTAAAAGGGGACAGGAGCCAACAGCTAATTATTTCGGATATGAGCTCTTCGACATACGTCGGGTAAGGTGTTATCATTTATTTTGAATCGCGATTCTCAAATTCTCATTGTCGAAGCGCGCGTCTCTCGGAGAGAATGATTCGACACGTTTCTTATATCTCTCGACCTATTTGAAATGTGCCCTTTACTTTACGAGAAAGATGGTTGTCGGGAATCGAGATGAAAGTATTATCTAAAACATTACAATCTTAATACAATTTGCAATTATTTTAAATTTCAAGTTTATCGCATCAACTCTTTATAAAATTACATTATATAATATATATATATACATATATATATATATATATATATATATATATATATATATATATATTGAAATTATGTGTGATTGATAAATTGAAATAGAAATATATGTACAAATTGGACAAAAATTTAAAATTTTTTCATATACGATGCGTTTTATCAGTGGAAGAGATAAATCTCTCTCTCTCTCTCTTCTCTCTCTCTCTCTCTATCTTTCTCTCTCTCTCTCTTTCCTCCTCCCTCCCTCCCTTCCCTTCTTCTCGTAAAAACAGCAAAAGTGGAACTCGTTTTTTGACCATGCCGCATCGGATCGAGCGTCGCAAGGCCGAATTGGCCTTGCCATCGTGTTCCAAGGAGAACCCCTCGACACATATTTCACTATTGAGGCGAGTAACGCTCGTTCAACGTAGAGATTCAATTTCAGGCGCAACTTTCTCGCAAGTCGGCGCATTTTTGTGCTGTCTAGTCGAGCTACAACGCTCAATGCACAGTTTGACCAAAGAAATATGTATTTACTTTTCAAGATAAAATATCGTATCGGATGATAATTTTTCTCTCTCTCTCTCTCTTCCTTTCTCTCTCTCTTTCTCTCTTTCTCTCCCTCTCCGCAATATACTCACACTACACTAATAATAGCATTTTTTAGTTATCGCGACTAAAAAGCATACACCCCTTTTTTAAATCTTAAATTTTATCTCTCTTGGATCGATTTCGAAAATTCCTTCGTTTTATATGCCAATCATGAAATTTATCGCGGCGCGCATTAGAAATCCTAAAAATAAAATAATTGGAAGCATTTAATACGAGGCTCCAACGTACAGGTCAGCCCCTGCGCTAAAATTAGCTCCCGCTCGACGTATCTACCTAAATACATTTCTACTCGCTGCTATTCGTTGGCTGGGTTCCCAACATCACGGCGTGGCCGCCATCAACATGACCGAATTCGATTCGCCATGATTGAGCTTTTCCAAGAAACTTAAAGTTATGCTGGCAAATGACGCATAACATTCGCGATAACATAACGGAAAAAAATTTGCGACCAAATTATCTTTCTCAACAATATCTTTTCATCGAATGTATAATTCGAAAAAATGTCGAAAATTTATTACAACGATATCGATATTTCATGAATTTCACGATGATTAAAATAGAAAATTAAAAATGGACGCGCGCGCGCGCGCGCCGCACGCACGCACACACACACACACACGCGCGCGCGCGCGCATATACGTAGACGCGATCGCGTTAGCCGCTAGCGCTCAATAAGAAAGAACGAAAATGAATAGTATAGCTATTTATGCGAAAATAACTTGGAAGAAACTGGCAAATTTTCCATGAGAACGCATTGTCGCTTTCAACCAAATATCTGAAATCGAGAGCAATAGTCATGCGATGTAATCAGTCATGCCAAGATTAAAACAGCGTTGTCGCATTCAGAGATTATGGGACTTTCAAACTTTCTGTTTTTGTTAAAATTTTCAATTTGTTCCGTTCTTATTCTTATATTGCCAGCGGAATTTTTTATTTAATCTGCAAATAAATAGCTCACAACTACCAATAAAATTATATAAAATTATCATTCTACATATTGTTAATTTTCAATATGCTTGAATTTGATCTTTATCAAGTATCTCATTGGCAAATACACATAAAAAGTATTTTTACGTATTATTATAATATAATAAATTAATATTATGTTTTCTAGTAATTATTGATAATTATTATTCTTCTTTGTAAAAATCAAAAACTTTCTTCACTTTTGAAAAATAAGTAGTTTTATGTAAAATATTGCGCTCACGGATTAACAATATATTAAAAAGTATATACTCAATTCCAGATTTAAATAAATAAATAATTAAGTCTAAAAATTTTACGAAATTGTGTACGTGCAATTCGTGATGCTTTTTTTCTTATCATCATGGTGTGTGTGTGTGTGTGTGTGTGACTGTGAGGTATCTATCATTATACTGTGATTCAAACGACCAGCATTTGTCTAATCCTTTTTAAGCAAATAGATCCGATCGTGTATTATTTTTAGACGTTTTAAAATCAATCTTTCTACCGGGCACAATACGTTAGTTTTTAATGCGAAAAGATTCAAGCATTTAAACATTTCGCGTGCTCTCAATTTATAAACATATTTATATATTATGCATATATTATTGAAAATTGGACCGATAAATCGTGCTGTTGTTCTGCGAATAAATCTATTTGTACGTATTGCAATGTAATGAAAGATTTGTTGTACAAATGTTTTATTAATCGCATTTGTTACAATCCAAAGTGCTTGTAAACGCGCTAATAAAAGTCATGTTAAATTATATACATACTCTAAATTTGTGTTTGCATATGTGCGTGTATGGGTGAGAGAGAGAGAAAGAGAGAGAGAAAGAGAGAGAGAGAGAGAGAGAGAGAGAAAATGTAAATATAACATATGTACGCAAAATATATGAATGCGCGCAAGATATGACTCATGCCTGAAGCATAATTGCATTCCATAGATAAGATAACAACCTTTCATGTCAACGGATGTATAGGATTCGTTTTTTACTTTTTAAATATATTATCGAAATATATTATGTTTTAATTTGAAAATTTTAGTTTTTTTCTGTCATTTGAAAAAAAGGCATCTTCAGCCCACCGCGAAATGATATATTCAATTTTAAGGGAAAAATATCATAAAGTTATGTAATATTTTCTACACACACACACGTGTGTGTGTGTGTGTGTGTGTGTGTGTGTGTGTGTGGTGTGTGTGTGTAAAATAAATTTTTGCATAAATATATTGACTTTATGGAAAAGCCATTTACACACATGTTCCATAAACTCGATATATTTATACGTACGTATTTTTTATGTAATATCTTTATGTACATAACCAAAATTGCTAAAGTAATTATCTCTCACTGTTTGTTCAATTAATAAATTGTTTAATACTTATATTTACAGAAATCCGGATATAATGATTGCAGGTACGCACAGATATTAAAACCTTTTTTCTTATAAAAGTGTAAAAATTTTTCTTTTCACATTAAAATTAAGCATGTACATACCACATTTGTCTATTAAAATAATTGATAATTAAACTTTACTTGTTAGTATACAGATGATAATAGAATAGTATAGTAATAGATGATAATAGAATAGTAATACAATTATTGCAATTAATCATTGATTAAATCATCGAATCTTCATGTTAAGTCAGTATTGTTCATAATTAGTACATTTTAGGCCCGCCTCCACCACCGCCTCCTCCACCTCCTATGTCTGGTCAACTACCATCTATGAGAATAAATACTACAGAGGTAAGATGTGTGCGATAAATAAATTGTACATAGTCATTATTTTTTTGTCGTATAATAAGAAACAATGATAGCGTTTAAGCGATGACTGCCGCTATTGGAGCTTATCGCCGAGCTTATTTTCATTTAAAATAGGTATGAAAAACATATTGACAATGTACAATGTCTGTAGATAATTTTTGGAATTTGCCGTTAATATAATTGGTTCGATGTGCAATTTAATTATTATTCCGTTTATATATTAACAATTATAATTATATTATTGTAATAATTTATTCGGCGATACTTTGGATTTGCAGAATACGGCAGCAAAGAAAGCACAGATGGTTAATAACGACATTTACGAGCCGCCAGCAGCCATTCAGAATGCGATGTTGACCAAGGATAAGAAACCATTTACCTACACCCCAGGTATGGGTGGTAAATTAGATCTGTCGCAGATTCGTAGCCCGCGCATGGCGAGAAGAGTTGCGAAAAATGCCAACGACGAAGGTATAGAGGGGCCGCCGAAACTTGCTGTCGAAACGAAACCGTCGGTTGCGGCTTCTACCGCGGCGAATTTTTTGATACAACCGCAAGTCGCAGTACCAGTTTTTCCTTCCAATGTACCAACTCAGGCCCACGTTAATAGGATGCCATCTTCTCAGCTCGTCAATAGGACACCGTCGAATGGTAATCATCTCAATGTGAATCCTCTTTTCTCGTATCACTTGCCGAAAACTGTCGCGTTCGTTATGATACGAACCGCATGTATTGTACACTTGGCGTATATGTATTTCATATACATGATGTGAGTACACGATGCGCATATTACATTAGATGTATGTACATATTGGAACAATCATAATCAAATGTTTCTTATCTGAATGAATGTTTTTCTTATAGTCGCGGACAAGCAGGCCGAACCACCGAAGAACGTTGTTACAAAGATAGATACGAAAGCAGTGCCGATTACAACTCCCGAAAGTCCGAATACACCGACTCAAGTTACCTTGTTCAAGGCTCCTACGCCCTGGCTGCAAAATAAGAACAAGCCTCAGGAGGAATTACCCGAATGGGCGAAACGCGCATGTATCAATAAAGCAGTTGGCAGTGGCCCATCGGAAAGCGACTCGGTCTCTCCGACAGCTTATGTTCAGGTCCAGCAGCAATCGCCCCAGCAACATTCGGAAACGAAACAAGAGCAAGAACAATATCCGATCCCGCAGTGTCAACAGGCAAAATCCCAGCAGCTCTCCCGACGATCGCAACAACAGAGGCAAAATGTCGTTTCCGCAACGCCCCAACAAATTAATCCGCAATCACATCAGCACGAACGTGTTATACCCATTCGAGTAAGTTGAGAGAAAACTCTCTTACTTCTCAGTATACGCATGCAGCTCGCATGCAGCTTACTGGCGGAATTGTTGCAGGTTTTTTATATGTATATCCATTTTATTTTTTCGTTTTCATGTTTCCGATGTAATCTGACATTAGATCGAGGATAGACCATCGGTGTTTGACGTGAAATGTGATTCCGGTCATCATCAATTTAAACAACAACCTCCAACTTTGCATCATCAACAGCGATGGGGTCAGATGCCTAATCAATGTATGTTGGACAATCAAGCGCAAAATCGTCCACAAGATCAAGAGCAGTCTCAAATTCGCACTACAACTTTGCCTCGACCGGAACAGTCAGTCGGAACAACTTACATCATCCCTGTCGTAGTGAAAGATAACGATAAAAAAACGGCGTCGCCTAATGCCGAAAATAACACGATCGAAAAGACTAGAATGTAAGTTGAATTTATTGAATTGATTATCATGTTTAGGTATATCGATCTTTAGAGAGATATACCTAAACATGATAATCGAATAAATAACATGTATTTCAACAAAATTTTTAACTAATCTCTATATTTGTTTATTCTTGCAATCATGTTGCGATCATCGATTAAAATTGTTGGGATAGTATGCAACAGCAGAATCCCAACCCGATTCAACAGCACGATTCTGGTCCAGTTCAATCACGATCATTTCGTGTTCTTCAAAAAATTACGGACACGGATGCAATCAACGATGTGGGTACGGAACAAATACGTAAATTGGAGTTGAGTGAAGATGAGAAGCTACTTATGAATAAATTTAAAGAGCAAGGTAAAATTTATCATTCGTGTCTACCATTATTTTAAGATTTACGTCACTTACGTTAGTATACAATGCTGTACGATGTGTGTTTATATGTCTTTTGAATATATATACACACACACACACACACACACACACACATGTACATGTATATATGCATATATAATAGTAATTATTTTTAATAAGACTTTTAAACAAGATATAATTGATATTTAATTTCTTCGATTAAACAAATATTCGAAAATTTTTAATCATTAGCAACTTGTAAACAAATATTTGTTCCTTTTTTCTCGCAGTCGATCACGAAACTTACCTTCATCAAGAGGAAGATCCGAGATATCGTGGTGCAGCAATACCTTCACGAGCTTTCCGTTTTTTACAAAATATGACAGATTCGAGTGATGCCACAGTTACTTGCGCAAGTAAGCCAGTTTTATACAAGAAATACTTTCATTTAAAATCATTATACATATTATTATTATTATTATTTTGTTTTAATAATAAAGTATACACTGTTGCAAGCAATAATATAAAAGAGAGCAAATATAGTAAATGTATAAACAATCGATACAATCTTTTTTCTCTTGTATGTTTCAGCGCCACGTAATATACAAAATGTTGCAAACAAGAAGCAAAATAGAAATTCAAAATTGTTTGGTAAGTAAGTATGCAATTTGGATGGATTTTTTTTATTATTAAGACTCTATATTATAATATAATTGAAATATATATCTAAATATCTGTAAATTCGTTTCACATACACGTCGATTCTCTTGTAGAAGAGAAACAGGCAAACTTACCGGCCAGTGAACAACAAGTGCAAGAACCGAAGAAGTACATGGGCAGTGCAATTCCTTCTCGATCCTTTAGGATATTACAAGCGATGACAGCACCAGAAAGTAACAGTAAGTATATATCTGTTAGATTTCTCGAAATTAATTCTTTTTTGTAAAATTATCTGGCAGATTAGATTTTATTTTTAGAAATGTTACGAATGTGTCCCTTACAAATTTCACATTTCTATCTTTATTAATGAAATATTCTTAAGATTCCAATTTTTTCTGTATAGGAATAGTTTTCATCTCATTTTAGAACCTTTCTACATTATATTTAATACGCGCGTATAAGAATTTTGTACGACATACACATATTTATTGTTCATAAATTAATTTGTAAAAGCTTATTTATACCTGTGTACATTAATGTTTCATAATGAACGCTTTATATTCTAATGAATATTTTTTTGAAGTAACATACTTGGCATCGCTCAAACACATATTCCTGAATCTTGTGTTCACAGGATTTATAAAATTTTCTTTGCTGCTATATATTTATCACTTCTCCAAAACGCAATATATATATATATATATATATATATATATATATATATTATATGTATAATATTTACTTAATTTAATTTAATAAAATATTAATCATCTGATATTATTTTTACAAATATTTTCTAATTGAAGAGAGAGAGAGAGAGAGAGAGAGAGAGAGAGAGAGGGAGATTACAATAAAATACGTAGATATTTGAAGTTGTTCTCTATAAAAATTTTCCTTGTTCGCTACTTTAATATATTCTCCTTTGAACACAGGATAATTTATTTTTTTCACTTCCTTTTCGAGCTGATCGATATAATTTCGCTTATTCTATGCTATATTATGCCAGGTTTATCGATTTAAGGTCGGTTGGGCATATATTATATATACAGAGTAGAAAAAAAGGAAGCGCCAAATATACATAATATGCGCGGATAAAAATTTCAGACACATATTTTCGACCTAAGATCTAAGAAATGTTCCATTTTCCTATCGTACCATCTACTTTATGGATTATATAACGCATAAAATAACGGATGTGATTAAAAGAAGAAAATCTCAAGGTCCAAATAAAGACGATGCGCACGACGGCTGTTTTACGCTCGATGTGTGAAGAATTTAACTTTGAATGTGCCTTGTGCTGTTTGTTGTAGCCACGCAAGAAAATCGTCAAGCAGATTACATCTACCAAACAGAGAATAATTTGCCGGGCAATCAGCAGGGTGTATTTCTTCCTCTTCAACCTGTTCCTTTCTGGTATTCCGAGGGTTGGTGGGGCTGTTATCCTATGCAGTGTAACGCTGCTATATCCAACGAGATCGCGAATGAAACGGACAGACCCTCCTTTCCCTTTCACGCGTATCCGAATGGAAGGACTTACATTGGATCCTTTTATCCAGTTTATAATAAAAACTTTACGGACGCGATGACACGAGTAGAAGTTACCGATCGAGAAAATTCTTCAGGCGAATATACTGGTTACGCGACCGTAATTTACCCTCAAGCAGGCTACAATAATAATAACGTTCAACCTACATCGCACGTCGATGAAAACAAATGTAATTATATTCACGATCGTTTTACCGCTGCCGATTCATTTTTCGCTCAAAGCAATAAATTAGATTTTGTGCAAAATTCCACGGTTAATGAAGCAAAAAGTACAGTTTTATCCGACAATATTAATCATTTGGATGCACAATCGAACGAGACGTACAATCCCAAAAGTATCGGCGAAGAGTCCAATAGTAATAGAGAAAAAAATAATTGCATTACCACGGCGATGAATATAATCGACGACGAAGAGGACAGCATATCCGACAATGTTGTAGTTACTAATAATATTGACCTGTCGAAAAAGAAAACATTCGGCCCTTATATCAACGTGCCAAATTATACTTACGTAGATACCAGCGATTCTAGCGCTTCTAGCGATTCTAACGATTCCAGTGACTCTAGCGATAGAGATTCTACATCGTCGAACAACGAACAACTTTTGGATTCTTGTCAGAAAAATTACAGCAACGACGCCACCTTCAATAATACGTCATCGTCCGCGAGCGATTCGGATTCGTATGTAGCTTATTCCACATGCGTGAATCCTTATAAGAAGTTGGAGAAAGCGCCGCGCAATTTCTCTTTGAATGAGAATTGCACCGACGTCATTGCCGCATGCTCGACTAGCGCTAATGCAGATATAGATAATGCTCGATATAGACGCTCGCGAGACTTGTCCGAAAATCGTCATACGACTTCGTTTCAGCAGGATATTTGCAGGCGTATCGCGAGCGAGAGATGTAACGATGAGAATTCAACCAATGATCTCGACTCTTATTCCGATAAGAGCATCGGTGATCACCAGTCGAGCCATCAAGATGGTCGGAAGGATCCGGCGATCGACAGCGCCGTTTCTCATCCTCGGTTAGGCGTTAATCATGAGGATCAAATTCAACCGGACCCGGAGAGTTGTTATTGTAAAGAAGATGTCGGAGATGCTTTCTTCGAAGCGACCGACGATCCTCCCGACATCGAGAATACGATGGTCAGCGTGAGTCTGCCTCTGAGATTCAGATTTTCCGTGTCCGAGGACAACGAGGACATTACCACTGTTATTGTCGGTGACAGCACGATAAAGGCGGAAAAGTCCTGCGACGAGCACTTTTCGATGACGAGGGATGACGTTCGCGTCAATTTCCATGTCGGCAACGATACTAGCGTAGATTTTACGATAAAGGCGCATCTTTCCGATGAGGCACGGAGTATCGAGAACGTGATACCGCGCGTGGATTTCACATTAAGAAGAGATCCAACGGGAGTCGGCGAAATTAATGGCGAAGAACGGAGGACAGGTACCGAGACGGAGCTCGTAGAAATGGGACACGCGGAGTGCGGGATAAAGCATTCCGCGGAACTAGCATCGAGAGACATCGACGAGGACGACGTGGATGCTGTTTACAAATTAGTCGCTACGCAAGATAATTTATTAAGCGACGAAAAGTGTGACGCTCAAATAGAATCCGCTTGTTGCGAAAGTAATGCCGAAGGTACCGCTTTCGGCAGAATTGCCGAACCGAAACTTACCGTACTCGAATACTCTTCGATGCGAGACGATCTCCAGATTGTCGATGCGCACGAAACGGAAAACCTGCGGAGAAACTGCGTAACGACGTGCCTAACGGACGACAAGTATATCGATGAAAATTTCGGTCGGATAGAAAACGTAAAGCGCCCGCCGAAGGTCCAAGAGGACACCGACGATGAGGACAGCGGAGTTACCTCCGATATAAGTCGCTTGATATCCGAAGCTGACACAGACTCGGAATGTACTTGCTCGAAGAATGCAAAAAAGTATCAACGAACGCAGACGCATTCGCGACTTTTTCGGCTTTTGAACGATGATTCCATTTTATCCGGTCACCCCAGGACGGATCCCTCCAGAAAGGAATATCTCAGCCTGCCGCTCGAGACAAACGTTTCCAACTACGACGACAATTACTGTTCCAATTATTCCAGTGGTTTAACCTCTCCCGAATATTCGCCCGTTTACGAGCAGTCTTGGCGAAAATTTCACGAAGATGCAAGTACGACGATTACAGGTAGTTCGGCAAACGTTGAAATCGATCGTCTTGCGAGTCGGCAAGAACGGATCCCTTCGAAAGACGATCCGTATTTCCGAATTTGGAAGAGCCCGAAATTATTTGGTTTGCGCGAGCATAATGTTGTACCTTCCCTAGCTTTCAAGACACTCGACAGCAAGATACCCTCTTGGGCCTACAAGGTGAATGTACTGTGTCCGAGAATCAAGAGTACGAAGAGCGTGCCGCAAACTCTGCTAGCACGACACAATGACGAGACTTGCGATCCATCGCGGATGGTTCCTCCTATCCCAACATCCTGCACGAACTCTAAAACCAATTATTGCTGACGGCCCAGGATGGAATGAGGCCATATGTTTGCTCCGCTGCCGCGAGCAACTGCTCTTCACATCTACGGACATACTTTTCTCTCAATTTTCTTCGCAAGACAGTGTTGGGTATGCCCGAGATGCTCTACGGGCTAAGTGATTTTTTTTCTATCGGTACATATCGTTTCCATATATTCGTCTATCATTCTTGATTTCTTCTCCACGTTTCCCTCTTTCCTCTTCTTCATTTTTATTTCATTTACATATTTCTTTTTTCTTCTCTCGTTTCCTCATACCTTATGCAATTAATTTCGCTACAACTTTTATCTCTCTTCCGTTACCTCTTTTTTTTTCTTGTGTCTTTAATATTTTTTCACGTTCTCTTCTCTCGCAATTGTGCAAAACAGCTGATTGTTAAACACGCTTACATGGTTGCTTGATTGCTTTATGCATGTTGTGTCGACTAATATCGATTGAAAAACAGGAATAAATTTATTAACGAGCATAAATTTATCTACGTTTGAGAAACACGAGCAAATGGCGCGAGGAAAGAAATTATTCGATAAAACTCATATATCAGAATTTTTCTCGTGTTATTTACCAAGTTAAATTTCATACAAATATATATGAATATGTGCTAGAGAGAAAGAGAGAGAGAGAGAGAGGGAGGAGGGGGGGGGAGGGAGGGAGGAAATGAGTAGCAATAAAGATTGATATTATGTATAATCGAAACATTACATGTATATGTAAAAGTTTAAAAAAAATGTATGTATATATATATATATATATATATATACATACATTTTATATATATATATATATATATATATATATATATAAAACAATATATTTGCGCTTTCAACATTCTCATACATAATGCGTGCATATTTTAAAATTTCAATATATATGTATGTCTTTTTTCCTATTTTCAAATTTTGTCTTTACACAGTTATATATGTGAATATCGCTTTTACAAAATCAAACTTGTCACTTTTCAGGTCCCGATGCAACTGATTACTGAGAGAGGACGAGTGTGAAATCCTCCTTAGGATTCTCCAAGACCGAGATTGTTAGTGTGCTTTTTTCTATTTTGTTTACAAAATAATCCTTATAATATGCTTGTTTACGTCGCGTTTCTCCAGCAAAAAATTAACCAAAGACTTTCTTCAAAGAGAATAGCAGAGATGAATTATTTGATATTATATACATATATCAATTTGTGAAAGATTCTTTAGGATACACTGCCGTGATAAATATTACGTTAATTCTGTTTCAAAACTTTTCATCCTGTCCACATTTTGGATTTTGATGTCAGATCAATCTGTGTATCAATGAGATTCCATCTCATAGATTTTTCGATGATAAGTTGATCATTATTTTTTAATCGTTATTAGAAACAATAAATATTGATAAAATTTTTTTACTTTGACTTTTAAATTTGCTTTTCAAGTTTTAGTCAATTCTAAACAAGAAATTGTATATTTTTCAAAATGTCTTAAATAATTCCAAAGAAGAAACTTGAATAATATATTATATTAGGATACATATATACATATATTGGGAGATTGGCTGCCTCGTATGTCGCACCGCAACGTAGACATTGTACTACGTGAGCAGATGCATGTGATTTATTTATTTAAGACCAATGAAATTGTTATATCGAAATTGTAATAACACTCTTCTTAAGAATATTAATCATTATTTGAAAATATATGTGTAAATATACACACACATTATTAATCCTATTACTTAAATTTGTAAATCCACCTATCCAAATTGTAAAATATATTATTATTTGTAAAATTGACGCTGAAATTGATGCTAATGGAGATTGTCTAATCATCTATCATCAGAAAGATATATAATATAACGCAATCATGTTTATTTTGAAATTATACAAATTTATGTTTATATAACACTGTATTATTTATTAATTTAATTCTCAAATCATGTTTTACATATTGTAAATATAAAACTTTATATATTAAGTTTCTATATTTTTTCACATAATTTGTTTCTTATATAATTGTCTATTACTATTTGTGAATTGAAAGTTTAGTATAGTGAATTGAAAAAATTTGATAGTACAATAATATAATGCTAAACATTATATATACATATCCGTAATGTTAAGAACTTAAAGAGTAACGTAAATTCGCTTACGGTGCATAACGTATGCTATAATCGTCCAGAGAGTTACAACCCAAATCGATTCAATTAAACGTAAAGCACGATTGTCCATCGTACCAATCTTCCAATGGAATGGAAAGATTTGATAACATATATTATGACCCACAAATAGCATCAGTGCATTCATTCCTGTGAATTCAGATTTGCATTATGAAACATTAGTATAGCATCTCCTAATATAGCTTAATACATCTATGGCTGGTGTAGCAAGCTGGTATGCTTTACACACATACACACCTACTGCTACAAAAAAAATTAAAAATTCAAACATTTCTATTCTACATTACATTTCTATTTCTCTCTTAATAACATTTGAATTCTACTTCTCTTACATTCATCTTTAACGCCTATTGTTTATTTCTGCTATTAATTTAATTAAAAATATAATTTTATAATCTTGTACAATCAAATAAAATTAGATATTAAACTTTTCTCCTCCCTCATTCAAGTTGTAGCACAATATATTTTTGTGCGTTTGAAAACGCACAAAAATATTTTTTGCGTGTCTTTTTGAAAATTTATTTTCTAATTTGTTCTAATTTTTTCTATATACATATATTTTAGATACCATTTTTTTGCTTTATTTCCTTCATTAATCATAATTCAATATCAAATTAGATTGATAGTACATAATAGAACACACACTCATTTTCACTCTTGTACCTACCGGGTATTCTGAAAGGGCCACCTCGCCAGATTCTGACAACATCAATTAGCAAATAACATCCAGAAAGAAAAGCCAGAGCAAAACAAGTTGAAACAAGTACGAATGACAACGACCTGCATAATTATACAGCGATTTATACTATTACATACACACACACACACACACACACACACACACACACACACACACACATATATATATATTGCGCAAATCAAAATATTTAAACCAGTAATTAAAATTAAAAATAAACTTTTTAATACCACAAGTTTTTGTTGATGGGTATAATATTAGTGAAATGAAAGATGCAACCCAAACAACCATAAAATACTGCCCATACAAGCCACCGGATAATACGTTCTTTCCAACCTTTATACATCATTAGAATTACACCAGTGTGTACACCTAAAAATACTTGAAATATTGATGTAAGGCATCCTAAAAAAACATACAATATTTATTACATATGATTCTAGAAATATTACATTTCTAAAAAATTGATTTCATTTTAATATGGATTTTTTGAGTTATTCATATGTAAAATTAAAAATTTTATGAGCACAGTGAATAAAAAATTCGCCCTATATTTGATTTAAAGAATTTATAATATATGTTGGTTTTGGAGACTTATCGAATTTGCTATTTATTGTTAAACGCCCATAATTATTAATCTTATTTTTTTCCTAAAAATTATAATAATCCCCAAAACTGTGTGTGTGTGTGTGTGTGTGTGTGTGTTCACAATTCTTTTATTTCTTTTACCTCTCTCAAAAAATAATTGTCAATCAATTTTTCGCAATTGATATCGAATTTTTTTTTATTGAAAATATGTATATTACAGAAATTTCATTTTTACGGCTCCAATGTTAATGAAATATGATATATTTCATTGTAGAAAGACATCTCATGATGAAGAAATAAATTTAATTTCAAAGGATGATAAGAGTTGAATATTTCCATAATTATATAAATATATACTATGTAATAATATACTATATAATTTTATATTGTATATATAAAACAGCACACATAAATAAACACAGGATTCACCTAAAATCCCTTCAGGATCGAAAGGCCCGGATCCGTAAATAGAATCGATAGTTGGCCATTGATAAATATGACTTAAAGTCAATAAAATTCTATCGATATATCCAGTCGCACCCCCGGTACAATTAAAATATTTGCCATCTTCGTGCCTTCCGCCTGGTCCAAGATATCCGCTGTAGAGTAAATTTACTGCTTCATTTGTCGACAGGATGAATGATGGATTGAAGCACAAAATTAAACAAGAGATAATCGGACGTCAAAGTTAACGTACGTACGTAGGGCATCCAGGAATTGGTAGACAAAACGTTACAGCACAATGCACCATTACTAGAGTCAGCATTATGCACCAGTGTGGCAAAAGACTTAATATGTCCTGCATCTTATGCGTCATCCAAGTTTGTGATAAGTTCTACAAATTGTAAAAGGTTTATATTATCAAAACGTAATCCAAATTGTGATAAGCCATTGCATGTTTATCAAAATGTATGTAATATTTTTTTTGTGTGTGTACGCAGGTTCCTAAGAGACATGTGTTAGATTTTAGAAATGTATTATCTTCAAGCAATTAGAAAGATTGTGTACAAGTATTATAAAGTGAGTCTTACCAACACATTTAATGCATAATTGCAGAGTTTGCGCATATAATAAGTGTTATGTAAATACAATCACATTGCACATCTCGCGTGTGTCTCTATATTATAAGACTTATACAACAACACTTGATATTTCCATACCTGAGCAACTTTTGGCTGTTGAGGTGTAAAGCAAAGATAGAGCAAACTAACAATTAAATAAGTAATTCCGAATCGTTGAAGAACTCCGAATATGCGTATGTTTTCTAATTGTGCATTTGTTCCTAACGTGTTTAATGCAATACCTATCAAAAATAGAAGAAAACTTCTCTGCGAAAAAATATTAGACCTGTTAAGCACAAAATACATCAATATAATCATCGATATTACATACATACATACATACATACATACATACATACATACATACATACATACATATATACATACATACATACATACATACATACATACATACATACATACATACATACATACATATATACATACACACGTATATATACGCGCATGTGTATATATATTTCACATCACATGAAATAATCGACTCAATTATTGATCGACTAAAAAATCCATCTTTCTCGCTAACAATTATTTTTTTGCGAGACTTTACCTTGAAAATGGAAAAGCTGATTTCAAGTTTCGAGAGTCCACGTTTTAATTGCGCCGACAAAGCTATAGGGACGCAAACTCCCATAATCCACATAAAACAAGGAAATACTAAATCTCCTAATAACATTCCATTCCAAGTCGCATGCCCCAATGTGGTATAACTACCGGAGCCATCATTAACAAAAATCATAAAAAGTGTGCAGACTCTACAAACCATTGGTATGAACATTGTAAAAGAATAATCTATTCTAAATAGATATGCGTAGATTCCTTTTATATGTTTTTTTTATGTGCGTAAATACTTTAAAACGTTTATACCCCCTGAAAGTGTCGATAGCCTTTACGCGTCGATGTTTTGTCGCTTTTTCATTGTTATTTGGCGTCCTTTCTTCCTCTGTTTTTGTTACATATTGTTTTGTAAATTTATACCATAAAGATCTTCCAATAGATATGGCAGATAAGATAAATATAATTATCCCCAAAATTATAAACAATTCTGTAAATAAAAAAAAGAAAAAGAAAAAAAGGAACGCAGGCACACTTTGATATGCCTCGCGAATAATCTGTAAAATACTCATGTACAAAAATCTCCTGTATATACTAAACATTACATTTTCTCTTCTATTCATAGTCAGATTTTAATCAAATAAAAACATCAAATAAAAAGAATACTTAAACTAATAATTAATTGATAATGTTGATTATTTTATCGTTCTTCTATTTTATCAGACGAGAAAAATAAAAAAAGTAAATTGTCTATAGACATAAAGATTAAAAAATAACGCTTGTTACTTGTTGTATGTAAATTTGTATGTAAAAGATTTGCTAACGTTACACAATTACTCTTTTCGATAATGAATTAAAAACAATATTATTTCTTCTGTAATAGGGTGTACAATAATTAATAATATAATTGTTACGTTTCCTTGAATTATAAACATGATTATTTTATGTATTATAATTATTCATTTTCGTATATTCTTTGGTGAACAGTAAACGTCAAATTTTTTCAGAATTTTAGAATATATGAGATTTGAAGATGCGCGTGGAAAGGTCACTTTCAGCCACTTTTAAAAATTTTACAAAATAAGAAAGTTATTAATCCTTTTAATCCTTTAACATTAAAATTCAAGATTATTACTATAATTGACATTATTGCATATTTTATATTGATAGTGTAATATCTAGTATTATAGTTGTTATATATTTAGCTAATACTAAATATATATTTAGCTAATAATATAATTTTTAATATATCTCTTTCCATTCGAAAAGAGCCAAGGATGGTACAATATGAGTATATATACAATAATTAACATACACAACGAGAGAAAGTATTTTCATAATCTTGGAAAAATTTGGAATTATAATATTTATGATCGATTTCTCTTAAATAATTATTACAATAATATTATTTTAGTTATTCCTGATACCATGTTATATCAGTAAGTATCAGCCAGATATCGCGCGAATTGAACAGTATATAAACAAAACGATAAAACTGCTAGGATAAGATATATATTTTATCATTATTGTATTATATAATTCAATCTCGTATAGCTTTATTCTTTTATCTACATGTATATACATAGCAAATAGGTGCTACGATATTTTTATGGAAAATAATGTTGAAATATATATACATATATTATATATATTATATATATTTATATATATATATAATATATTTATTTATTTATTCGTAAAATTTTCAAGAATATCTAGAATATACCTGAGTATGGATATGTTGGTTTTCTCAATGTTTTACAACTGCAGGTGTCGTTTTGCACTGTCAACTCGTATAAACCGTATTGTCCTAGATTCGGTGATAGTTCGCAAAAGATATCGCTAAAAAATAATATTTAAAAAAAGATTAGGAAAATTTAAACGTGTGCAAATGCTTAAATAAATGTAATAAAGCAAATGCGTATGTAAAATGTTTAGTATATCAATCAGGTGAAAATGTGTATATGAATTTTGATCATTTGAAATCTCATTTATTAGGCAAATTATTATATTTATCATGTAAAAGAGAAAAACGATATATGTATGTTCACGATATAATATACACGACACACACACATATGCAAATAATAATATAAGTAATAAGTAATAAGTAATAAGTTTACCTTGTATTTTTGGCAGATATATATTCATTATTGCCATTATTCTTCAACACTCTCCATTTTACTGTTTTGACCGTACTAAATTTCAAACTAGAATTGTCGTTAGTCGAGATCCGTGCTATTCGCTTATATGGACACTAAACAAGTATAACAGTTAAAAATATGTGCTGAATGTGTATCATGAATTTATACGTATATACGGATCTCCCATATATTAAGAAAGATATTATTCGAGATGTGATTTTTGTTATTTATTGTATATTTATTTTTCTATTTTTTTATCTTTCTTTTAAAAAACAAGTTAAATTGTATTTTTGCAATTTTGTAATAATACTTTATTCCAAATAATCCCCTTTCCTTACTTTATTTTGTTGTGTCGTAAGTTTTATACACACACATATATATATATATATATATATATATATATATATATATATATATATTGTTATGCGCGCGCCCGAGTCGTTACGGCCCTGCCGTTGTCCGGATCCCGTTTCCCGTTGACAAGAAGTTTAACAACAACGATAATCAGATGAGTTTGGAGTCAGCTGTCAAGCTGAGCGACGCGTTTCACATTTGAGCCGATCCGTGTTATTATTATTGTGTGTAATTAACATACTGTGATATCGCTTGTGTTTCTGTGTTGCATTAAAGTTTCTCAGTTTTCTTTAAAAGTGCTTATTTATTTCCCGCGTCTCGCGAGCGGCCGATTTATTAGAGCGCGCCTTCGATATATATCGAAGTTCCTCGCCCCGGGCGTAACAATTATATACATATACATACATATATATATATATATATATATATATATATATATATATAGAGAGAGAGAGAGAGAGAGAGAGGGGGGGGGAAGTAAGAAATCTCAATAAATTACTATTATTACGAATTGAAAATTATAGGTTGTATAGTGCGCAATGTGTTACAATTGTACTTACCGATACACAATCCGTAGAAAGTGAATAAAGCCACATATTATAATTGTTATTATCCAAAATCACGTTTACACAGGCCTCGTCAAACTTTAAATGTTCATAAGAACAGTTAAATTCGTTCATTATTGTTTCTTGTATAATAATTATTATTTCTTATTATTACTGTTTAAATTCTTTAATAATCTAATTATCTTTTTATGTGTATATGTATAAATGCATATATGAAAAATATATGATTAATCGTCGAATTAATTTAATTTGACAATAATAGCGCACTGAAGCGATTGAAGTGGCAACGCAACTTTTCTTAATAGCGGAAAATATCGGAGTGCGATTACACGGGAATGTGATTACATCAAACCTGGCCTCGAGGTTCCCCCGTCTTTCCTTTCAGGCCCCTCGAGCAGTGACGGTTAGACGGGCCAGGTTTTCTCGCGCATGCGTATTGAATATGATATCACTGAAGTAGTTAATCGCAATGTATTTTATAATATTATTACTATTATATTTCTATAATAATATTACTTAATTTAGAATAAGTAATATTATTATAGAAATATAATAGTATTATAAAATACATTGCGATTAACTACTTCAATGATATCATATTTAATGCACATGCGCGAGAAAAACTGGCCCGTCTAACAATACTGCGTGGGCCAGGTTTGAATTACATCAAGCTACATAAGGTCGACGCAAAAGTGAAAGTATGAAGAGCTATATTGATCACACGTCTTGCATCTGAATTTTGTGAATTTTGTGTGTTCACATGTATCAAAAATGCAAATCTCGAGAGAAAAATATATATAATCATATACATATAAATATATAAAAAATATATCCAGAAATATATTTTCTTTTTCTCTGATATAATCTCTTTATAAAAATAATTTAACAAAAAATAAAGAAATAAAAAAAATTGCTCATATATTGTATAAAAGTAAAACGAAAAAATTGTATCCATGTATAATTATAGGCGCAAGGGCAATTTTTTTCATTTTTTTACTTCTCGTCTCTATCTTTTAAAGAAAAAAGGGAAACATACCTTTAATTATTCAATTATTAATAAGGAAAGAAAAATTCTTTCAATTATTTTTCTTTCTCTTAACAAGAAATATAAAAAGATAATACACATGCGCGCGCACATCATACATTACCATATATATATATATATATATATATATATATATATATATATATATATATACATTACCATATATATATATATATATATATATATATATATATATATATATATATACAACAATTTTTTTAATATTAAAATTTCTATAATACATCTGTTATATATATATACATATATATATATATATATATATATATATATATGTGTGTGTGTGTGTATAACAGATGTATTATAGAAATTTTAATATTAAAAAAATTTTTGTTAAAATTGTTACTTTTTTATTTATTATGCGCATTGTGTTTGTATAAATGTGCGCGCGTGTGCATGTGCATAGGATGTAGACATGTAATTAGCTTCACAAAATTTTAAATCAAACGATTGATTGATACGTATACTTTCACGAGTGATATGCTATATTATGTCTTGTAATAATAATTAGATGAAGAGAAACAAAGCTATTGCGATACAAATATAAATAATAATCAATCTTTCGAGTTAAATGCTTTTTCTCTCTCTATATCACATTTAACCATTGTAAATTATTTTCATTTTTTCATCTAATTCAAAAAAATTTTTTTAAATATTACAATATAATAAAAAAACGTTTACTTTACCTGCTTTATATATTCACTTAGCATGAATATTTACGAAAAAATTTAGCTTAATATATATTGGATTTAGTTATATGCGTGCGCATTTCTGCGTGTATTTGTAACAAATAACTAAATTAATACAAATATCAATTGACATGTTAGAAAGAGTATATGATTTAATAGACTTTATTAACTTAATAAGATAATAACATTAATGATTTTAATTATTATATAAAGTAATAATACAATCTTTTTCACGTTTATAATTACTCATATGTTTGTTGTAAGATTGTTTGTGAGAGATGCAAGCATGATTATTCTTACGTATTGATATTTATCGGAATGATTAATAGTTTTTCCTCTTTTTTTTTAAATCTGCCTGCCAAACAGAATTACATATCTGTTTAGAGCAAGTCCAAAATGGGTATCATATAAGTGCATGTGTCGCAAAGTTTCAAATCATTTTCTTTTTGTTTTAAATTTAAATGAAAACTTAATTATATATCAGGAAATGATATCAAACGTGCTGTTATGATAACTCATCTTTTATCAATTGTTTAGGTACGCAAAGATACAAATGTATAAATAAAGATTTACAATATCGTAGTTAAAATTTACTGAAATATATAGTTTTCCTTATAAAGCATCATTCTTCCATATAATTTCACTTTCCCTCTAGGAGAAGGCATTTCTACATTTATTGAAGAATAGATTCGTATGCTTTTGAATCTTCTTTCTTTCAGCCTACTCCATATATACACTATATATATGTATATGTATATATACGTACGTACATACATACATACATACATACATACATACATACATACATACATACATACATACATACATCATACATATGTGTGTGTGTGTCTATATATATATATATATATATATATATATATATATATATATACACACACATACATACATACATACACACATATACACATATATGATGTATGTATATGTATGTGTGTGTTTAGTTTTTCCAATATTCGAGCTGATGCGTGAATAAAAGTACAATGATTAAATATAAAACCTTGATTGAATTCCTTTTAAGACAAGTGTGATAACAAATCAATTGTTGCAAACCAGTTGGAATTCAAATACAAGGTAACTAATTATTTAAAAAATTATTTATTGACTAAGAAGTGTTCTTATTTCTTTGTGCATGTGGCATAGGAAGTCAACATAGCTAGGGCTTCCATCATTTCCTCTATCTTCGACTAAAAAATGTCGCAACACCATTTCTAGTTTTTCACGTTGCCTCACTATTGTCAACTATAAATAAAAAACGACAGATTATATTATATTTTGGCGCAATCTATTTTCATGCATTACATTAAATAGCTTACTTTCATATAGCGATGCCTTTCAGTATGTATTCGATTGATAATATTTGTGATTCTATTATTTAAAGGAGTGTCTAATATTGGCAATGCAGCGCGATCTGTATCAACTTGAACCACCGAAGGCACACCAAAGACGCTCTGTACCCATTGAGAAGAAAGCGCCATACCCAACCATAAAAACATATGGATTGTATTTTCTAAAAATGAGACAAATCACACAAAGTTTATAAAATAATATATTGATATTAACTATCTTTCATATTTATTAAAGAATAATATGTAACAATTATTGCTAATTAAAATAATCCCAACAATATTTCCGAGTTACATATGATAGAAAAGTAATTTTGTAATATTACCAAGTAGATACGCGCCATCATCTGCAAATTTGTCAATTGAGCAACGTAACATTGGTGGTAATTCCGTGTCTTGAGAATCAATGTCATGCAATGGAAATAATCTAGGATAAGTGTATGCAATAGATATAGAAATAGGCATGGTTGCGACCGTTTGCATGACATAAGATCGATCGTCGATGGTCATGTCAGCGCCTAAAAAAAAATTATACATACATACATACATATATATATATATATATATATATATATATATATATATATATATACACACATTTGTAATTACAAAGTAAAGTTTACATATGTATATGTATATATCTTTACACACACACACATACACATAAACTTTACCTTATAATTACATTAGTTAAATGTCTCTATGTGCGTGTACATATGCATTTACCTCCTGACAAAGCGTCGCTTTTCAATAAACAATTTATGTAAAGTGGGAGTAATTTCATACATTCCGGTAATATTAATTGCCCAGCGCTAGATGGTGTCGCACAGTGCTTTCGATATATAGCCAACATATTTGCGCATCTCGCAATCAAATTATCTTTTACCGTTTTTGGAGTGGATTCCAGTAATTTAAATACATCTAAGTACAATAATTATATACGTATAATATTATTTTAAACAAAGTATTATCTTTCTTATATATGTGTTATATATCAAAAATATATCTTACTTTGTTTGGAAAAATAATTTATAATGGCGTCTAAATCACACGCGCGATATAATTCAACCATTTGCGATGAAGTTTTGAGACTCAAGTTTATAATTCTTAATCTTCTTGTACCACCACATGAAGTATATAGCAAAGCTACTTGAATGTATACACCTTCATCATCTGTTAGTTTGTCGTCATGTTTAACTTCTATTCCAACAGCCTTGCAAATTTCAAATCAAGTTAATTTAATAAAATAAATTTATAAGCACATTGATAAATAAATCTTTATTTTTTAATAATATTCCCAAGTAAAAAAAATTTAATATTATAATTCTATAATTATAATATTAATTATAATGTAATATTGTAATTAATTACCTTGTCGCAATCTATGCTAGCTAATTCCATATCAGTTGTATTTGACATAAAATAATGTCCATAGAAGTCGGTCGCTCTAACACCTGTAGATGTACGCACCCGCATAACAGCATCAAAAGCGATCGGTCTACTAATATTATTAATAACATCCGAAATTAATCTTTCACCATCAATATCAGCCTGTAATAGAAAGAAAAAAATGTAAAATCTATATTCTTCAATATAATTTTATATAAAAATAAGTAAATATGCACACTTAGAATTTAATTTAATTATTTCTTACATATATTTTCAAGCACCACAATAGTGATTACCTGAAAGTAAGTATATTTATAAATCTCCCCTCCAGTGAGACGACAAATTTGCCCAATCGTTGCTATATCCACATACGAATTGTTGAAGACAAACAAATCCACACTGCAACCTGCACCGACACATTCTTGAGCCAAATTATTATAGACGTTGTTTTGTGGTACTGTAAAAAAAATAAAATTATTTATTTAACAAGTAAAACCGATATTTATAATAATATGCATATATACATGCAACACACACACACACACACACACACACGCGCGCGCGCGCGCGCGCGCGCACATATATATACAGTACTGGTTTATTTTTAAAATCGTATTACTCGATTAAAAAAAAATCGTAGGAAAAAACTAAAAAAAAAAAGTTTTGTACGCAAAATGTTGTAGTTTATGGAATTTTAGTTGAATTTCTCGAGAAAATTTTTTTTTATCAAGTTGCGGCGTGTTAAAAATACATAATTTTAAGGAACTAAACAGTATGTTCTTTTTTAAAGCGCAGAATAAGGAAGATAAAAAAATTTTTTAAAACCACTAACTGCTCATTAAAGTTGAAACTTCAAGCTTTAAAATGCTTTTTTAATTTTTTGTCTACCATGATTTTTCGACAAGTTTCCGCGATTTGAAATTAGTTCAATTTTTAAGGTTCCCTAATTTTTTTCGACTAGTGTAGATTATATTAGTATATTGCAAATACTAAATATCACATATATTGTATACATACCTAACACTGTTTTCTCTTTATCTGTACCAAGTACTTTACGATCATCACGATTTTTCAATTTTCCAGGCGCTTCGGCAATTGGTAAAGACGAATGGAATATTAATAATTTACCAGAACGTTCGGATGCCTAAAATTATAAGCAGTTATAACAATAAGAACTCTTTTATACTCAATTGATTTACTATAAAATATCCTTAATAAAAAATACAAAATTTCATATATTTATCATAAATCTCTTTTCTAACCTTTTGCATAAATTATACAAATACCTTTAACGCTTCTAATCCAGCTTGTATGGCAGGAGCTAGAATTGTTTCTGTTTCTCGAGTGTCTGCAAACATTTGTGGAATCTGTGTCATAAGACTATCGATAACTGTTTCGCTCTCCTCGACGTCGCATAAAAATCCATCCAAAAGCGGCATAAATACATCTTGAATATCTCCAACAACCATCATTTGCGGTTGAGCGAGACAAGGATTGATGTTATAGAAATGTACAGTATTATTATATGTTATAAAACCAACTTTCATATTACTTTTGGTTTTTCCAGCATCAATAGGTAGATTTTTAATTATGGATTTCATTTTTGCACATAGCAAACTTATTAAACCAGATTTAACTGTATTATATGAAACATCAATTATGAACACAATGGCTGGTGATTTTGGAAAAACATTGTCCTGTGTGAAGAGAAGAACATGCAGAGATTAATATATACATAGAGTTAATATATATTCAAACAAATTAAATAATTTTAATTCTTTACTTCATCATTGTGAAGAAAAAAAATTCTAAGATATAACAATGTTTAATAATAAAAATTCTAAGATATAACACATGTTTACAAATTATTCTATATAAAAAGAATATCTTAAAAGCAATTTTATCAAATAAATTATTTTATCAAATTTTGCACAAATGAATAAATCCTATTAATCCTTATTATATAGTCAGTATTAATAATACGCTATATTACCCTGCAATAATCCTTTGTAGCTATATATTCAAATGTACCCAACATTAATTCTGGTCTCTCATATCGATCCAAGCGTTGACCTGTATGATCCAAATGTTGAAAATATTCGTTTGGAACTAAGCATATAAAAAGAACATGGAAATATAAATAATTAGTGCAGAGATCTTTGCAAATTCTTATAGAAAAATTCATCAATAGCCAATTATTACCTTCTGTAGTGGCTTTGCAGAATATACATTGAAATCTTCGGCCGGCATCGATAAATTGCATAAATGGGCACATGTACGCTTTACAACGCACACAACGTACAGGTCCCATTTCACCCATATCCACAATTGGCGGTTCACACTCTCCTTGAACAATACGAGCCATTGGACTTATCACTAGTCCGAAAGGAACATTGGTCTGTAAACAATATGGTTGTGTCTTAATGTCAAATAAAATATCTAATCTACAAAAGCTTTATTGACAAATTACAATATATATATATATATATATATATATATATATATATATATATATTTACACACATATACCTGTTTTATAATATCAGTAGTAGTAGGGACAGTATACATAGTGGATCTTATGTATCTAGGGGATGCATTTCCTTGATCCTGAGTGATAAATTTAGTCGTTACCAAAGGTGGTACCAGACCTCTCTGATTTGTTATAAACACTCCACCTCTCATATTTTGATCATCCTGCATTACCTGAATCTACATGCAACAAATGTATTTACATTTATATTGGGATAATAATTCGGCATAATATCGGAAAATAAATTGAATTGGCAAAATTTCTAAATTCATACTGGGCTCGGCATTTGTTCTGGATCGAGTCGTCTAGCTTGCTGAGGTTGCAATCCTGACTGATATCCCGTAGGATTAGGTACTCCACTTTGATAAGGACTTCTCTGATTATTATACATTTCCTGCAAGAAAGAACATGTGTTGCATTTTTCTTTCTGTTCTTTAGTCAATAATCTGATTTAATCTCAAAATAGAATAACTTTTAATCATAGTTGTACCATCTGATTATGATATCCTGGTTGTTGGTACGTTGGCTGTTGATAACTCGAAGTAGTATTAGATGATGCACGATTCATTGTTAAAGGACTAGATAAAGTCTGTCCTGGTAATGGAGGTGCAGTGGAGCTATATTGTCTTTGTCCAGACTGTGGTGCACCTGGTCCTGCAGGATTTGTTACAGTCTGGCCTAGTATTGGAGGTGCGGTTTGTAAGTATTGCTTTTGTCGAACTTGGGAAAGGCTAGTGCCTGGAGGACTCGCTACAAGTTGTCCCATTGTTGATAGAGGAGGAGCAAATTGTCTTGATTCAAATTGTGATAAGCCTGTCGGATTTGTGGAACTCGTCAGACTCATTACAGCTTGCGATGGTGGTACGGAATTATATAGCCCTATTCCGGATTGAGATAAGCTAGCATTTGGGGGAGGATTGGCCATTTGAGTTTGATAATCTGTAGAAGATTGTCCATGTCCATGAGGACCCATTGATAAAGGTGAAGACAATTGCGAGCTAGGAGCACCTGTTGTTGGAGGATTTGGTATTTGGGAATGATTCATAGATTGCATGGGCGATAAGAGAGATTGAGGAGAAGAATGCATTTGAGAATCTGCCAAATTTTGTTGTCCTACAATCGGCGGTCTTGAAAAATTTTGCTGACTATTCATTGGAGGCACAGGTGCAGCGTACGGATGCTGCCTGCCTATTTCCTGAATGTGCTGCATCTGTTACAACAAAATTTATTACAATTGCAAACTAAAAGCATATTAAGAACATGCTAAGATTATTACACACGGATTATTCATTTTACATATATATAGAAACAACAAAGATTGAGTATTCTTCAGCATATGGATGGACTATTATTACGACCACTAATCACAATAAAGACATACAAAAATTCGCGCAAGTGAACGTACATACAATGAATATGAATAAAATATACCAAACAGTTGTAGAAAATGCGTGTTTTTCGAAAAAAAGATAACCTATATGAAAAAAAAAAAAAAAAAAAATCTAGTATAATAGTATAGCGTAGATAACATATGTTCGTGTAATTCGAATTTTTTGTTTAAATAAAATAAAAAATATGCATCGAAAGACATGAAATAATAAAAACGTATGTGTGCGATGTTTTAAATAAACATAATATATACATACGAAATAGCAACAGTAAGTTTTTTAATAATCATAAATTATATAATATACTTACGTTATATCATAAAATGTATTTGAAACATAACAAAACTTGATATCACCGAAAATGTTTATACACGAAAACGTTGCGAGAAACGTACGTCAACTCAACCCCAATTGCTGACAATGCCACGTAAGGCGGTACTGCGCACGCGTCCTAATACCAATTCTGATGTCAGCAGAGAGTTGGGAATTGGAGCCATCGGATGTGCAAATTCACGCACGCGCAGTAATGCAAACGCTAGCAGAAAACTGATATAGCTGAACTGGCTACACTAGTTCAGAGGTTATCCTTTTTCTCTACATCGGGAGAAAAAAGATCTCTATACCTAAAGGCGCATTCATTCCATTGAGCTTTAAGGGCCATTCCAAAATAAGTTGCAAAACTGTCTCGTTGCCAATTCCTAAATCAATTGTGATCCAATCAACGTCGAGCTAGCTAATTGGATCGCAATGATTCGGCAACGGGACATCTTCAATATTCAGGGCCGTTTCGGCCAAACTCCAATTAAGGGTACTTTCTGATTCACGCATGATGCGTATGAAGTGACAGAAAATATATAGTTCATGTCACGCATATTATACATTTTCTGTCACTTTATGCGCATCATGCGTGAATCGGAAAGTACTCTTATGGTACTTATGGTGCTTGCACACTGGACGCGATAAGCGATGAGCGATGAGCGATATCCAATAAGAGCTCTGTTTTTTCGAAAAAGGTTTTGGTTACGGACGGCCAAATTGAGCAACGCGATTGGTCGAAACTTTACTGTTATGTCATGGAAAGTGTGTGCTATAGACTTAAGGCCATTCTACAATGGCTATAGCATAGGCCGGTATTCATAGTCCGATCTTATATTTAAGATCGTCTTAAGTCTGGTCCGAGGTTGACTTAAGACCTCCTTCAACCAATCAAATAGCTGCGTAGCATTTCAAGCTCGAACTTAAGACGATTTCAAATATAAGATCGGACTATGAATACCGGCCTATATGGACCAATGAGCATCGAATATTATGATATGTAAGTCAATATGGCAACTTAATACTCGATGCTCATTGGTCCATATAGTCTTATGCTATGCATATGCAGCTATGCAATTTTGTGTGTGATGGCCTTTAATATGGCGTAGTATAAACATACAAATTACGGCTGTCAAACCAGTTATTGGCCTGAATATACTGATCGCTCCCAGATCAGAAGTGGCCATTAAATTTCAAAGAAAAAGAAATTACGGCTGCGACCGAGAACACTTTCGTTTTTCGCTGTATGTCGTAATTTTTATATTAAAATTGGTTGATGAGTAAAAGACGATAAAGGATTAGCGATAAGTATAAAGCAATCTTTTTACGACATTCGGCGTGAAAATATATATATTTATATCTGTTGGAAAAGTTATCACAAAAGTTTTAAGTTTTGCATAAAAATGTTACAAGATTATGAATTTTTTCTTCGTTTGTGCAAGAAACGTAAAATTTTCTCGGCTCATGAGATCTCAGATGCGATCAAAGTTAGCAGGTACATACTTACATTTTTATATCTAACCTAATTTAACTTATATTTGTAAGTATAACTATTATTTTGTGACGTTATCGCAATCAGTTTCATCAAACAGGTTAAATGGTTAAATATCTATTTATAATTATTTTTCGTGAGAGTTTGTGATAAAAAATCGATGACGATGATGATGAGATATATCATGTTCTATTCTATTTACATATTTGAGAAAAAAATATTCGTTCTCATCTTGAGCATAATTGTAATTAAAAATTTATGGTAGAAATTTATATAATTCATCTTTTACAGTATCACTGGGGAATTACGATTATCTTGCCTATCAATAATAATACCAATTTGCGAGATTATAGCACAGACATTAGTGTCCAGTTCTACGATTAAAACACTCGATATGAGTGACTGCATGTTACTACCAAAGGGTCTTGATAGCATTCTTAACGCATTCTGCGAGGGAACTACTGTGACAACTCTAAAGTTAAAGGGTAATAATGTAAATGGGCCTTCAGTTGCGCAATTAGGACGGATTCTTGCATACAACAACACACTCAAACAATTATATATCGAGTGGAATAGCATAGGATCTTATATAGATTCATTTGCTATTTTCTGCGATGGCTTAACTAAAAATCACAACATCGAGCAAGTCGATCTCAGGTAACATTGAGATTTTTATTTGTTTCAGCTATGTTTTCTTCTATTTTTTTTCAATTGAAATTACAGGTTTATATCGGATACATGCTTTGTATTACTTTAAAAAGCAAAAATAACATATATATATATATATATATATATATATATATATATAAACTGCAATTAAAATCTATTATGTATCAAAAATATAAATTTTGGTGCATGTAACAAAAATCTATTATGTATCAAAAATATAAATTTTGGTGCTTGTATAAATTTCACTTGTGAACTTGTAAACTTTACATATTAGATATAAAGTGTTTTTTATTTTTGTATCTTTTATGTATTTATATTTTTAAATTTGAGTTAAGAAAATATTTATTATCATTAGTTTAAATAAAAAGTATACATTAATGATGATAAATTGTTAAATAATTTATTTGAAAGTTTATGCTTTGGGAAATTTGTTCCATTTATTGAATGAGGTTGATATTAGTTGATGTATTGCATTGTATACATACATTTTCTCCTTTCTTTTCTTATCTATCTAATAAACTTTAATAAACTTCTTATCTATCTAATAAACTATTTTGTATAAGAAATATACAAATTATACAGAGAAAAGTTCCTTTAATGAAATTAAGTTGAAAATAAAAGTAAAAAGTCAATAGTATAATATATGATTGAAACCAACTAAGAGTAAAAAGGACAATGATGTTGATCATGCAGATACAATCAAATATCGCCACATTGCGCTCAGCATCTATGTAAAATGATACATCGGAATAAGGTTTTGAAAAGCATCGATTTGTCCTGGAATACATTGGGCTTGCAAGGCGGGCAACTGCTATTGAAAGCAATATGTGAAAACAAGATTATTACCAACCTTGTTCTGTATGGAAACTGTATACCTGAGGACATTATGTTAGCGATTGAAAAACAGCTACAAGAAAATCGTCATAGATATTCCATTGCCAAAATCGCTTTATCTATCGATGCAAAATTCATAAAATTTCCGACAGAAACGATAGTAAAGGATTTTATACTGTCAACAACAAGTAACGATCTTAAAACTGCATATTCAGAGCAAAAGCATTTAATGCTGCATCAGAAAGAAAAAGTCGAGACTGTTATTCTTCAATCATCTGCAAATATGGAGATTAACGATCGAATTAATCTTTTAGAAATAAACTCGGGAATAAATACAGAATTGGATGACGATAAAAATAATTCAAACGCACGTGTAAATATTTCCTCAAGAGATTACAATAATAAGGCAACCGAGATAGATGCCAAGATTGTCGATCTCGCTAAAATGTTACAGGAACGTACTACAGTAATCGATCAACTGACCGGTGAGCTCACGACAAAAATCGCAGAGATGAATGATATACAAGCACAGCTAAGCTTGCTACAAACTGAGATTAATCAATTGCAGGAGGAGAAGCAGAAGTTTGATTCGGATAAAGCTAGGGAAATTGCCGAATTGCAGAAGAGTCATGATGAAGCAAAGAAAAACTGGCAGAAGAGTTATAAGGATTTGAAGAACGATTATAGTGAATGTTCGCAAAACAAAAAAGAGGCAGATTCTAAGGTAAAATAATAAAATTTATTTTTCTTTAAATATATTTTTGAAGTTCAATCGAATCTTTTGAGCAAAACTTTGCTGTAGAAATCTTTTAATTGAAAAGTATAAGTAAAATTTCTTTTATCGATATAGTTTTATCGATATAGTTTTATCTAAAATAATGAAAGTAATGTTTTAATTTTGGAAGTGATTCAATTTAAAATGCAGCAGTTATTTTATCTACATAATATCCTCTATGCAATTTACGTTATTGCAATATACAAAAGATTTATTAAATTTGGAAGTAATATGAAGTACTGTACAAGTTTACTTTTTAATCTTATTCTTCTTATATCTAATAGATTCGACAATATGAAAAAGAAATTCACAAAAATCTATTGAATATTGATTTACAAAGGAATAAGCTTGAATCTACTACGCGAGCGTACGAAGATCTGCTATCGAAGAATAAGATTGATATGTATCGTTTGAAAAGAGAATCCAAGGAGCGCGATAATAAATACAGAATCGAACTCAATATTCTGAAAAACACACTAAAAGAGATTACACAAGCTTTTAAAGTTTGCCAGAGCAAATTACATAAAAGCAGAAGCAAACTGCACGATTTGTGTGAAAAACAAAGGCTTTTAAAGATTAAATTAAACGACGCGGAGCATAAAGTATTCAGGTTGTTCGATAATATAATTTTTATTTAATTTTATAAAAATATAAGAAGGTTTTTAAACTCGTTAGTAATGTTCGCAAAGCATAATTGATTCTCATTACTAATTAACCATATTCAGATGTATATCGTTTTAGTTTTTGTAATTTTTGTACAATCGAGTAAACAGTAACAGTTGGGTAAACAGTTTACCAAAATAATTATGTTACATTGTTGATATATTTATAATATGTTTGCTTCATTATGAAATGTTATGGCAATCTTCGAGCAAATGGTAGAGATGTATTAGTGTAAAACATAGCAAACAAAGACTACAAGTTTTATTTCTCTCCCAAAGTTTTTACTTTAAATACTTTTTCATACAGGTATGCAAAACTGGAAGAAAGTTACAAAAAAATAGAAGAGGAGAAAAATATATTGAAAGAAAAATTGGCTGATTCTCAAAGAATTGTGTCCTTCTTGCAATGCCAAATATCAAGTTTTCAGAACGAGTTAGTCGAACCTCAAAGACAATACAATTTGCTTAAAGATAAGCTTAATCAAGAAAAACAGATAAGCGAGAAGTTAAAACAAGAACTTTTCGAGGAAAGAGCAAGATTAAAAGATCAAAATATTCAAATGGAAAATATGAATCAACAGATTACTGCGCTCCATGTGCGATTAAACGAAGTTCAAATTATTCACACTGAACTGTTTTGCGATAGCGATAGAGAAAGAAAACAGCTCCAAGACATTATTTCCAGCAAAGAACGTAATATTACGGAATTACGGTAAACTTACTAATTTAATTTTAATCCTTTAAAGATAAGATCCTAGACAAAAGCAAACTATACTATACACGTATAGTTAATTTTTTACATTTGCTTGACTTTTAATGAATAAGATAGAATGCAGTTTGACAGAAAATTTACTTTTAAATAACAGACTTTAGAGAGACTGTGTGTCTTTAATATGCTCTCTTACAATTAAAGTCAATTTTTCTTTCATATATGCATGCGATGTATGTGTGCAGATGTTTATATATATACGCCGAGAAGTTAAAGAAAAAATTTAATCTTTTCTATTTTATCATCTGATTCTATATGAATTATAATGATAAGTAGGATAAATCAATTAACAGAGATATTACATAACAAAAATTCATGTAGGCCATTATTCGAAAATAGCTTTTAAATTTTTCCAACAAATGTGAAAAAAATTCACAATAAATTTGCACTTTTTGGAGAATAAGTACACACGAGTTGTCAGATATCCTCAAAAAATAATTTTTTTTTCTAAATGAAAAAGATTAATTAAACTTTATTACATGTTTATTATTATATTGTGTCATCTTTTTTTCAGCATTGGAGAAGTTCAAAGGGCTGGACAACTTTATGCAGCATTTAGCAAATACCTGAGTTCTATAGGCCCACATCCAATTTTGTGATTCTTTCAAAGCATCAATATTTACTTCTATAAGAGCACACAATACAGCAAAATATATAATATAAATAAGTCACATATAGGCACAAATTTCACATTATTGGCAGTTTTTTGGCCCAAGCATATTGATTCTGATCTATATCTGATCTCTATCATAGACATATATCGAAAAACAATGTTATTTTGGATTTATCCATAGCATAGACAGTAAACATAAATATACAGATAGAAAACTTGACAAACTACATTGATGAACTGAATCAAATGCTGCATCAAAATTAGAAAAAGTTTTAAGAAGTCTAGCATTCTCTCTTAAATGTAAGAGAAGATTGTAGACATCTGTAAAGACGGGGAAGATTATATCTCCATTTAATTGAATTGAAAGATGAAGAAACTCGTTAAACATTGCATTCTTTCTCTCGCCAACTGCGTAACGCGTTGTCGCGTTCTGTGTGTAGGTGCCCTAGGCTCGTGTTCAATTTTTCTCTATAAAACGGATATAAAGTCTAATAGGACAAGTATTAACATAAGATCTGGATCTTAAGTTTCTTTTTTTGTCAATTTAATTTCTAATATAATACTAACAAAAGAATCAGAATGTTTTAAACGAATTATTTGAAGTTGAACGCGAAATAGGAAACAATCCACTTATGGCGTATTTGAAGTAAAAAAATTGAAATTTCTATGTATATTATAAACTTCAAATTTTATAAATATATATAATTTATTTATTTAATTACCAACTCTATATAACCAAAATATTTTATATGAACCAATTCTACATGTGCTGTGTTCCAATATTCACTGCCAGTACTGAAAATCTGTAGTATACATCACATAAACTATAGATCTTCAGTACTGGCAACGAATATTGGAACACAGCCATGGAATATGATGTAACAACGTATATAACACATGTTATATTTACGAATGGAAAATTAAGCAGTAATTTACCAGTAATACTTATATGTATATTATTTATAACATTCCGTTTTATTGCTTTTATATAACATTAATATAACAGTGTTTACTAGATTATTATGATATAGAGAGGATGCTATAGATTTATTCAATTTGTTTCCATTTCCTACGCTCAAATTTTTCGCTCTCTCCCTTTTTTCAACACTTAAATATATATTTAACACGTTTCAAGCACAGAAAATTTTAAAGAATTCAAGTAAAATAAATGTAGATTTTAATTAGAGCCATTAGAGAGAGAGTACGTAGCAAATGTCCCAAATATTCCGTTGCCAGTTGCCAAATTATTGTGATCCAATCAACATCGAACTAGTTTGATGCTAATTGGATCGCAATTTTTTTACAACTGACAACGGAATATTTGCATCGTATTCTGGAATGGCCTTTAGTGTTTATGAAAGTACGTACATGTAGAGGGGAGATACCAATTAAAGGAGATATACTCTACCGAATATACTAATTCTGACAGATTGACCGATGATTAAGTCAGTTTTTAATTAGCTGTCTTTTTAATATAATAAAATGTTTCAAATATATTCAATTTTGTTAACATCGATATTTAATTTATAGCTTAATGCGATTTTCATTTAACTTCAAAAACTGTATCGCGTTATAGATTATATAATAGTCCTTTTGTTTGATTATATCCAATCAAATAAAATAAAAGTATGCTTATCTCTATATTATACAGAATATCTAATAATAATGTCGCTGAATCTCTCGCTGTGCAAGCGGATCAGGGTTAAACTGAATAGGAAAGTTCCCGTTTTGCGATTTTCGCAATAATTAATGAGAAATTATTATAAAAAAAGATCGGTCGACTCGTGCGAGACAAGCACGTGACGACAAAAGTCTTTCCATTGTAACATGATACGAAGCAATGAGCGGGACGCTCACCAAACGTATTGCTAGAAGTAATACTGAGTGCCGCTACCATCCTTTGAAGAGATCCTCTTCTTCACCACTTCGTCATGCATCTAATATGCGCCACATTATAGGTAGGATATTTCTTCTCGTCGCGCGCTCTTATTCCCTCTTATCTTCTTTAATTAATTTCTCATTAATTTATTGCAAAGCGGATTCCAAAACGATAGAAGAAAACTTTTATCCAGTTTCACCCGCTTTTTCTGCACACGAAAAGTTCGGCGATTATTGCCGAACACCTTGTATAGCATAGAGAAGAATAATCTTTTGATTCTTTAACTCGTATTCTCATTATATATTCAGTAAATTTAATTTTTATTAAGTGTGACAATTCGATGCTATAAATTTATCTTACATATATAGAAATAAAGAAATTAAATCTAAAAAAAAAAAGATTTACCTAAAAATCTACGAATAAATCTATTTAATTTTCTTTTTCCTTCCTTTATTCCAGATTTACTTCTATTTCAAATTTGGTATTTTTGCACTAAATTAAAGTTCTCGCACTGTTCCTCCATTATTACATATTTGATATAAATACAAATAAATCTAAAATGATATTGTCATTCTGTGGATATGCTATTAAAATAAACGTGAGAAAAAAATGGAATAAAGAAAGTATTCTTGATCATCACAGAAACAATAGAAATCAATTCGTAATTTTGTAATTTATCATAAAGAAAACGTTTCATTTCTTAAGAAACAAAACACAAAGTTAGTACGGGGTTGAAGGACTAGATATTTAATATATGTATAGAATATAAGAACATGAGTAATTATTATATAACAAATTGAGTATTCATTTACATTCGCGCAAACTGTAATTATTTTCGCTATTACGCAAACTTTGTCGATGCAGTAAAAAATATCGTAGATCATTTATCGAAGAACAAATTGTTGTAGAGATGTAGAAAAATAAATTTTTATTAGATATTGGAAGAAAAAGGTAGGCGCATTGATTTTACGTAATTGACGATACGTGATTACACATTTAAAGGGTGTATGGGTATTCCGCGAGGTAGTCCCTAATCAAGAGAGGCAGATGTTCGGTGGGCAGTTTGTTTCTATTCACGACAAGTCTGGCCAAATGTGATAACGATTTGACTTCTTTGATCAGAGGTTTGGTTAAATAGATCTGGCTGTATAATTGTCCGCTATAATCAACCCACACCTCTTTGCGATCCATCTTTTTCGAATATTCAACATAGTGCTCCAACATTGTAATAGGACATTCGAAAGTCGGAATCGCCAACGCCAGTCCTGGTTCAGCGTCGAATTGGAAATGTTTCAGGAAATAGCACATTCTGACAGAAGTAGGTCCTCTGGCTGTTTGCACAGATATCGCAAAGATATATCTACTGTCCGAGCTGTCTCTCATTAGCCATCGACCTATAGATGCATTTCTCAAGAGATTTTCACTTTGTTTCCAACTAATGTTCTCGTGATACCAGCCACAAGTCTGCAATAGTCTTTTTATCTCGCGTAATCTTATGTCTTTGTTTAGCAATTTTGTATCCAGGCTCCAGGGACTCGATATCCCCCAAGGATGAGACACCGAAATGGTCGATGCTCCGTTCTTCCGCTCATTGTTGTTACAACTGTTGCTGTTTCTAGTCGCAATAATTCGATCTTCCGTCGCGCAGTATAAATTGTCCGATTGTTTAATAACATCTTTGTCGAAGTTATTCGAGAGTTCCATTATCTCGGAGTCGGCGAATTGAGCATCGAAGCGATGGGCTGACTGGGAGATGGGGATGGGTTCGCGGACGATTGTCGGCACCTTTATGAAACTGCTGTTGTCATTAGTGTAATTGCGCGATACTAGAAGATCAGCAACGTAACATGTTGCCGTCGTCGAATGGATGGTTGCCTCTTTCTCCCTTTTCTTCTGTTTTTCTTGCTCTTTTTTCTCCCAATTAATGTCTTCTTCCTTATTTCTAGCATGCGATTTCATCGTCACGATCTGACTACATGGTATTGCCGTTGTTGTCGTAATGTTTATTCGGCAGTCACTCATGTTCACGGGTAGCTGCATGTTGGCGTTCACTCGAATCTGCATGCTATTCAGGCCAACAGGCTCAAATAGCAACGAATCGCGATCGTCAAACGCGTTAGTCAACTTGCCGTGACACTGACAAAGATTCTGCTGAACTATACCGTTACAGAGGCAGCAATCATTTGTTTCAATCGATATTTTTCGCTGCCTCGATTCCGTGCCCATTGTTTCGCTATTTTCTCTTGTCATCTTGAACGTAGGCAGTATTTTT